GAACACAGCACGTAGACGCGGTTCAGAAGGGATATCGGTCTGTAGTTCTTCAAGAGGGCGTTGTCACCTTTCTTGAAGAACAAGACCACCGCACTTCTACTCCACGCCTCGGGAGTAGTGCCTCCATGGAGGACAGAATTAAAGAGCTTCTGAAGGACTTCAAGTAACGGTTTTCCACCCAATTTCAGAAGCTGCGCTGTAATTCCATACTCACCCTGGGATGGAAGTCCGGCTTTTTTACGCCGTTTTAAGGTGCTGGAGACCCATTCTAATTTCGCTTAGACTGACGTCCTGGACATCATCGGAATAGTGTCGGATAAGACTTGCTCTTGGGTCGTTACTCACACTTGCGTGTGGCTCCAACGATGATGTGTACAGCTGCCCATAGAACCTCTCAATCTCACTCAGAATCTCAGGTGTCCCGGAAATGATGCTCCCACACTCAGTCTTCAGCTTTGACAATTGGCTCTTACTGGCAGACAGATCTCTGGCAAAGACTTTGGAGCCCTGGTTCCGCTCAATCGCTTCTTCAATACGAGCAGTATTGAAGTTGCGTAAGTCCTGCCGCATGCATTTGGAGATCTGTCTGTTCAGTTGCCTGTATGCTGTCAAATCTGCTGACGACTGCAGCTTCATCGCCCGTCTAACATCCATGAGATTAGGAGTGTGATCGGAAAGTTTTTGTGTTCTTCTGCGGCAGGTCTTGCAGAACTTAGCTCAGACCGCATGGACAGTGTCCACGAGCTTGTCATTCATATTGTCCACTGTATTGGAGTCGTCTAGGCACTAAAACGGTTTTGTAATTCGAGCTGAAAGTTTTCGGGACCCTGGATTAGCGCACGAGGGGCTGAGCGTTGACTTCACTAGACCTCTCCAACTTAACGTTTAAGTTCAAACGTTCTCTAACCATTCGGTGGTCGCTGCCAGTTTTCATCCTCGTCATAATGAAGTAAATCTCATTTTTTGTCGAACCGTCGGGGCTCAACCAGGTCCACTTCCTCTTGGGCCGCTTCTGGAAGAAAGAGTTCATCAAAAAGAGTCCCTCTTTCTCCATAAAGTCGGCCAGCTGCTGGCGCCTACGGTTCCGTTGCCCTACTCCGAATTTCCCTAACTTCAGTTCACCGCTTTCTCTTGTGCCTAGTTTTGGTGTTGTAGTCTCCCGTCAACACCGTGTAGTGGGTTTTGGAGGAATGAATTTCTCTAGAAATATACATTTCCTCCACCTCCTCATCAGGATGTGCCGAGGTTGGTGCGTAAACCTGTATGACCTTAAGCGAATACCGTTTGGTGATTCTGAGTATCAGTCGATCGATTCGACAATCGACACGCGTCGACTGCTGTGTTACTTTGCTCAACCGACACAAAAATGAAGGGATTTTAAATCGAATCATTACTTATGATGAAAATTGGATACTGTACGATAATCGGAAGAGCTCGTCGCAATGGCTGAACCCTGGAGACCTAGCCAAATCCTGCTTTAAACGAAAATTGACACAGAAAAAGTTACTTGTTTGGTGGACTAACGCCGATTTCGTTCACTACAGCTTTCTAAAATCTGGCTAAACGATTTCGGCAGATATCTATTGTCAGCAGCTGCAAACCATGAAGGAAGAACTAGCTGCTAAACAACTGAGATTGACAAATCACTTTAGGCTACTGCTGCTTCACGACAACGGAAGACCACACACTGCACAACAAACAACCACTTAGTTAGATGAGCTACAATTGGAATGGCTACGACATCCACCGTACTCTCCGGACCTTGCTCTAACAGATTACCATTTTTTCCGGAATTTGGACAACTTCTTACAAGGAAAAAAATTAAACTCCGATGCGGCAGTTCAAACCGCCTTCAAAGTTTTTTGATTCACGTCCCCGTGGTTTTTTTAGTAAAGGGAAAATTGAACTACCTATGAGATAATAAAAGTGCATAGATAACCATGGTGCAAACTTTGATTAATTAAATATATTTTACAAAAAAAATTGTCTTTATATTCCTCCCGTACGAAACGCCAATTTCATATGTGAAGACCTATTATTTCTATCCAAATAATTTTATTTCCAATTAAACTTTGTAGCACTAGTAGCATGGAGTTTAAGACATAACGGGTTTTTCGATTATAATTGATTAGGTTTTCGTTTACAAGTATTTACAGTTTGCAGTAAATTAATAATAATGCCCTCCAGACCGAATTTAGATCCTGATGGCTAGTTTCAACGAAGACTAACCGTTAACGTAAGACAGGGTGTGCGCAAGCACAGGTGCGTTCTCTTTTCCACTGTCATAGTTTGATGGGACGGTAATTCGACGAGAGAGGGAAGGTAAGGTTAAGGCTTTTCGAGGTATGGGTGTAATCGTACGGGTATTGAGAAATTCTTGACAGAAAAACCCAATACAGTTATTGGGTTTTTCTAAAATCAGTATTTTTGCCCGACCTTGTACGTGGTACGTGTGGTGGCGAATGTACGTGGTAGAGCCATGGTGCAATTATATTAGTAGTATAGCTGTAGCACGATTGGGTTGGCTCGACTGGGGAAGGACCACGCTCTTACAGAATATCTAATAATATACTAACAGCTCAGGATAAGGGAATGGGGACAATACTTACTCTTTTAGATTTCTCATGAGCTTTTGACTCCATAAATTGTACTCTTCTTCTGTCTAATTTATCTTTCTAAGGATTTGATGCTTGCACAGTTCAATGGTTTCATAGTTACTTAACAGATATATTGCAATATGTTAGTATAATAAAACATGATGGCACAATACTTATGTCTGAACCATACTTAGTTTCTCGCGGTGTCCCACAGGGATCTATCCTGGGTCCTATTTTATTTATTTTATATAGTTCAGGCATCACTAGCTGTATCAAAAATTGTGACTATCACTTATATGCAGATGACTTGCAAATATATAAATCTTTTTTCCCTCAAGATTGTGAAACTGCTGCCAAATTATTGAATGAAGATCTCAAACTCCGGCCAACAAAATTCTCTTTCTAAATCCACAAAATCAAAATTTCAATTCTGGGAACAAATAAAAATATTAAAAATATATCAATGCTTCAGCCCTTAGTTCTAATTGATAATGAACCTATACAGCAAGTCTCTGAGGCAAGAAATTTAGGTGTATTATTTGAATCTAGTTTGCGATTTGAAAGTCATGTACTTGAGGAAGTGCGCAGTTGCTTTTACCGTTTGAAGTTGTTGTATAAAGTTCGGCAATACCTCAGTGAAGATATGCGGATATGTATAAATACTAATTGATAGAATCAGGCGTTACTTTGCGGAAATCCATTATAATAAAAAATAAAAATATAAATTTCTTCGCAACCTTCCGCTAAACAAATACAATCATGTGTCTTACTAACTCTGTGTGAATACTGTCTAAGTTAAATTATGCAGATGCAGCTTATGGATCACGACTGTTGAGAAGGTCAGAGAAGCTCATACAGCGGGTGCAAAATGCGTGTACTCGGTTTTGTTTCACTGTACTGCCTCGAAGTCATGTAATGCTTTATTTGAACAATGCTAATCTGTTAAAAACGAGTGCCCGGAGAAAATTACATCTTGCTACTATACTATTCTCAACAATAACAAAACAGCGACCAGTATACCTGTTTCAAAAGCTGAAGTGGGCCTGAGATCAAAATAAATATAATACAAAAGCTTCTGTTCATTCCCTTGTAACAACTCGATACCGTACAGCTGTGTTTCGAGGTAGTTTCAAATTTGCAGCAACCCACTGTTGGAATGATCTACCACCACCTATTCGTTTACTAAAATCACTGAAAAGTTTTAAAAACAAACTAAAGTTCTATTACTTAGCACAACAAGTTCTAAATACGTAACAATTACGTTTAGAACGCAAAATAGTAATAATATTCATACTGTTTTATACCATGTTCAAATAATGTATATCTGTTACATATGTGATGAATGATCATTTATTATTTATTTATTTTTAATCTTACTTTTTATTTTCTAAAAAAAAATGAGGTCTCGTAACATGGCGTGACCCTTTGAGTACATAATATAAATTATATATGTACTAAAATCATAAATTTTATTGCTACTTTGCTTTGTCTTCCCCATAGAGCCAAATATGTTATATAGCTAAGTATAGGTATAGTGTATGTGCTACACACCATTAATATTGATATTAATACTGTATGTCCGTGTTAACTGTGTTCATTAGCACTACTCTTTAAGCCACTGCCTTATTATTATTAGTCTATAAGTTGTAGTTACGCGTAATTCGACGTTCACACACCGACTCGTCAGTGAAGTCACAAGGTTCCAACTGAAAACCAGCGCTGCCTCTGCAGCATTATGCTGAGTTGGAGACCTATTTGATGTCACATTTTATCTTTAAATTCTTTTTTAATTTTTTTTGTTTCATTATTAATTAACATCATGCATGTTCTGCTTATTAAATAATTTTTAATGCGTAAGCAGTCTTACACCTGCGCATGCATATTCTTTGTCCATTGTAATTTATATTTAAATTTCAAAAATTGTGTGTAAAGTGTGATTATCAAATAAATGGTTCTTTCTTTCTTACCTGCATAAAATAGTAGGTTAATGCTGCTGTGTTTCGTATGGTGAGTGTAGAGAACCGGAGACCCTTTTTAGTTTTTACTGGAGACGAGGCATTCCATCCTGGTCCTCACGGGTGACAACGCATCTGCATTTTGATTGGTGTAGATATAGATATCTGTAAGCCATAGCAACCAGTTACTATCAGGTGGATTATGTGCTCGTTTGTTATCCCATCCTATAAAAAAACCTGGGATTCGAAACAGGGACCTCAAGAACAATGCGATTACCAACCCATCGGCGAAGCGTGTATAGGGAAGGCCTTTACCCATGGACTTTTGATAGGCTGTACGGTAATGAATAAACGATAGCCACTGTGACAAATATCCCCTCTATGTGGCAATGTATGGGGGAGGCCTATCTTTAGTAATGGACTTTACCGTTTTGTGACGTGTGTGCAGGCAGCAACGCGTGCTCGAAGGAGAACGGGGGGTGTGCGGAGCTGTGTCTGGCGGCGGGCACCAACCGCACGTGCGCATGCGCAGACGCCAGGCCTGGTTCTGCTGTTCCCTCCTCCGTCCCCGCGCCTATCGGTGCCCCCTCCCCCGTGGACGTGTGCCCGCCGCCCGCTGCAAGTGAGACACCAGCAACGCCGCGCTGCCCGTCAGGACAGTTCCATTGTGGACGTGGGTAAGGATACTTGCGCACTCATTACTCGCATACGTCATTCAGTTTCGGTTTATTTCAAACTCTTGTGAAAATTGATATCGATCCTAAAAGTTTATACATACGTTCAAAATTTCACTGCCGAAAATAAGCCTCCTCCAAGGAATGCTGCAGAAACGGTCCTGAAGCACCTGCGTCTGTTCACTGCGTCTGTTCACTTACTTCTTATCTTTCTAGTTCATCCTTCATCTAGTCGGGGGCGCTTTTCACTGCACTTACAAGAAAACCTTTATCCTTACTAAGAAATCTTTGCTCCCTTTCAGTTGTGGATTATTAGAACTGACCGATCTTTGGCCTCTTCAGATTACTAATCCTCATTTTTGGCTTCGTTGGATATTCCAAATCTTCTGCGAATGTTTACAGTTTGAATTCTATAATGCAGAGAAGTTCCGGGCATAGCCCTGTCCACATTCGCTAAGCGACCTTAAAGGTACCAGTTGACCTCATACGGCAAGCAGTAAAGAACCACATCTCAGATCCATGTGTCAGCACCGGCATTACATACTGGTTGTACAATCTTGTTTTCAAGCTTTGAAGAATATGTGACAAGGGAATAGCATTTTTTTAAAGAAGTAATATTAATAAATAATAAAAATAATTTAGTAAGTACCCAAACTCTGCCCAGCCAAGCTGAATTTGTCGATAGACTTCTTGGTTGAAGCTTGACTTACCTAGTCGGACAATTTTTCCTAGGTAAGTATATAAATATACTCGTCAACAACTTCGAGTGTAGTGCGTAATGTTACCAAAACCTAGCGGCACACATGTGACTTGGACGCTACATTTGTTTTATCCATGTTTATCGTAACAACTTCCCGGTCCGCGAAAAAAACACAATAGTTAAACAATTGAAATGTTCATACATGACTCACGGGGAAATCAAATATGTAGTTAAAACCTATCCGTTGGGATATACTATGGGAGGATATTGAGCTTAGTGCTGAGATCACCTAGCGACTTTCCAGGGTTATTTTTTAAAATGTAGCCAAATTTGTAGTAAATAAGGCTTCTACTTTTATTTGAAATTATCTCAAATTGAATCTGATTTATGGGCAATAACTACGCGTCCGCGCGTTCCTGTGTGTGTCGTTTAATGCACGTTTCCGTTTCTCAAGATTTTGCCTACTGTTTACTTTCTAAGTAACACGCTTACTACTAATGTTTAAGTTGATGTAGATACCGTATCCTTTCTAGTAGCTTGGAAATGTTTTTCGATGAAGTGGTGAAGTGTTTTTGAGTACGGCACCGTCTCTTACACCTCTCTGCAATTGGATAGTTTAGTACTCAGGTTCTGTACTGGATAGCCATCGTAGTGTAACTGTACAAACATTATTTAATAAAAAATAGAAACTATTAAATATACTTATGAGTTAGCCCTTTTTTAGTTCACTGTAGCAACATCAGGAGATGTAATTAACTCATGGTCTTCCATCAGGCGCTGTATTGATATGATGCTGGTGTGCGATGGCGACGCGGACTGCCCCGATGCTTCCGACGAGGATTCTTCACCAACAGGACCTTGTGGTATTACTGCTGCTTTTACTTACATTTATAATTTTTAAGCGTAAAAACTAACTGCGTAATTTTTGGTGTAGTACTTGTACAAGTCATTATTGCTACTTACTCTAAACTGTACTCTATATAATATGTTATTTTGTTATTGGTATGTTATCATCGCCGTTAGTCTATTAACAGCTCGTTGCAAGATACGAGCAATATATCATCAGGTTTTGAAGAATAATAAAATATCAGGCAACTTATGTACCATACATTTTTACAATATATTGCTGGTTGTTTTATTTAATTTTACATTCTACAGCAAGATTACATTTTGCAAGTCCAGTGCTGGACATGGTCTCTCCTCTTGTGGGGATGACATATTACGTCTATCGTCACGCTTGGCAAAATTCATGTGAAAATTGAATTTTGCCACCCGCGTTTCTAGTAATAGGCTTCTGATTACATGTCATGAAGTTGTGCACGCATGTTGTACGTAACATGTAGTTTTTCCGCTCTGGACTAACCTGCCCTTAAAACACGCATTGATTTCACTTCACGCTTGGCAGTCGGATTGACAATCGCAGTATCTATTTTCCGTCTGGTGTAAGCGGCTTTTTGGCATTTTCCTTAGTAAATTGAAAATGTTTTTGAAAATGATATTATATGACTATAAGAAATTATGTGATAACAGAAGAGAGTGGTTTGCAAGATGATATCGAAAGAATGAATGAGGAAAGAGAGACAAAGCAAATTTATGTTATAAAAGTGAACGGCAGAGTCGTCGAGTTTATCGACCAAATTGGCGATATGTTGAAAATAGGCTAAATTAAAAGTGACAGCATGTATGCGTAGTTATATGGATATGAAGGAGGTGAAAGAGAAGTATGCATATTGTATACACAGCTGGATGGATGGACCTGTTAATTTATAGATCTAAATAATTAAAGTTAATATAAGAACATATGTGTTTCATTAAATAAATCACAAATTGAATTAGTCAATTGTTTGCAGCGAATTCGACTTGCGATGAGAATCAGTACATGCAGTGTGACACCAACCGATGCATACCGAAGAGCTGGATTTGTGACGGCCTTAAGGGTAAGTCTTACTGAACTAACTGTTTTTGAATTTCAATTCCTGATTAGGTGTCTTGTCTTAACTTTTTTCAAAGTAAAGAATTGTGTTTATTTAAACATAGTATTTATATCAAATCGTGTGTTTATTATTTTAAAAGGTTCGTATATTGGTCGTTTTTTTATTTTTCTTTACTGGCCCGTGAAAGCCCGCTGCTAGACATGAGTCTCTTTATTTACTGTGAGAATTCACATTAGACTTACGATAGGCTTTCGACTGTGTTCATCATGAGACATATCAATGACATAATCAAGAAGCTACATCATTATGGTGTAAAAAATGTCTCTTAAACTTATTACATCGTATTTAAATACACAAACTAAAACAGTTGTTATTAATGGGAGCAGTTCTTCTGGATCCGTCATTCATTCACTTGTTTTTCCTCATTATTTTTTTTGCCTCGCTTATCACCGCACAATGGAAAACATGGAATATCGGTATATTTACGAGTACGAGTTCTAACGTGGCACCAGTGCTGCAGAAACAGCTCGAATGATTAATGATGTGAACGGCGTTGGTGTCGCAAAAGAAAACACGGTACGTTTTTGGTTTCAACGTTTTCGTTCTGGAAATTTCGACCTTCGGAACCAACCCCATGGACGGCCGGAGACCAAAGTGGAAAATGAAAATACCTGGTCACTTCAGAGATAGCTGCAGGTTTCGGGGTATATGATAAAACTGTATTAATCCACTTAAAGCAAATCGTGAAAGTAAAAAAAAAAACTTGAACGATGGGTATCTCATGAATTGAGTAAATTGAACTTGCAAACACGCGTCGACTGCTGTGTTACTTTGCGCAACCGACATAAAAATGAAGGTACTTTAAATCGAATCATTACTTGTAATGGATACTGTACGATATGTAGTGGATACTGTACGATAATCAGAAGCACTCGTCGTAATGGCTGAACCCTGGAGACCCAGCCAAATCCTGCCCTAAACGAAAATTGACTCAGAAAAAGTTACTTGTGTGTGTTTGGTGGACTAGCGCCGGTGTCGTTCACTAAAGCTTTCTAAAATCTGGCCAAACGATTATGCCAGATATAACCGAGATTGGTCAATCACTCTAGGCCACTGCTGCTTCACGACAACGCAAGACCACACACTGCACAGCAATGAACCGCTAAGTTTGATGAGCTACAATTAGAATGTCTGCGACATCCACCGTACTCTCCGGACCTTGCTCTAACAGATTACCATTTTTTTTTCGGAATTTGGACAATTTCTTACAAGGAAAAATATTTAATTCCAAGTCAAACCGCCTCCAAAGAGTTTATTGATTCTCGCCCCCGTGGTTTTTTTACTAAAGGGATTAACCCTTAATTTACTAAAGGGCAAAAAGCATAGATAACAACGGTGCATACTTTGATTAGTTAAATATATTTTACAAAAAAAAAAAATAACTTTATCCCGTACAAAACGCCAATTTCATATGCTGTTGTCCTATTATTGTGTTGTGGACCTAATAATTTATTAGTTTAGTAAAATAGTTATATTACTAGCCCGTGCTCGTATTATAGTTTATATTCCTAATAAGACAGTTAGGAACCGCTATCATATAACTACATTACGGTACATAGCGATATCCCTAGGGATATAATTATATCACAGCTTCAGCTATCTTACTACGACATACTTTTAACATACATAACATACTTTTACAAAAATATCCTAGAAAATATGCAGGAGTTATCTATCAAAGTTTTTTTAAAATTTTTATGAAGCAAAAACTATTTGGTAAGGAATATTATATATACTTCAAAAAAAAATACATGATTGATAATAACTCTTTTTTCATACTTAATTGTATAAATTGTAATATTATAAGATAATTTTAAAAAATGTCTCGATGATTCTTTTTGTTGTTTCTTCACAGGACAGAGGTTTTTTTCCAAACTAGTGGCAAAGGTTAAATGACTTATAAGTATTCTTATAATCTATATTAAATAAAAATGATTATTTCCATTTTGTCCTGCGCACATGGCTAATCTCTGTTGAGATTTTTGTGACGTGGTGGAACCATGTTGCACTCACAACATGTTAGTAGCACGAATTGGTCGGCTCGACCGGGGAAGGACTACGCTCGTGCAGAATGCTGCGAGTTTCGTATGGTGAGTGTAGAGAGTATTTGCTAAAAGCGAGGCATTCCTTCGTAGTCCTCACGGGAAGTAACGCATCTACATTTGATTCTTAATTTTAAAACTTAATCGAGGATTAACGTAGATGTTTATAGCCACAACATCGGCTTGTGTGCTAGTTTTTTACTCTCATTTTATTAAAAAAAGTAAAGACTTGCCGCCGTGTCCGATATTTGGTGTGGTAGATGTTATGCAGTGCGTACGTTGCAGACTGCACGGACGGCACGGATGAGGCGGCAGGCGCGTGTGGGCGCGCGGCGTGCGGGCCGGCGCAGTTTGCGTGCGAGCGCTCGCGCCGCTGCCTGCCGCGCGCCTGGCGCTGCGACGGCGCACCCGACTGCGGCACGCACGACGACAGCGATGAGCGCGGCTGCGGTACGTACACACACACACGCACAATACCGCGTGGCTGGTGCATAGATTAATTTTGAAGCTCGGGTTAATAGTATGTGTGCGTGTCCGCAGAGGTGCCGGAGTGCGGCAGCACGATGTTCCGGTGCGAGAACGGCGCGTGCGTGCCGTGGGAGTACTACTGCGACGGGCGCGCCGACTGCGCGGACGCGTCGGACGAGCGCGGCTGCCGCGATCCGCCCGCCGAACCCCCCACCCCGCCGCCACGACCCCGCCGACCCGATCGACTACAGTGAGCGTTATTTTGCTCTCTACTTTATAACAGGAACTATACTGTAATCATAGAGGGCTGCAAACGAACATACGGCTCCGTCAATGAACACAAAAGTAGCCTCTATATTGGATTTTATCCATGTCCTAAGTCTTACAGGTTCGAAAAAACCGCTGGTGACAGTAATTTCCACTTAAGAGTAATGCGTAGTAGAAAAATGTACTTTGTCAAACTGCGTTTCACTAGATTATAATCTCACTCACGTTAGCGTTCCATTTATGAGACAGGAGTCCAATTAAGATGTAAAAACCAGATTTTCCGACAATATTATCGCATTCCGCATGATACTATTTCTGGATAAACTTCATTCAACAATTTACAACACTGATGACACTTACGAGGCTAATTAAATATAAATGTAATAAAAAATTACAAGAGCAATAGAAATCAAAGAAAACTCACATGAAAGTCACGTGATTTATCGTCGAGGTACGTTTCTCCCATACTTATTAATTAATGTTTTTATAGGTGGGAACAAATTTTTAAGGGTCAAAAACAAACACACAATCCACCTGATGGTAAGTAGTTGCTATGGCCCATAGACCTCTCTCTATCCGCGACTACGAATCAAATTGTAGATGCGTTGTCACCCGTGAGGATTAAGATGGAATAGAAATCGTTTCCAGTAAAAGGGATCTTCGGTTTTCTACACTCGTCATACGAAACATAGCAGCGTTAAGCTGCTATTTTACGCTGATATTCTGTGAGAGCGTAGTCCTTCCCCGGTCGAGCCGTCCCAATCCACTAATTATAACCGTGTAGGGGCGGTGTAAGAATATCACTACCTCATTTCGTCCCATGGTCGCCGCAGGAGGCGACGAACAGAAACTGAAACATTTATTTAGTGTTTTCAATATTTCTGAACTATGATAATTGACGATTGCTCCTATGCTTTTAATGCGTTTGATTTACTATTAACAAGAAATATTTGTCGAGCAACAATGTCCAACAGTACAATTTGTTCTCAGCCACCGTCACAACGACACCAACAAGAACGGACTCTGCGAGGACCATGAGTTCCAGTGTGACAACCGAGAGTGCATAAGAATGGTTTGTATATTATAAACATCTCATCGGTCTGTGCCAATTTTGTATAAAGTTCAGGTAAAGTTACATATATATGTTCCCTTTGTGTAATATATTCATTACATAAAGGATTATAGATTAAGGACTTAACGCGTCTTCAAAATATTTTTTTTAATTTTTCTGATGTGGCGGATTTCTGAATATGTTTTCTTTCACTGCTGTAATAAAAATTTAAATGGAAATTAATGGAAATTTTATCGAGTATTCATTGCGTATCTAATTAAATCGAACATTTAGTCTAGTATAATAAATCAAAAATTTAGTCGAGTGTTCATTACGTATTTAATTAAATCGAATATTTACACTAGTAAAACAAATCGAAAATTTATTCGAGTAAAATTGATTGAGTATCGATGTTACCACTTGTTTCCAAGAAACTGTAACTCAAAAAGTTTACTACTATCTTTAGAATTTTTTTATAAATAAGTTCTCCTTACCTTATCATACGGTAAGAAAAGTACTTGTTAATATAGAGGTCAGTGTAGATATAGAATAACATCGTAATTATTATAACGAAGTGTCTCATTACATACAGGAGGGCACCACATGTGTAAAAAAAACTACAATTGAACTGTTATAAAACTAAAACTTAAGCTAATAAGGAAGAAACTTCCGTTAGTACATCGTTTTAATCGGCGATAACTACTTTTTGCTGCCAGCTATCGAGGTTGAGAATAGATCTAATTAGTTTTAGTATTGTCAGTGTAATGATGATGTTGATAATGATGGTGTAGGCGGGGATCAATTCTGAGTTTGTCGTGTACTTTGAAAATTCCAGCGTACACTTAAATGTTCTTTTATGTTAGAGTTAGAGATAATGAAACGACTTACGTTTATTAAAATTTAATAGTCGAGTTCTCTGAAGTACGTTTGAACACTGTTTATTGTCATATGTTGTAAAACATAACATAACATAAACTCTCAAGCCTGTCACCCAGAAGGGTAGGCAGATATTACAGACTTCCATTTGGCACGATCCTGACACAGATCTCTCGGCTCCTCCACATCCATATACCTACGCCTTCAACGAATTAGCCACTGGACCCAACATAAAACGCAAATGTATGAAGACTCGTTCAACCAAGTGGAGAATAACGCGCTCGAAGATTTTAGTACATTAATATAAACACAGATACAAAATTCGTAGAAGTCCACTCTATTTCTAGTGCTTGATCGTAGTCGATAGAATATATCGATGAACGAATGAGAAAGAAAGGCGTATCTGTAAGACAAAGGAAATAAAGGGATAATGAAGGTGAGGTAAGCTTCCGGTATTTAAATTTTAATTAAAATAAAAGAAGCAGGACATTGTTATGGACTTTTTATTCAATTATAGTTATGATAAACGTCAAATTTTTTGTTAAGTTTAAATTATTTAAATAGGTTTACTGACTTATATTATGTATCATCTTTCTTAAAATATGTTTCTTAGAATTTGTTTTGTTCGCTTGTTTTTATATATAAGCAATTCTAATATTTAAATACTTTTCAGCAACGGCTTTCGTTAATTCTTCGACGTGATTCACGTCGTCTATTTCAAATTTACGGGATATGAATGTCTTGTTTTTGTTACTTTCGGCAGAAGAAAGTCTGTAATGTAATCTTTTTTTTAGTCTTTTATTCTGAACACCCTTCCTAAATTCGAATTCGCAGTGCTAACAAATAGCTATGGTATCACTTGAGGGAGGTATCAGTTTTCCCTTGTCTTTATGGGCAATGAGACTGCCTTCATTGGTGTCATTTTCTGTTTTTTTTTTTGCATTAGTATTAAAGCAGGCAGTATCGAAATGTACACTGCATATGGCGCTGGTTTCGTCGGAATCCAGGTTTCACATCTACGAACTGTTTCTACCCACTTTGTCTTCCGAGAAGGGTCACTGGGAAATCTAAAAATTCGTGTAATTTATGTGTTTAAATATTTTAAGTACACATACTAATTATAGTTTTTGCATTTGTAATATTTTAATTTAATTATAAAAATTATTATTATAGATTTAATGAGATCAGATTGTAGGATACTGTTATATAAGTATTTTTAAGTGTTATTGTATTGTACAAATAACATCATCATTCATTCGGTCATATCGTCAAATATCGATATATTTTTCGACATGGTCAAGTAATAGTCGATGTCAAATTGACTCACTCCACAGTTTTAGTCATTCGTTCGGAATGGTAAAATCCAACCATTTTGTGATGGTTGTCAGATGTCAACAATACATAGAAATATCGACCATATTTAACATAGTTATTTAACATATATAAAATTTTGTGATAAATAACAATAAATGTAAGAAAATAATGTACTTACAAGTGAAAAGAAATAGTGTTGCTTCCGCCGCTATAGTTTTTACACAATTTAACTGAACATTTAGTCATTCTTAGGAGATGTTTTGTTGACAAGTAAGTGCTTGAGAGTGACGAAAAAATAAACGACCAAGGCTAGAATTTCTTGGTTACTGACAAGACTGGTATAGGTAAGTTCGCTTATATGTCGGGTCCAGTGGTTAATTTGTTCAAGACCTACGCATACATTCTAGTCAGTTAAGGGTACTCCTAATTTGGCCCATTTTTCAATATATCGCTAATTTTGTCTGTAAACTCGCCTAGTGTAACATAAATTTGCTTTGTCAGTCTTTCATCATTCTTTCTTTCTACATGATCAAACCACCGAAGCATTCCTTTCTTAATCCTGGTCACCGCATCATCTTGCAAACCACACTCTTCTTTAACACACAATTCTCACCCTATCACTCAAATTTAGTCCTAACGTACTCCATAGCGACCGCATTTCTACTGCATTTATTCTACTCTCGTGCTTCATCCATTGATTTATATAACCCTAGATCAGTAATAACCGCGCCAAAGCGTTGCCACTGCACATATGGCCACAGCCATATGCCTAGCTAACGTGAGTTCATTGTTCAATGTGACGCCGACAGAGTTGAGCCGCGACAAAAATGGGTAAATGTGTAGTGAAAGAATGCTATCCAAGGTCACAAAAACGTAATAAATCAAGCGGCATCACTTTCAACACATAATTTTTAGTTCTTGTTTTCATATAAACGTAAAAAACCTCAAATAATTAAATAAAATTATCGAATATTGCCATTTAGGTTCAATGTTGCCATTTTTCCGCATTTGTGATTATCCTACATTAATGGGAGACTATATAATTAATGGAGTAAGTTAATTTGTTACCTCTGATTTTAAATATTTTGGAAATTACAATAAAAACTACGTTTTAACTTTCATACAAAATAATTAATTATTCTTATTTTAGTTTATTCATGAATTATCTATTAAATATATTACCTATTTCATATTAATAATTTTATATTATTTATAATTTCATATAAATTTTATATTAATTAAGTATATTTTATTAGATACCTATTTTATATTGTTTGATTTATTAGAATCATAAAAATACGTTTTATTTCATCATTATGTTTACTTCTATTCATCTGATAAGCTTTGTATCCCTTTTTTTCTAAGGGGACGTAATAAAGATTTTAAAATAAAATATACTTTTTTTAATATAAAAACAATTAACTCCAGCTTAAAAAAACTCATTTTTATTGCGTATTTTAGGTAAAATTTCATATAGTAAGCCACACCAACCCGCCATTGCATGTTTGTGTGTCTATCTTTATCTAATCTTACGACGACGATATTGTTTTCGCAACTTGTGTAAGTTAGATAGATATATGTTTACATTAAATTGTTATTAGTTTCAAAGCTACGTCGTCGCGTTTGGATAGCGGTTACACTTTTTTCGACGCGCGGTAATGTGGTTTGCTCCTCTAGTGTTGTATAACTCAATGGCTTCATCTGTCAAACCGAGCTTTTACTACCATACGTTAAAGTAGGGACTAACACAACATTGTGAATTGTCATACGTGCATTTTTTGACATAATCTGACTTTTCAAAATAAAGTGTAGAGCCCCATTTACTTTATTTCCTGCGTTAATTCGTCGTTCTATATCCTTATCATATCTCCCATCCCTGTTGAATACACATTCCAAATATACAAACTCATCTACTTGCTCGAACAACTCCCCTTCTATTCTTATATGTTGTATAGAGTGTAAAGTGTGTAGGGGAAAGTGCAAAGAGATGTTTAAAACGCACTTGTGCAGGAGTTCCGGTGCGACTCGCGCGTAGACTGTCTGGACGGGTCGGACGAGGCGGAGTGCTCGCGCACGCGCACGGCCGCACCGCCCACCACGACAAGCACGACGCCGAGCGTGCACGCGCCGGGCGGCGAGTGTCCGGCGCCCGCCTTGACGTGCGACGCGGGCGTGCGCTGCGTGCCGCTGCTGCAGCTGTGCGACGGCGTCGCAGACTGCGCCGACGGAGCTGACGAGGCCGACAGATGTGGTAACTCCACCACATACATTACTTTTTATCTAATTTAAGCCACAATAGACTGCTACAATTGCCTCCAGACTGGATTTCAGTTACGGTCGCCAGTCTCAAGAGAAACTAGTCAGATAGCTAGTTTCGTATATACTCGTAATTCACGTGTGTGAGCGCAAGCCACGGAGCACTCTTTATTCCCTCCCTCTCTTGGTCCAATGGGTTAGTAATCTGAAACAATTGGGTAGAGATCAGCTGCAAGATCAAGGGTTTGACGTGCCTTCAGAGCTACTACTCAGTATTTCTTTACAGAAAACCCTAATTAATGAACTTACAGAAAAACCCAATTAATTGGTCCTACCTGAAACTACACAATCAGCCGCGCTTACGACAATTAAATCAAAGTGACAGACAGCTATATTATCAGATTTTAAGTGAAGATGTAGCTAAAGATGGTATATGGCACTAGGTTAACAAAGCCTAGTTACTTTCGCCTTTATGACAATGTGGGTGTATTGTAAGGTTATTGCCGATGTAAGATATTATGCTTGTGTTGGACAGGAGAGCCGATGTGTGAACTGGCTGCATGCTCACACGGATGCCAGGCGGCGCCTGGGGGGCCCGTATGCACGTGCCCGCCGCCGCTGCACCTGCAGCGCGACGGCATCACGTGCGCGCCGCGACACTCCTGCGAGGACTGGGGCGTCTGCAGTCAGGTAATGCGTGCTGTTTACTGCCAAGTGCTGCCCGCCGTCTGCAGCCATGTACCGCCCGCTATTTGCAGCCAGATACCGCCCGCTGTTTGCGACCAGGTACCGCCTGCTGTATACAGCCAAGTAACGCCTGCTGTCTACAGCCAAGTACCGCCTGCCGTCCGCAGCCAGATACCGACCACTTTCTGCAGCCCGGAATTGTCCGGTGTCTACAGCCATGTACTGTCCGGTGTCTGCAGCCAGGCACCGTCCGGTGTCTGCAGCCAGGCACCGTCCGGTGTCTGCAGCCAGGCACCATCCAGTGTCTGCAGCCAGGCACCGTCTGGTGTCTGCAGCCAGGCACCGTCCGGTATCTACAGCCAGAATGACCCGGTGTGTGTGCTCGCCACCGCTGCACTTGCTTAATCTACGTCTGAATTTTTTAATACATGAACCTACAGCACAGCGTTGCATTCACATGAGTCGGTTTCTGAAAAAACTGAATAGCTGATCAATCTAGATTATGTTATTGCAATAACTTTTAGTAGTGTGGTAAGTCGCTCAACGACATATCCGATGTAAAATGTAGACTGCTTTAAAAGTATCAGTATAATTTATACTAAATGCCACTGGGACACTCGAATCACGAATCATTCGTTGCCTTCGTTTCCGCAGACGTGTCAGCCGCAAAAGAATCGTCACAAATGTACCTGCTATGAAGATTACCGGCTCGCTGACGACGGATTCACTTGCAAGAGCACAGGTTCTAATATCTTCTGTATATCCGCTACCGCTTAACTTCTTGCTTTAGTTCGATGTATCCACTGACTTCTATGTATACCACAATACAGTATTGCTATACTACGGCTAACGAGAAGCGATAACAAATGTAATCAATAGCAATGCGAGGTTATTACTAATAGCAGAGGTGTGTAACTTTTTGATAGTTAGATTATATATTTAAGTAGTATTTAATTTAAATCTACATTATATAATAATTCAAATTATAACAAAATTTAAAAAAAGTCAATTTTTTTAGATTGCTAGACATTTTTAAAACTATATTGTCTACTGAAATATATAATCTAACTATCAAAAAATTACGCACCCCTGATATTCCTGATAACCTAGCATTAGTTTTGTTTACATTTGGTATCGCTTCTCGTTGGCGGTAGTATAGTAATGTGTACACGGAAAAAGTGTTTGGTTTGTTGAGATTGGTGTTTGGTGTTGTCCGCAGAGGAGGTGACGCCGCTGCTGGTGTTCAGCAACCGGCACGAGGTGCGCGGCGTGGAGCTGCCGTCACTGCGCTCGCGCGCGCTCGTCACGTCGCTCAAGAACACCATCGCGCTGGACTGGCGTCGCGACCCCGCCACCAACAACACGCACCTATACTGGACCGACGTCGTCGACGACAACATTTACCGCGGCACGCTCGTCGGCAACGGTCAGCGCCTTGCTTGCTTTACCATGCAACATTATTGGTGGTGGGAACGACTCTAAATGGGTCATAAAAGAATGCATTTAAATGCGGGATTTAAACCATAAATTTTGTAAAAATCTGCGGCTCGAGACAAACGCCAGATAGTTGTGCCGTTTCTTACTATAGCTCAGGCCTCTTGAAAAAACTGTTCTGGTCCTTCATGAAACATAAAAATCTAGTAGTAGTAATTTTCCCTCGCAAGACGGTTGATTCTGGAAGGGATATAGCTGATCGGTTTGTCACTTGCTTCATGTCAGCTTATAGTATGCCCTTAACAACAAGCCAACAAACGAGGAAAACTTTATTTTTACAGCGACAAATCGAACTTGCCCTAAAGAAACTTGATCCCGTAAAGGGTGCTGGTTCTGATTGGATACCACCGGTGTTTCTGATTCGCTGTTCCGAGTGTTTGTCATATCCGCTTTTATTAATCTTTAATGAATCATTGCGTCGAGGGGAATTTCCTACAGTTTGGAAGAGAGCCCTTATTGTGCCAGTATTTAAGTCTGGTGTTGAGAAACTAATAAAAAACCACAGACCAATTTCACTGTTACCAATCATTGCTAAAGTATTCGACTCACTTCTCTGTCCTAATATATCCTGGCACATTAAACATTTTATCACAGCTTGACAGTATGGTTCGTAAGGAATCGTTCGACTGCGTCGAACCTTGCTGAATTCGTGTCACATATATAGTCGGTCTGTAGACAAGAACAATCAAGTTAACACTATTTACACCGACTTCTGCAAGACTTTTGACAGAGTGGACCATAGTATTCTGCTGTCAAAACTGGCAGAGTATGGCTACGGGGGTGGATTGCTTAAGTGGTTTTCTTCCTATTTAGCAGTTCGAGTAGTAAGTGTAGTCATGGAAAGTTTTGCTTTTGATCCACTGCCAGTTCTTTCAGGCGTACCGAGAGGCTCTCATCGTGGGCCTACCCTATTTAACATCTTCATAAAAGATATAGTCTCGGTTTTAAAGTACTCAAAGTTCAATTTTTTTGCAGATGACTTAAAAACTTGTAGAGAAATCAACTCAGCTACTGATGTTGTGCTTGTGTGTGCAATCTGGGTTGAACAAAATCGAATGGAATTAAATTATGATAAATGTAATTTTATTAGATTGTCACGGTACAGGTTGCAAGCATCACCTTCGTACCACATCGGTGGAAAACAACTCTCTAAGTTGTAGTTGGTAGATTCTATCCCGTTATTTTAGTTTTCTTTCGTTATTTTAGATAAAAAACTTTGCTTTCACAAACACATTGAGGACATAATATGTAGGGCCTTCAAAATGCTAGGATTCGTAATTCGTAACCATAAGGAACTAAAATTAGCTACCAAAATTTTGATTAAAACTACTTTTACGGATTTTATCGCCTTTATTTTACTATTATTTTTAATTCCCGACGTTTCGGGTGCTTTCCAGCACCCATGGTCACGGGGGACTGAGATGACTGACGTCCCGATGTCATTGTTAAACCCGGAGTACCTTCAGCTTTTTTAATTATTGTTTATGGTCCGATCACTATGCAAAATGAACTGACTATGTCCTGAGGTCTTGCAGTGGTATGCTTGGGTTTAGTTTTAATTTTATTGATTATAGGATCCCAAGCAGGTGGTAGTACCCAGCCTCCTTCTCTATTGAAATTAGGATGTTTTTTAATTTCAATAGCCTCACGTATCATCCTTGGTAGGAATCGGTGTTCTTTCGCGAGGATTTGTGGTCTATCAAATCTGATGTAATGGTTGGGGCCGTCTAGGATATGATCGCAAACTGCAGACTTCCCGGAACGTTGATGCTTCACAAATGAACACTTGAATTAAAAATAATAGTGAAATAAACGCGATAAAATCCGTAAAAGTAGTTTTAATCAATGTGTAGTGTTCGCGTAAATATAAGAAATCATTATTAACAACGGACTAATGCAAATAAAATACGCCGATTAGAAGATCTAAAGACTAAGCGCGCAAGATATCTAACAGCCTTATGTTCATTCGATGTTGAAGTATTGCGCCTGGTTTGGTCACCACACTACGAAGTGTGTGTTAAGCGACTAGAACGTGTGCAAAAAAGATTTTAATGGCATATCTCATTTCAATCCGGTCTAGCTAAGCAGTTGCCTTCGTACTTCGATAGACTTTCAAAATTCAAAATGAAAAGCTTAAAAATAGGAGGCTTATACTCGCAAAAAGGGAAATACACACCATTTTCTACCAAGGGATCCAAAAGCAATCTCGGCCATCACGTAATCATGAACAGGCTGCAACGACAGTACAATGATCTCCAGAAAAAAAAAACGGACGTAGACATTTTTTCAAATAGCTCTCTAAATTCAAAAAGTTACTTCAAGGTGGAAGTTTGAGCACGGAATAATTTTGGATTAATTTGGTTTTTCTTATATTTTATCTCTTATTCACATTTGCAAGTCGTGGCAGCCTGTCATTGAATCTGCACTTAGCTTAAATCTTAGATGATAGCTTAAGAATTTAATGTTTTTGGTGTAAGATTTGTTGGCTGTCCTTAATAAATAAATAAAAGATGGTTCAAGTTAAATAGATACATAAACAAGTACCAGTTGGTAATTGCGTGTCTAAATGTCTAAATAGATTATCTGCAAACTTAGCTTAGGCGCGGCATGCGTCTTATTTGAAAAGCTGAGGAATTGTTCGGATTAGTTCCAGCCGCCAAATTTCGGGAACGCACATCGCGTCAAAATTTCCTATACCATCCTCACTATCTGTATGCTTGGCGTTCCACCATTGTGCGTTTTACTAGGAGTTTTCTTCCTCGTACAACTTCTCTGTGGAATTGTTTACCACCGGCGACTTTTCCGGACCGATACGACTTAGAGACCTTCAAGAAAAGAGCTTACTGTTTTGTAAAAGGCCGGCAACGCACCTGCAATTCCCCTGGTGTTGCGGTTATTCGTGGGCGGCGGTAGTCACTTACTATCAGGTGAGCCGCATGCTCGTTTGTCCCTACTTCTATTTAAAAAAAAGATGTGATGCGGTGATACCGGCCAATTGGTCGGTTTTTGACAAGGTCTCGTTAGCAGTAGTACTGTCTTCAATCTTATCGGTTCTATAGGTTCTTATAACATTTTATCACAACAGTTGGGACGCGGCGAAGGAAAATGCGTGATGTTTCCCGTAGACAATGACGCGAATCAGACGTCCGGCGATATTCGTCCAATTGGTTTCGTTACTATCAGGCGGTCTTTTAGAATAAGAAGAATAATTAATTTCCTAAGCTGCTCTTCATGTTAATAATATATACAAGAAAATAAATGATAGATACATCGAAACTAGCATAGGTCAAAACTGTAGCCAAATTTAATTCGATTTTTTTTTAAATAAATTGTTACATTAATTATAAATTAGGGCGAATTTTCCACAATCCTTGTTAGTTGAGTGTTCAGGGTTTTCTATGCGATTAGTGTGCATATACACGTTCCCATCAGTAAAAGTATCACAATGTTTAAACCGTTACGTATATTAATGTACACTAAACGGGGAAAATTTAACTTCACGGAAACACTGCCATTAGATGGATTGTACCACGTTTTTACGTTTAGTTCAGAGGACCTGTCTTATTGATCCGCAATAATTTATAGTACTATCTTAAGGGGAAATATAATCTCAAATGGCTTAGCAAGATCCTCCGTTATGCCGAAAGTATTGCAGCATTAATTTTGAAATAAATATATGGTAAAGTTGAGGATTAATGTTAAGGACTATGTTAGACGAAAACACGATTCCGTAAAATTTTCTCGATAGAAAAAAAATACAAAGTTACCTCCAAACTGAACAATAAACCGCTGTTATTCATAAAATACTTTAAATAAGATCATGAAACTTTGCATACTAACTGAACTAACTATAAAGCAGTGCTTATGTTATTTACTTTTTTTTAAATTCCATTATTTTCACTGTAAAAAAGAAATTACCTAAACTATCGGCCTCTTGAAGCGTGATTCCTGCCGCCCGGTCACTTCGCTTCGGCCTTTGAATGGGGAGGTTGTGTCGCTTACGATCAGAATACGCATTACGCAACAGGACGACGTAAAATTAAAATGGGAAATAACCGTAATAAAAATAAGATGCGACTGGCGTTAAGAAACAGGCATAAGTATGATAAATCTAATGAAATATGTATGTAACGACCTATCTACTTACAATATTAGTGATTACAAACATGTCGGTACATAGCATACGACGCGCGGGGAAGTGGGGGGCGAAATTAGAATTTGAGCTGACTTACTATATCCCCTTAAAAGGTAATATTGTCAACTACTCTGCCACGTACAAAGTTGACTGTGGTAGTGTTTAGTAACTTATTGAAATTATCTGATTGTCTAACAGCACTGAGCGGCATAGAGGTCGTGGTACATCAAGGCCTGTCGACTGCTGAAGGGCTAGCTGTTGACTGGATAGCTGGAAACTTGTACTGGGTAGAAAGCAGTTTACATCAAATAGAGGTAAGAGGGCGAAATAGTAATTAGTATTTAATAGTTAGTAGTGATTTTCTCGTGAGTTATTATGTATATATATAAATAGTGTTTAAATTTGTCCGATTTAGGCACCTTGTTACCTTAATTTAAGAAATACAAACAGTTTGTCCTAGTGGATAAAAAGTGAATCAATATCGATAGGGATACTTACTGACATTGATTTACCTTTCATACTTAAGTATTTTATCAGTTACACGCAATGAATTTGGTCCTTCGAGCCGGATGTGAACAAAACGTCTGGATTATTACATAAATAATTTTTATTTATTTTACATTGTCCTGTTTTACTTGGCGAGTTTTTAAAGTTTTAAAGTAATGTTGTTCAATAGCAAAAAGCAACGTTTAAAATATTATATAATAGTAATAGTAATAATGAATACTTTGTCACCCGATATAATTATAACATCGTAATTCAATAAGGGAAAATTAAAATTTTATTTAATAAATCAGCTCAGGATACGTATCAAGGCATTTTGGTTTTTCGTTACGTTATCCCTAACCTAGCTAGTAGTACAAATGCTTATATAGAATACTTATCTTCTTTCATTATTTAAATTAAGTTCATTTTGACAGTTATAATTTGATCCCTAATACATTCAAAAAATATATTACTCAAATATATTATTTTTATTAAATTAATATTTTGTAGGTGGCTAGAGTTGATGGCAAGTACCGGCGTACGTTGATTGCTGAGGATATGGATAGTCCACGTGCCATCGCCGTGGATCCTAGGAAAGGTAAAATTGTTTTTTTGAAAATTTTACCGGTACGTTACGAAACCGCCTACAAAGGAGGTGGTCCGAAATTGTATGAAGTGTCCTCGTTTTGTACAAGTATGGAAATAAATTAAAATAATATATTTTTGCGCGCCAGAGTTGATGGCACTAGCGCCATCTGGTATCAAATATCAGAAACAGAAGTATCATGAAGTGATTCAGTGTGATTAATTATTAGTGTCTTTGAAGTTTTAATTGGTGATCGTTAATTAAAGTGTAAATTTTGGTAATTCAATCGGCAGTTTTTATTGTCACGAACCCAAAGCTCGTAACAATATTATACCACTTTTGGTTATTCAAATTCACGAATTTGCCTTTATTTCAGTGGTATTAATACATTATTTTTACCAAAAACTGCAACACTAAATGGCGAATTAGTGTCGATGTTAGCTGTCATCTGTCATGAGGTTTTATGGACAGATGTTTGAATTCTGAAATGCTGTGACATTCTTACTACAAATAGCCTATTCTGATATTCTTACTACAGGTAGATTTATTATGTACAATGGCTAAAATGTCTCGAAACTTGGGGATAATGCTATTTTGGTCTTGGAACAAGTAACGTTCTTGTTGATTGTACGAGCAAGTACATGATATTTCAACAGTTTAGAAAATAATGCTGATATCGCGCCTGCGCGCGCGACACGTTCACTATAATTACATTTTTTATTCATAAGTATTTTCAGTACAATAAACGCTCTCTACGGAAACGGACACAGTTTTAATTACCACATCCCGTAACGTAGAAGATACAACCTACATTAATATACTACATATCAATTATATGTAGAGGGTCACAACTCACAAAATACCCCCTACATTTTGGTCCTTCGAGTTTTCGACGTGAACTAAGACTTGCATATTACGTCTACAATAGTTCAACAGTAAAGTGTATTTGAAAAAAAAAAAAAAAAAAAAAAAGAGTTATTCGTGATTCTATCTGTAGTGTCACTTTGGTTGCTGGCCTCCCACAAGCGGGTCTCACCAGCTTGATTGAGGTGCATACTACGGTAAGAGTCGCAGTCACACGTATCTGAAACCAACTATTTACAACATCGTTCTTAAACCATGGAGAACCTACTTCAACAACAGAGAACAATCATTGAATCTATCCTTAAAATTGAGGCTAACTTCAAAAAGGATTCTGATTCACGTAAGTCAGGAACATACATACAGAAAAGGTTGGATGCTTTGAATGCTCAATGGGAGGTGTTCAACATGAATCATGGTGTTCTAAAAAAAACAGACAGTGACTTGGATGACGACTATTTCATCAATGATACCTACACCACCACAAAGAAGCGGTACGAAGCGATTCGTGACATGCTGACGAACTACGAGGTGAAAACTGCGGAAACTGGAGTACCATCAAGGTCTGATGAGTTCATTAGCCAACAACGCACTAATTTCGCGCTCTCTAGGGTGATTAAAAACATCAACACCAAAGAGTTGACAGAAAAGTGGGAAATTTGTGACAAACTGAATTCGCTGCAGTCTCGCTGGAAACTGATCGACGAGCTCCACTGGCAAATCGATAACCTGACTTCTGGCGGTGATGTAGGCTACGAAGAAGAGTTTTCTGCATACGAAACCTTGTACGAAACTACAAAAAGGGATTTGAATCGTAAGCTTAACTCAGTATCTCAACAGCATCAGCAAGTGCCTACAATTGAGATTCCTTCTTTTCTGGTAATTATACCCAGTGGCCTACATTCATGGACCTCTACTGTGAAGCCATCCACAACAATGTCATGTTGACAAAAACGCAAAAGATGCAGCACCTCAAGGGCAAACTTAAAGGCGAGGCGGAGCGCATCGTACAGCATCTTACAGTATCAGCTGATAATTACGACACCTGTTGGGAGATACTCACCCATAGGTACAACAACCGACAACTTTTGTTTACAAAACATATACAAACCCTTATGGGACAACCGGCGTTGCAAACACAGAATGCATACGAGCTGAAGAAGCTACATGACACAAGTGTCGAGACCATACATGCTATTCACAATCTGGGCATCGACACAACGACTTGGGATCCGATCCTGGTGCACATTCTCACTGGCAAATTGGACTCCGACACGTATGCAGCCTACATGGAGATCAGAAAGGCTCCGAGAGAGCTACCTTCCTTGGATGAGCTGATAAACTTCTTGGAAAACAAGTTTACTGCGCTTGAACCTGTTCAAAAGAAGAGACAGACACCTAACAAGTCAAACAATTCGACCAACAAGGAGGCAACAGCTCAATTTAAGAAGGACTTTAACAACACCAACAGGCGTAGTTTTCTTCGAGCATATCATACAAGCACAGACAAAAATTGCCCACTGTGTAAAAACAATCATATTTTACTCTACTGCAAGTCGTTTCAAGACATGTCACCGGAAGACAAAATGAGGTCAATTTCGCAACTACATATTTGTCGCAATTGCCTGTACTTACACAACGACAATAAATGCAACTCCAACAAAAGATGCCGCGTGTGCAAAGAAGCACACCACACAACATTGCACGATATTTACCGCAAAGTTGAAATCGCGGTCTCAAATAACGTTATACCTAGCAACAAGCCACATACATCACAGCAAAAGGCAAACCACGTGTCTGGAAATTATAACGAAGTCCTACTAGCGACCGTTCAATTAAAGGTGATGGCAGCTGATGGATCGACTGTTCAATTGCGATGCCTTCTCGACCAAGGATCACAGATAAATCTAATAACTGAAGATGCTGCGCAACGGCTGGGACTGCAAAGACAAAATCGAAACGCCACAGTCTCAGGCATAGGGACGTCAGCACATCATAGCAACGGAACCGTACGGTTAGACTGTGAGTCTTTGTACGGAGGCCATTCATTTACAATCGAAGCCATGGTAATGGCCAACATGCTCAGCAACCTGCCTAATTACACCTTCGAAAAACAAGACTGGCCACATATTCAGAACATACAACTGGCGGATCCCGACTTCAACATCTCGAGACCAGTGGACGTTCTGTTAGACGCTGGAGTGTATGCTGACATAGTAATGAGTGGTATGCTACGAGGACCCTCACACGCACCCATGGCTCAACAGACAAAAGTGGGCTGGGTACTGCTGGGCAATATCAAAACCTTCAACTGCCACGTGCTCATTAATCTTGACGATGTATCTCGATTTTGGGAGATGGAGGAGATAACCGAAACCAATCACAATCTAACATCAGAGGAAGAATACTGTGAATCTATTTATTCAACCACAACAACAAGAAAAGAAGACGGACGATATGCAGTCAGACTTCCAATGAAAATAAACTACGAACAAACCTTGGGCACTTCTAAGCCACAGGCAATCGCACAATTTCGGCAGTTAGAAAAACGATTGGCCAAACAGGAAACATTTTCTACGTCATACAAGAAGTTTATTGACGAATATCTACAACTCGGCCACATGAAGCCATGCACTGAACACCATAAGCCAAGCTACTTCTTACCTCATCACGGCGTACAAAAGCTGGACTCAACAACTACAAAATTGCGCGTAGTCATTAATGCCTCTGCCAAGACAAGTACAGGACAAAGCTTGAACGATCTCATGGAGTGCGGGCCTAACCTCCAACAAGACCTACAATCTATGATTCTACGTTGGCGAGCCTTTCAATACGTCTACACTGCAGACATTGAGAAGTTTTACCGTCAAGTACTGATACACGATGAAGATCAACACCTGCAAAAAATTGTATGGCGTGACTCTGCTACAGATCTCATCAAAGAATACCAACTGTGCACTGTAACATATGGTACCAAAGCTGCACCATTTTTGGCAATGCGCACCATAATACAACTCGTAATGGACGATGGACACCGCTATCCTCTCGCGGCAGAGATCCTTACTCACCAGCTGTATGTGGATGACCTACTTGGTGGCAGCAACGACATGTTAGAAGCACAAGACGCTCAAAACCAATTGATTGACCTGTTAAAAGGCGGTGGGTTCAATCTTCGCAAATGGGCTAGTAACCACCCCAGATTGCTTCAAACTTTACCTGAACATCTCATAAGCCAGAATATGTTTGACTTCAAGGACGCAGAGAGTAACAAAACACTCGGCTTAACCTGGAATCCGCACACTGATCAGTTTACATTCAAGGCGCCACTTAGTAACACACGTGACGTCACAACGAAGCGGACATTGCTCTCTGATCTATCAAAATTATATGACCCACTTGGTTGGCTGTCTCCGGTAACAATGAAGGCAAAACTCATATTTCAACAAGCTTGGCTTGCTTCAACAAATTGGGATGAACCTCTTCCGGAAGACATACAACAAGAGTGGACAACCTTTCAACAAGAATTGCCCACTATCAATACCATCGCTTTACAACGCTGGATTGGTAACACTAAACAGCCCATCGAGTTACACGGATTCAGTGACGCCTCCGAGAAAGCCTACGGCTGCGTTATCTACTGTAAATCTATTAGTGAAGAAGGGCAACAAATTATCACGCTGGTGGCGGGAAAAACTAAGCTCGCACCATTAAGAAAACCCCCGTCTTTACCACGGCTTGAACTATGCGGTGCCCTACTACTGTCTCGACTTATGAAAAAGGTCATAGAGTCAATAAACTCACAGATTGTAACAATACATGGTTGGACAGATTCTATGATCGTGATGGGTTGGTTACAAGGGGGGCCTTCAAGATGGACTACATTTGTGGCTAATCGCGTAACACAGATCACTGTCATCATGCCATCGGGATGCTGGAGGCACGTCAAGTCTGAATATAACCCAGCAGATTGTGCCAGCAGAGGCCTAACTCCACTACAACTGGCGAATCATCATTTATGGTGGGGACCTATTTGGCTAAAAGACAACGATCTCCCACTTCAAGACCAATTCCACACAACTGTTGAAGAGAAAAAGGTCAAACAAGTTTGCGTGTCACAAAGGTCGATGCCATTAATCGGAGAACTTTTAAACAAACACAGCTGTATGGCACGCGTAACTCGAATCCTAAGTTGGATACTTCGGTTCATAAACAATGCACGTGACGTCAACAATGCCATGCGGTCATCGTACTTAGCAACGAGTGACCTGCAGAACGCACATAATGCAATTATCAAGGCTATACAAACTAATCATTTCGCCGACGACATTGCACAACTCAATAAACATCATAAAGTGCGAATAACAAGCAGCATTTTAAACTTAAATCCATTCCTGGACAAACACGAAATCTTACGTGTAGGAGGACGTCTGGAAAATGCCAACTTAAGTCAAGAACAAAAACATCCAATTATCTTACCTTACAATGACAGGTTAACGGAGTTACTGATCGACCAAGCGCACAAGAGGACCCTGCATGGTGGGGCCAGACTAACTCTATCATATCTACGCAACAGATATTGGATTATCAGCGGTTTGAGAGCAGTGAAAAAACGACTTATACGGTGCATCACGTGTCATCGCTTCAAAACTATCAACAACAACCAACTTATGGGTGATTTACCTCCTCCACGCGTCACACCATCAAGGCCTTTCACACACACCGGTGTAGATTTCACTGGGCATGTGGAGGTAAAGGCTAACAAGGGCAGAGGAATAAAGACAATGAAGGCCTACGTAGCTGTATTTGTGTGTCTGTGCACAAAAGCTCTTCACCTCGAACTTGTCTCCGATCTCAGCACAGTGGCTTTTCTGAACGCCTTGAAACGAATGTGTGCCCGCCGAGGAAAGCCCCGTCACATCTACAGCGACAACGGCACCAACTTCGTGGGCGCAGCAAGAGCATTGGAAAAACAACGAAAGGAGGCATTACAATGCTACATAAACAATGACGTCATAACTAACATGTCAGAGTGGGGCATTGAATGGCATTTTAACGCCCCTTCCTGGCCTACTGCTGGTGGACTCTACGAAGCTGCAGTAAAAAGCCTGAAACATCACCTCAAACGAGTACTTGGGGATCAAAAACTTACGTTCGAGGAATTTTCTACACTGTTGGCGCAGATTGAAGGATGTCTCAACTCTCGCCCCCTGGTGGCGTTGTCAGAGAATATCGAAGACCTTGACTGCTTGACACCAGCTCACTTCCTAATCGGCGAGCCTTCTCTAGAATCACCACTATCCGCTGAGGGTAATGACATGACCTTCTCTACAAGATGGCAACTTACGGAGAAAATGTACAAGGACTTCTGGAGAAGGTGGTCTACTGACTATCTTCAAACTCTACAAACTCGAAGCAAATGGCACTTCCCTACTAAAAACTTAGAAGTTGGGGACGTCGTTATCGTCAGAGAAGACAACATTCCTCCTGCCAAATGGATCCTGGGACGGGTGTTGGAGACTCACCCAGGTGCGGACGGCCGGGTACGAGTCGTCACACTGAAAACTAAAACAAGTAATATGAAGCGACCGATTACAAAATTGTCACGCCTTCCGTTGGATCCGTCATCTTATACAACTGCATCTTCTGACGTTGACACTACGAAGCCTGCAATAAATACACAAAGAAAACGAAGAAACAACAACGGCAAAAAACACTTCAACAACCTTTTTTGTACGTTACTACTTATATTTTCGATGTGTGTTGGACCTACTACGCAACAAATGATCAACATAACAAGGCTTAGCAGTTCAAGAGTCGTTTATTTTGACAAGGTGTCTGATGTGCAGATTATTCAAGATAAGTGGAAAATGGTTGTATACTACAACATGACGACATATTGGCGGAGTTTGGACAACATACAAAACTATGTCAACCATTTGAACACATTATGCAAGAAGGAAGCAGCCTATCTTACAATTTCATCCCAGTTTCAACACGAACTTAACGAAATTCAACACTATAACGATATCTTACGATCAGAACATGGACCGTCTCGAAGAAAAAGAGGACTAGTGAATGGAATAGGATACCTAGCAAACTCCCTTTTTGGTACTCTGGATGAGAGATTTGCCAATCAGTACGTGAAGGATATCAACATAATCCAGTCAAACGAAAATCATCTATTGAATCTCTACAAAAATCACACATCGATCATCGAAAGTGAATATAATCTTCTAAAAAGAAACGAGGAAGTAATGAACACACAATTTCGTATCATCGACAATCATCTCGCTGAAACGGAAAAACGCATACAAATCAGCCATGACAATGCTATGTACATAACAGCTACCGCTCTGGCCGTGAACTTGATCATTTCAAACATACGACAAATACAACAGCAACTCCTAGACCTAGTAACTGACGTGAAGGACGGGAGAGTTGACACCCATCTCATCAAGCCCAACCAATTTGAAGATCAGCTCAACATCATCTCCGGTCATTTACCAAGCGAGTTATCGCTACCCTGTGTGAACACACGCCATTGCACGCGAAGCCTATACAAGCTGGCGCGAGTGCACGTGCGCTTAACAAGTGCATACATAATATTCGAAGTGAAGCTACCGCTAATAAACAACGAACAATATGAACTTAACCACATCATTCCTATTCCGCAAATAACTGGACACACAGAGAAAACTATAGTACTCACATCTGAATACCTTGCTGTAAACCTAAAAGGGGACATGATAATACCCTTAGAAAACCGAGATGTATCATCATGCTTAAATCTGCAAGAAAACAAAATGTTATGTGCTATCAATCAACCTATTTACAACATTAAGGTAGCCGATACATTATGTGAAGCGCAAATATTAAACAATGGCGACTCATCAACATGCCGCACAAGAGTATTGGATTGCAACGACAGGTGGGTGCGATTACACAATCGTGGCGCGTGGCTGTTCTCCTGTTGCGAAGACTGCACGATGCGCATTTTCTGCCCAGCTGGAGTGACGTCACAGCACTTACACGGCACGGGGATTATGTTACTCGGACTTGGGTGTATGCTCAAGGGAGAAAGCTTCATCATTCATGCTCACAACGACTATCACAGCGAGTTGAAACTAACAGGCAGTGAAGAAAGAATGTACATGCGTGAATCAAGCCTGAACCACATACTGACAGACTTTAATCATACATTTGGACCTGAAGATCATAAAGACGCCTTACAAGAGCTGAAAAACAACATTGATAAGGTCAAGGAACAGCAACAAACACTGAGTGTACAATCACTCACACATGACACACACAACTATGTGTTGTACACCGTAGTCGGATTTATTATTGTAGCCTTCATTGCATGGGGGACATTCCGGCTGAAAAGAAGATGTCAAGGCTGCAGCGTGAATCTTCGCGACAAGCCAGACCCCAACAATGTCGAGCAGCCAACCCAAGGACATTCATCGGAGCATGGGGTCTCGGACATCGATAGTGTGGATGCGGTGATCGCAACGGCTGCCCGTAAACTCAATAGGGGTTCATCGCCTTAAACTTTCTTCTTGTTTATAAAATTGGCAAGATGTACGAGCAAGTACATGATATTTCAACAGTTTAGAAAATAATGCTGATATCGCGCCTGCGCGCGCGACACGTTCACTATAATTACATTTTTTATTCATAAGTATTTTCAGTACAATAAACGCTCTCTACGGAAACGGACACAGTTTTAATTACCACATCCCGTAACGTAGAAGATACAACCTACATTAATATACTACATATCAATTATATGTAGAGGGTCACAACTCACAAAATATCAATGCAATCCAGGAGATCGGAATAAACAAAAAAATATCACTCTACTTACATAATTTCACGACTCAAGGCACTTGTCAGACATGACATGTGACATATAATTTTATGAATGGAAAATCATCAAAAGTATGGATTGCATTTTTATTTTTAGCAAGTTATTTAGTTCAATTTATTCTCTTATTTTATTTTTAATAAAGCCTGAATTTTTCGCTTTTTTACGGTATAGTGTACATATACTGGGCCTGAATTAGACCGTCTCCTTTGGCTTGCACCTAGTTGTTTTTTTACAACTGAAAAAACATACTCGTAAAAGTTAGTATTCATAATTTCTACGCATCGTTATATTCGAGAGCTGAGATAGCTAAAATAGACCAACTAGGTTTATTTATAGCCAGGATGATTCGCGAGCTATTGAAGTTAAAAAAAACATCCTAATTTCAACAGAGAACAGAGCTGGGTGCTACCATCTGCTTGGTATCCTATAATTAATAAAGTTAAATCCCAACCCAAGCACACAACTGCAAGACTTCAAAATACTATAAGTTCATACTGTGAAGATCGGAACAAAAATTAATAATTTTAATCTATGGTAATCGCGGTAAACTATGACATCTGGACGTTGAACATCTCAGTCCCTCGTTCCCCCGTCACCTTGGGTGCTGTAAAGTGCTCGAAACGTCGTATAAAAAAGTTAATATACGCGATAAATTCCATAAAAACTAGTATTATTTAAATGTGTAGTGTCCGCGTAAATATAAGAAATCCGCGATATGAAGTGAGTGCGGTGCGGCAGGCTACCTGTTCTGGAGCGACTGGGAGGCTGCGGCGCCGCGCATCGAGCGCGCGTCGCTGGCGGGGCGGCGGCGCACCGCCGTCGTGCGCGTCGACGCGCTCAGCGACGGCGCCTGGCCCAACGGCATCGCGCTCGACCACCTCGCCGAGCGCCTCTACTGGATCGACGCCAGGTTCCTACTCTTTGTTGCGGGACAGTTCGCAAAATATATTTTAAAAAATCTAACGAATATATTGCCACGAGACACGTGACTGCTTCGTTGTTCTAGTGGTCGGTAACGCAGTTGCTGATCAGGAGGTCCTGGTTTCAAATCCCGGGTCAGGTCAAATCAGTTATTGGGTTTTCGATAAAGACATTCTCAGTAGTAGCCCGGAGTAAGTGTTTCACTACTTGTTTAGAAGTGAAACACTTACTCCGGGTAGTACTTAAAGCCGTAGGTTCTGCGCCTGATCTCTCTCCGATCGTATCGGATTACCGTCCCATCGGACTATGAGAGTGAGGGAACAGAGAGTGTACCGCGCATACACTTGACCACTATTGTCTCCGTCGAGACTGGCCGCCTTGACCGAAATTCGGTCTGGAGAACATACGAATACACCATAGTTATTTTGAAACTTTAACATTTCTTTTCTAACAGTTTCCGAATGTTCGGAATTTGTCACCGTAGTCAAAATTTTGGGAAGTAGACATTGTTAGTTTCATAATAACGAATCTTAGGTACATTCGGGGAGCGGTTAAGTATTATTCACTACGTAGCTTGAGTCCTCCGCGAGAAGGTCATTAAGGTGTACGGTGCGTGGTGGTTGCAGGTCAGACTCGATCCACACGACGACGTACGACGGCGGTGACTACCGGGAAGTACTACGCGGCCACGAGGCGCTGTCGCATCCGTTCGCGATCACGGTGTTCGAGTCACACGTGTACTGGACAGACTGGCGCAGCAACAGCGTAGTGCGCGCCAACAAGTGGAACGGCAGCAGCGTCGCCGTGGTGCAGCGCACGCTCACGCAGCCTTTCGACATCAAGGTGCGTCCCCTTCCTTCTCTAATAGTATAGATAAGGAACAGAAACGGGCTAAGATTATAGTTCTTAACTTATACCGTTAATAACACTTTTTGCGTTCTGTTACTTAATTATGAAATACAAGTGTATGTGTTGTGGTTTCCTAATTGATGTATCATGGTGAACAAAATCGAAGGCTTCGGGTAGGTCACAGAATGTACCCAAAGCATCTTGTAAATTTTTCCATGCATTGAAGTAAGGTTCATCAACTCAACACCGACATCAGTTGTCAAACGACCCCTCGTGAAACCGAATTGGTTCTGTTCATAGATCTTTATTTCTCAAAAAGACAACAGTCACTTACATGAGAACAATAATTATATAAACTTAGTAATAACAATTTGTAGTGCGGGTATAAAAAAACTTTGTTGTATGTTTTTATGGCCTTTTTCTTTTGTTTGAAGCTTATACTGTCATGAATAGGAAGCTATTGAATTTTTGACATTTTCCTTGGTTGAAGCGACTTACGTCATCCACGGGACAAAATAGCGGATCCTTCATGCCGCCGCCGCACAACAATTTTTTTATTCGATATTTCGAGTATTTTTTCACATGACCTCTGTGCGCAGGTGATCCACCCGAGCCGACAGCCGCGCGGCGCCAACCCGTGCGGCGCGCACAACGGCGGCTGCTCGCACCTGTGCCTCATCGACGCGCCCGCCGCGCGCCTGTGCGCCTGCCCGCACCTCATGCGCCTCAACGCTGACCAGCGCACCTGCGAAGGTGAGCTGAGCCGAGCCGCATTCCTCCCCACTCCTCTCCGCATCACCATCTGCTCGCACCTGTGCCTCATCGACGCGCCCGCCGTGCGCCTGTGCGCCTGCCCGCACCTCATGCGCCTCAACGCTGACCAGCGCACCTGCGAAGGTGAGCTGAGCCGAGCCGCATTCCTCCCCGCACCTCCCCACTCCTCTCCGCATCACCATCTGCTCGCACCTGTGCCTCATCGACGCGCCCGCCGTGCGCCTGTGCGCCTGCCCGCACCTCATGCGCAACAACGCCGACCAGCGCACCTGCGAAGGTAAGCTGAGCCGAGCCGCATTCCACCCCGCACCTCCCCACTCCTCTCCGCACCACCAGCTGCTCGCACCTGTGCTTGTGCCTTAATTTATTGTTTTTTGTCTTCACCGTGTTAATAATTTATCCCTATATGCACATGCATCTATAAAAAATTTTCCACTGCGCGATGATCCGCCAGTGTTGTTTCAGTAGATGCAGTAAAAAGTTCCTGGCTGAGGGATCTAGCATACGAGTATATGTGATCTATACATGATTCACTTAATATGCCATCGGGTGGTTCTATTATTGTACATTCTGTGATTCGCACACAAGACCTGTGCTATGTAACGACTTGTTGTGCCTATGTTTAACAGGAGTGTCCGATTTTAAGTCAATGTTAATATCACCCGGTAAATACAAAAATCGTTGTTGCCGCAGTGACTCTTAAGTAGGTTAAATAGCTCGTCGATAAAAAGATTTTTATTCGTACTAGGAGGGCGGCACACTGCGCTAATATTCGCATGATAACTCGTTGGAGTGGTGACTGTGCATGTGAAACTTGTGAAGTGAAACTTTTACAGAATTTTGTTCTATATTATTTAGTTTTATATATTATGCTTATTGCTAATGAAGATGATAATGAAACCACCTCGACGTGTTACCCGCAGGTCCGTTAACATTTGATATCCATTAATGTGATACTGATGTTTTCTGAAATATTTGTTTCTGTTATTATTATTACGTCTAAGCATTTTGAATAACTAAATATACATTGTTCTAGGAGGAGTTTTTTTATGGTAATACGGATGTTAATGTGCATACGTAATAGCTTAATATTTGGATTTTTAGGTAGATAATTACAAAATTGATTTTCGTTTATACAATTTTCGAATTATTTAATTTCGTAGTATATGTAGCGGCGCTGTCGTCGCGCCACTAGCACACTGAAACACACCGAAGCCTAAATCGCGATATTAACATTCCGAATCATAGACAGTATATATAGAACTTCTCCGAACTATCACTCGGAGTGTTGGCCGCTCCCCGGGCAGAACACCTTGCCCGGCGGGAGATCTCCCCTTTTCCTACTTCGGCCACAAGGTTATTATATTTGGGTAACAAACAGGTTACTTTACGTAATTAGTACTTTAAGGTTAATACGAAAAATAAAATTAATTCCTAAATAAAATAAATGATTTCACAGCTTTTAATTAGCAAGTGTAATTATTAGGGATGGGCCGAATATGGATTTCAACGAATACGAATATTCGGCCGAACGTTCGGTAAAATTTTTACCGAACCGAATATTCGGCCGAACATTATTCGGCAGGATTACCTCGGTACCTAACCAATTTATGTCGAAGGTAAACTTTTCATTCTAAGTAGCTTGGAAGACATAATTAGTAATTATGTCTTCCAAGCTACTTGGAATGAAAAGTTTACCTTTGTCTTCTCTGCATGCCTTAATCAAACCCTTTTTGAACCAAACATATTTGTAATTCTGCTTAATTTTTAACTCTTGTTTTGCATGCCAGAAACTTTCTTGCTGCACTGAGTCATTATTTCCCTTATATACACGGAATTGTTTTTATTTTATCTTGGGTGAATGTCTGCTACCGTAATCCTGGCACTTTATGCGGCCGCCATCCATGTATCCAAAAGACTTTCCTCTTTAGTTCCTCTTTTATATTTCCATTCTGATCGCTTTTTCCTTTTAAGCTGTATGCTTTTGTAAAACTTTCCTTATGTATGTTTAGCTTTTCGGCCACATTATCAACCAGTTGGTTCAAATTCTTATCTTTGTGCAGTGGATGTTTGCTATCTCAATGCATTTAGACAATCTACTTTGCTCCACCACCTGAAATTTTTGTCCGGCCGACATTCCCCCGGCCATAAAAGGTTACCTTTTTTAGGGAAAAAAAATTGTTATCTCTAATATAAAAAGCTGATAAACGGTTGACCCTGCAGGCCATCTTTTGAGTTTACTGCTCATTTTCAAGCGCAACGCTCGAAAAATTATTATTTTGTGAGCCCAAAACGATTATTTGAGATATTTAAAGGGCTATTATTTATGAGCGCGTCGTTGGAAATATATGTGGTTGAGCGGCGGGCCTTAAGGTTGCCGAGTCACTATGCCCCGGTCGAGCCTTGACCCTATTACGCGAGATGTTACACTATGTGGACTGTATACGCGGATCATGCCTAAACAAGATGACGGATTTGGCACGCGGTTCCCTGACGATGCACTCGCTCTTCCAAGGAAAACCTATTGCTTGCCAAGGTCTATGAAGGAACCCTGCTTGATCACATTAGGAGGAATGAAATTGGGGCAGATGAACTAGTAAAACACAAATTTCAAACAGGTAACATAAATAAGGAAGCGCACTTACCGGGGTGTTACTTCGATGCGGCTTAGACGCTTTGCTGCTGCGGTGCGACTTCTGGCGGATCTCCAGGGTCCCCAGGGATGCGGTCCTAGTCGATGGTGCGATGGAAGAGAGCGGTGCGCGACTATATCTCACACGAGGTGAGGCGGTTATTCCTGAAGCTCGACTGCTCCAGACTAATGCGGTTGAACTAGCGGTGCGCGTGGGTAAGCCCTCTAGGACGCGACTGTCCTAGGCGGTGTTGTTCCAACTGGCGGCTGAAGGGAAGAGAGCGCGCGAAGGCCCTGCACACGCTTATATTACTTCGGCCCTCCTATCAATGCGTCTCGGAGGGGCGCGCTTCTCATTGGTTGCAAATCACGCGATATTCTAGAATCATCTTCTTTCCCCTCTCACCCCACACCCCTCGGAAAGTATAGGTCGAAGGAAGGAGAAGTTTGGCAAGCCTACCTTCGAACAAAATTAAAAATACGGATGGTTTTCCGCGCAACCATCCCCCCCCCCGGCTTGAAGGATCCCCTTCAAAAATAGCTAAAACAACTAAAGCTAAGATCAAACTAACAAAATAACTAACTAACGCTAAGATTAAACCTAAATGTCGATTATAATTTCTAATCTAGAAAACTAATTTAAACTATTGAAGGGGCAAAGGGCACAAACGAACAACAGGATGCATGTAAGACCCAACCGTGGTCCTAAAGTGAGCTACCCTAATTACCCCGTCGGAACCGGGAAAAACCTCTTCGACAATCCCTAATGGCCAATGGAGAGGCGGCGTATTCTCCTTGGTGAGCACAACCACAGTTCCGACAGTTAAAGGTTTAGTTGCTGTGTTCCATTTTTGCCGAGACTGTAAAGTATGCAAGTATTCCATCCTCCATCGTTTCCAAAACGATTGCACCAACCGGTCTAATAATTTATGGCGTGCGGAAATGCTAAGTTTGTTCTCGTCCATATCTACGGCGGGCAAATACTTCAAAGGCGTTAAATTCAAAAAATGTGCTGGAGTTAGAGCCAGCGGCTCTGAGGGGTCACTTGAGAACGTACGACAAAGTGGGCGACTATTTATGACGCACTCAATTTGAGCGAGCACAGTACTTAGCTCTTCGAAGGACAAAATTTGATCTCCTATTACTCGGTATAAGTGACTCTTTAGACTCTTAATATTAGTCTCCCAATTGCCTCCAAAATGACTCGCGGCTGGGACGTTCAGAGACCACTCGATGCGGTTCTCGGCTAGAATGTGAGCAAACTCCGAATTATAATACTTGCTTGCTAAGAGCTCATGTAGTTCCGATAGAATACGTTTTGCACCGACGTAGTTCGTACCGTTATCCGAATACAATTTACTTACAGGGCCACGGCGGGAAAGAAATCTTTTAAATGTACCCATAAAGCCTGCTGTGCTTAGATCACCAACGAGTTCTATATGCACCGCCCGAGTAGTTAGACATACGAAAATGCAGACGTAAGCCTTCGTGGATCTTATACCACGCCCGCGAGTGAGCGTGACCTTAAACGGACCAGCAAAATCAGACCCGGTGTGCGTAAAGGGCTTTACGGATTGTATTACTCGAAAAGACCCAAGGTCCGCCATTTCCGGAAATGACGGCTTGGACCGTACTCGAAAGCAAGCTATACATCTGTGCACCCGATTGCGGATTAAGTACTAAAACTTACGCAAGATACACAAAGAGAAATTCTATGATGTAATCAACTAATAAAATCATGATATGGTCTTTACGCGGTAAAACTAAGGGTGCCGTTGGTCGAAATCATCAACAACTCCCCAACATCCCTCTTAAATCTTAAGGCGTTGAAACGCTATACGTAATCAATTTCCTCGGAAAAATGTGCACGTTGAATTCACTATACTAGCAACTCGGCATAGTTGTAATCGGATGCTTAGATATACGAACGTCGCGGTAAAAGCTTCGCGAATCAACAAACGTAAATTACGTTACGCAATAATTCCGACTAAGAGGACAAGCGGTTCGCCAAAGCAATGATTGGAGAAAACTCGCTCGAAACGCTCGCTACCAGAGCGTGCCTCTTCTCTTCCGGCGGTTGTGACACTGACGAAGGGTCGAAATCGGTTATTGGCAATTGCGAGGGTTCCAATTGAACCCAAGAAGGTCCGTGGAACCAAAGCGGATGGTCCATTATTTGCACCGGGGTGAGTCCACGGGATAGACAATCGGCAGGGTTTTCCGTACCGGACACGTGATAAAAGTTCCGCGTTCCTAACTTGTCTTGGATCTTTGCGGACTAACGACTCGAGCGGTTCGACAGCCATATACTATCCATGATGGGGGCGGGCCAACGATGACATAGCCCAAGACGGTTTCCAATGCGTAAGCCACGGTATGCGAGGAGTTGCCCCTGACCTTATTGTGTAACAAAAGATGAGGGAAAAGCGATGCTCCAATGAGCATGTCTATGTTTCCGGGGACGGTGTAAGTATCGTCTGCCAGAGTCAAATTTTCAAATTCAATCATTGCCGAGGTGTCAACCGAAACGGTTGGCAGACGTTCAGTGACTTTATCTACTACTAACGCATTTATGTCAAAGTTAACATTACGATCTATCCGAGAATAAAATTTCAAATTTATATATCCCTGGGTAACTTTATTAGTACCTCCGATGCCTTTGACTATGGGACATGAAGGTGTCTTATTTATTGGCAGCCCTAAACGCTGACAACATTGTCGCGTTATAAAGCTATTTTGGGATCCGCTGTCTAGCAATGTACGGACGCTTTGTTCCTTTCCAAGCGAATCCCTAACTACGATACGGGCTGTACCCAGGAACACGGTTGAAGGAGGCTGTGTTCCCATATTCGACAGTGAGCACAGAGCGACATCACCAGGTCGACCGCTAGAATCTTCGACTTTAGTAGGTGTGACGCAAATATGTTGCTGTTTTCGAATTGTAATAACGTGTGATGTTTTCTGGCGCACTTGTTACACACGGAACTAGAATTGCATTTAGCAACTAAATGTCTATCGCTTAGACAATTCAAACATAAGTTGTTTGTCCTTACTATTCTATAACGTTCGCTGGGTGAATGTTTACGAAAGGTCGCACAATTGTATAAATTACCGTGTTGTTTATCTTTACATAGGATACAGGCATTCTGCGGCGGTACCGGTGCAGCGGTTACGTACGTTAACGACCCTGCGGTTTTAGGTGATGGAGTCTGTCTACGGTCGACACATTTCTTAACTTCTTGTTTAACGTTCGAGGAGCGCTGCATCACTTTAATTTGGTCTCGCACAAAGGATGCTAATAAATCTAATGAGGGCATCTCAGAGCTACAATGCTCCATTTCAAACGCACGCACGGTGTCGGGGTCTAGTTTCTTTAGTGCTACATGGAGAAACACCACGTCCATAAGGTCATTAAAATTCATGTTCTTAAGTGCCGCCACCGATGCTACAAATTTATCTAAAAACTGCTCTAAGCCGGTGATGTTCGCGGATGATATAGGTTTAAGATCGAATATCTGGTTTAAATATTCGGAGGCTAACATTCTCTTATCTTCATATTTCCTTCATATTCACCTGCTTGGGATCCTATAATCAATAAAATTAAAACTAAACCCAAGCATACCACTGCAAGACCTCAGGACATAGTCAGATCGGACCATAAACAATAATTAAAAAACTGAAGGTACTCCGGGTTTAACAATGACATCGGGACGTCACTCACCTCAGTCCTCCAGTCTCAGTCCAGAATTAAAAATAAAAGTAAATAAAAAGTAAAAATAAACGCGATAAAATCCGTAAAAGTAGTTTTAATCATGTATAGTGTTCGCGTAAATATAAGAAATCATTCATATTTGGTTTTAAGCGTTTCGAATATTAACAAATAATTGTTTGCTGTTGGTGTGAAACCCGAACAAATGGACTGTGCCCTGCCACTCAGTTTACTAATTAAATAATATAATTTTTCAGCGTCCGATAACGATGGATTATTATGTATATTGTTTTGAAAACTACTAAAGAAGAAGGGCCATGTCTTAATATCGCCATTGAATACCGGAATGTTTATTGGGGGCAACCTAAGTGAATCACGTGGGCGTACCTGGGCTTCCGGCTTTGCTTCGCTTTGAGGTGGGGACTGCAAGAGCTTCGCCGTTCTTTTCACGTGACACAACATATCTTCAAATGCTAGAAGCGGCTGATAGTTCACTGTATACTTAGGGTCGACCTGTAATTCCAAATTATTAATTTGGTCTAATATCTTTTCGTAATCCATCCGCAAAGAGTCCACCGTTTCGGTTTCACATAAAAAAGTTTCCCGCACTGCTTCTACGTTAATGTTCTTTATGTGATCACTAATACATTGTATACGTGAAAAGAGTACGTCCCTCTTGGCGTAAAGAGTTTTAAGTTTAATTTCATTTCCACTAACTGCCATTTTAAATTACTATAATTAATATTAGATTAATCACAATTAATCGCACAACGCTGGAGGATGGACACGCGTGCCGTATTACGTCTTTAAATTGAATACCTTTACAACGAGCCGAGGTGACGCGTGTCGCTCGCTAAACTCAATGTTTTTTTTTACAAATGTCGGGTAAGCCGTATAACCGTGCGGAACTAAACTGTTTTAAATAAATAAGTCGATTCACTTATGCGAGCAACTAATAAATTTTAAACTTAAACTAAACAAGCACTATTTAAATGAATAATTCTATTTGCGAATAACTAACCAGACCCCCCCCCTCCACTTAAATCAAACTCTAAAAAAGTTAAATATACGCGATAAATTCCGTAAAAATTAGTATTATTTCAAACTAACCAGAGTTTAAATATCAACTAAACAAACACTATTTAAATCTATTAAATATTAAATTAGAGTGCATTGTCTAAGGAATTAATCTAACAATTCGATGATTGAATGGAAGGTGAGGCTATAAGCACCAGTCCAAATCCGGCCGAAGGATCAGAAAATGGTTGAGCGGCGGGCCTTAAGATTGCCGAGTCACTATTCCCCGGTCGAGCCTTGACCCTATTACGCGAGATGTTACACTATGTGGACTGTATACGCGGATGATGCCTAAACAAGATGGCGGATTTGGCACGCGGTTCCTTGACGATGCACTCGCTCTTCCAAGGAAAACCTATTGCTTGCCAAGGTTTATGAAGGAACCCTGCTTGATCACATTAGGAGAAATGAAATTGGGGCGGTTCGATGCGGCTTGGACGCTTTGCTGCTGTGGTGCGACTTCTGGCGGATCTCCTGGGGCCCCAGGGATACGGTCCTAGTCGATGGTGCGATGGAAGAGAGCGGTGCGCGACTATATCTCACACGAGGTGAGGCGGTTACTCCTGAAGCTCGACTGCTCCAGGCTAATGCGGTTGAACTAGCGGTGCGCGTGGGCAAAGCCCTCTAGGACTCGACTGTCCTAGGCGGTGTAGTTCCAACTGGCGGCTGAAGGGAAGAGAGCGCGCGAAGGCCCTGCACACGCTTATATTACTTCGGCCCTCCTATCAATGCGTCTCGGAGGGGCGCGCTTCTCATTGGTTGCAAATCACGCGATATTCTAGAATCATCTTCTTTCCCCTCTCACCCCACCACCCCGGTGTGTACGGAAAGGATAGGTCGAAGGAAGGACAAGCTTGGCAAGCCTACCTTCGAATAAAATTAAAAATACGAATGGTTTTCCGCGCAACCAATTTGTAAGGTTTTAAGTCAGTGGATCGAAGAAATTAACAGTTAGCTCAAAAAAAAAAGAAGAAGAAACGATTATTTAGAAATTTTTAAATGGCAATAATTTTTGAACGTGTTGCTTTTTTGTCTGTCTTGTGCACCTACTCCCGTTTCTAGATTGTTGTTTGTATGTTCGATGTTATTTCTCTCTAGATTCTTTTTAATTTGCCGCTTTGAACTATGAAATTGTAGTGAGTTGTTGACATCTTTCAATTCCTTCTTTATCGTTTTTTCTGCTTCTTTTGATATATCCCTAAAAAGTATCTTTGCATCAATTTGTACGTATCTATCATTATCATCTTCATCATTATCCTCTGAAATTACTATTGATGAATTCTGTCTGGACGTATCTTGCAAACATTCTTGACATGTCCATCCTAATCCGGATGCAGCAGTTTTAAGAGAAGTAAGCTGCTTGTTTGTCAGTCTTGTACACTTAGCACTCAAATGCACTAGGCGCTCACATTTACCACACTCTACTCCCGGATAACTTTTGGATATAGTTTTGTTTTTTGAACCGATTGTTACCAAAAAGCGATAGGTATGGCGCGTACGATGTTAAGTCGATGACCGACGACATTGTAATGCACCACACATTGTACTAAAAATAATAAATTATTCGATTCTGCCACTTGAATATAGCGATTAGGTTATTAATACACCGTTACGTAGCTCAATACGGACCCGGTCCTAAGGACTAAGATGATATAAGTTCGTATCCAGAGAAATGATCTCCGGCTCTCTACACACAGCATACGAAACGCAGCAACATTGAGTTGCTATTTTACACTGATATTCTCTGAGAGCGTATTCCTACTCCGGTCGACTGGACCCGTTTGCGCTACAACTATTATACAGTTGCAGTGTAGTATACGTCTACCACGTGTTAATGTAAGTAACTAATATAACAAATTTCGTGGTTCAGCTCACGAGAAAGTGCTCCTGGTGGGGCGCGAGGGCGAAATCCGTGGCGTAGACGTGGAGGAGCCGCTGGTGCCCATCGTGCCCACGATCTCTGGACCCGACGTCACTGCTCCCACCAACATACAATTCCTCGCCGCGGACTACAACGTCTACTGGACGGACACCGAGGTATGCCTTTACCATAGTTAGTACCAAGTTCTTCGAACTTTTGTCACGATATCTATATTAGGCGTCCTTTCTGCCACTGAAATGTTTTTATAACACTAAATTTACAAACGACCATGCAATCTCATTATCATGAATACTTTAAAATTTTAATTTTAAACCGTTACACAGCAGTGGGTCGATAAGCAGGAGCTTGAAACGGAAATTTTTCTACTTAAAAAACCAAAATGTTTTACTTATTTACTACATTTTTTCAACTTGCGATATGCGCTTATGTATGGAACTAATGATTAGGTATTGGAAATATGTTTAATACGTCCAATACCCGAACAACCGTTAGGGCTCTACGCTCTATTGTGGAAAGTCAGAATGTGTCAAAAAAGGAATGTTTGGTAATCCACAATGCTGTGTTAGTCCTTACTCTAACGTATCGTAGTGAAAATTGGGTATGGCAGAAAAAGCACGAGAGTAGAATAAATGCAGTGGAAATGCGGTCGTTAAGGAGTATGTTGAGGCTGAATCTGAGTGACAGGGTGAGAAATTGTGTAAAAGAGAAGAATGTGACTTGTAAGATGATGTTGTAACGAGGATTAAGAAAGGAATGCTTCGGTGGTTTGGTCATGTAGAAAGAATGAATGAGGAAAGAGTGACAAAGCAAATATGTGTTGCAGAAGTAAACGGAAGAGTCGGTCAGGGACGCCCTAGGCGAAAGTTTGCCAACCAAATTGGCGGTCTATTGAAAAGGGGCCAAATTAAGAGTACCCTTAACCGATGACCATGTATGCGTAAGGTATGTGGAGGAGGCGAGAGAGATGTGTCAGGATCGTGCTAAATGGAAGTCTGTAGTCTCTGCCTACCCTTCTTGTTGACAAGCGTAAGTGCTTATGTTTAATAATAATTTAAGTTTTATGTAAAAACAGTTTAATAAAGAATAAAGAAGTAAAAATATAAGATTAAAATGCCTTAAATAATGTTAAATGTTTCCGTTAGTATGTTGAAAAGTTGGCGTCCGTCGCCGTTAAGGTGATTACGTGAACTGACACAATTTTTATAATTGTAGAACTACAGCGATTGCTTCACGTCAAATGTTACCGCCAGTAGAAATGTACGACGAACTGGATCGAAACCAAAGACGGTTGGACCGTACAATGACATCATTCATTTTAATAATTGTCTTATGGGGGATTAAAGAGGAATTTTTTGGGTGACGTTATTCAGTAGTGGACTTTTATAGGCTGTAATAGATGGATGTATAAACTGATTGTATAATGTTAAATGATATTTATAGTTCCGACATATAACTTTCCCAAGACACAAAAATATAATAAGTAATAATATTCTTCGTAATTCGTTCATTGCTGGATGTTGAGTTTTCTTGTTGTTACCGTTACAGCTTGTCAATTGTCGACTGCTGAACATAAGCTGCGGGGCGGGGGGGGGGGGCTCGGTAAATGTTCAGCAGTGGACTGTACTTATAGATTTTCTCATAGGGATGATATTTGTCTAAATTACCAGACACTAAGCTGATATTCTGAGAGCAACCATAATACAGCTGCAGCGTATCTCGAGCAGTAGTGGTTCCAGGTGCAGGAGATCAAGGTGGCGCGGTTGACGGGCGGCGCAGTGCGCGCGGCCGCGTGGCGGCTGGGCGGCGCGCCTCGCGGGCTTGCGCTGGACTGGGCGGCGCGCACGCTCTACTACTGCGCGGCCGACGCGCTCACCGCCTCCGGGCCCGACGGACAATTTGCTGCGGAGTTGTTGCGCGATCCTGACCTCGCGCACCTCTCTGCGCTCGTCGTTGACCCAATCAGGTATAATTAGTGTCATTTGACTGTAAGTCATTAAATGCTTAAACTGCCGGCGCCGACGGACAGTTTGCTGCCGAGCTGTTCCGCGATTACATCCGACCTTAAGCACCTCGGACCTTCAAAAGCAATTTTTCAAAAATAAATCTTGAATTGAAATCAGTTAAATGGCATAATATGTTGTCAATTCATAAAGATATTGATAGCATGACTGACGCATTTTATGCTGAGCTTAGGAATATTATTACAAAACACACACCTATGAACAAAATCGACACAAACAACTATCCAGTATGATTCACACCTGCTTTAAGGCAAAGCTTAGAAGAAAAACTAAAATATCATCGTCGTTTCAAAAAATATAAGAATCCTCGGGATTATGATACATTTTCCATGTTACGCAGCAGATGTAAAAAACATATTAGTAATGACTATAAAAATTTTGTTTCTTCCGTCAAATCTTCTTTAGATGACGACATAAAATTCTTTTGGCGTTTTAATGCTGCGCGTGTTTTAATGCGAAAATTAATGCTAATAGTATTTCCAAGACGATGAAATATGGTAATCACATCTCATCCGATGAAAAAGAAATATGTGAGCTTTTCTCAAATTATTTCAGTTCTATCTTTGCAAACCCAGTGGAGACTATCTTATATTCTCACAATGAATTATCAAATCGTAGTAATTGTACCCTAAGTGAATCACACAAGAAGAAATACAGCAAAAGATTGCGAAATTAGACCAAAAAAAGGCTCTGGACCAGATGGTATTCCTCCTTTATTCATTAAGAAATGCGGCAAGGAATTAAGTAATCCCTTGTGTATTATATTTAATGCATCCATTGAGGCAGGTATTTTTCCATCAGTATGGAAAATAGCTCATGTCGTTCCGATTTATAAATCCGGCGACAGATCAAATTGCGAAAATTATTGACCCGTAAGCATCTTGTCTTGCCTCTTGTTTGTCTCTTTAATAGCATATTCAACCTTTCCTATCGCTTCTACAACACGGCTTTATTAAGAACAGATCGACGACTTCTAATTTATTTGAATACAAACACTATCTTTGCAGTGCTTTTGCCAAGAGAAAACAGGTTGATAGCATATATACCGATTTCTCAAAAGCATTCGATAGAGTAAATCATAATATTTTATGTATCAAATTAGCATGTTACGGAATACATGGGAGTCTGTTGAGATGGACTGAATCATACCTCAACAAGAGGAGTCAGTTACTATAAAAAGCTTCAAATACTCGTCCGTATCTGTGACTTCGGGTGTGCCACAAGGGTCCTATTAAAAGGTCCTTTATATTTTATAACGTTTATTAACGATCTTATTGATAAATCAACATGTCCATGCCTGTTGTATGCAGATGATTTCAAGCTATTTTCCGTTATCGATACACTCAGCGATTCGTTCAATCTTCAGTCAAATTTAGACTCCATTCATAATTAGTGTAAAGAAAACCTAATGCATCTGAATACAAGAAAATGTTTTGTCTTATCATTTAGCAACAAGAAACACAGACTTACATTTGAGTATAAAATAAATGGACAGGTACTTGATAGAAAATCCGTAGTTAAGGATCTTGGAATACTGTTTGATGAAAAAGTGAATGAAACAAATTTACAAAGTACGTAACAGAGTGCAGATTACATATACAATTTGGCGGCCTTATCGCTACATAGCGATTTCTTCCAGGCAACCAAAGGTGTAAAGGAATAAAACAGTGAATACTAGGTAGGTGGTCCAATATAAATATACCAAATATAATATCAATACATGCAATAAAATAACATATAAATAACTAATACATTAACATTAAATATGATACACATATACATATGTATATACATAAATCACATACACACATATATATATATATATATATATATATATATATATATATATAGGTATATATATATACATACACATACATGTATATCCTCAAATATATACCACTAACAATAACATAAACAAATAAATACAAAAACTACATAATCACATAATTTAATAGTTTGTGCTTCGCGTATATACAAAGGTAGGGCATTCCAGAGCTTAATAGCAACTGTTCAGTGAAAGATTTATTAAAGAAAGATGTATTGTGAGTTGGTACCCTTAAAATGAGTTTTCTTAAAGAGCGTAAAGGTTCCCCTGGAAGCCCAACAAAACTAAACTGCTCCTTAAGATAAGGAGGAGTAGAAGGGTAAAATAAGACACAGTACAGAATAGAAAGAATATACATGTTCCGGCGAAATTGGATAGGTAACCACTTGAGACGTAAGCGAAATTGGGAAATGTGGTCAAATTTGCGCAATCCAAATATGAACCGAATACTATATAGTATTTTGAAGTCTCTCAAGCTTAGTTAGCTGGTCTTTTGTTATGTCTACATAGCTTGCGTCAGCATAGTCGAGAATCGGAAGGAGAAGAGACTGTGCGAGCATAATTTTTGTAGGAATAGGAAGAAATGATCGAAGGCGACGCAGTGAACTAAGAGCGACAAAGGTTTTCTTACTTACCTCATTCAGTTGGCGTTTCCAATTTAAGGAACTATCAAGGTAAACAACAAAATTTTTGACATTGTCAAAGTAAGGGATTACAACCCCATCGAATACAACAGGTGGTATGGAGAACCAGTCAATTCTTGAGATAAAGCTCTGACTACCAAAAATGATGATGATGAAATGAGCCTGTGACTTTTTAGGTTTGACATTTAGGCCATATGATTGACTCCACTCATGAATCATATTTAAGTCATTGTTTAATGTAGCGATTGCATTCGGCAAATTCTCAAGAGTTGACTGGGTGTAAATCTGGACATCATCCGCATACATGTGGTAGAGAAAAGAAATTTTATAAGTAATTGAATTAATGAAAATGGAAAAGAGTAAAGGTGACAAAACGCCACCCTGCGGCACGCCTGCAGTAATATCACACCAAGATGAGTGAGTTTCATCAACATGAATACACTGTCGACGGCCACAGAGATAACTTTGGAACCAGTCAATTACTGATGGAGATATGTTAAGGGAATACAATTGACTCAACAGCATATCGAAATCAACAGTATTGAATGCATTACTGAAAACTAGCAAGATCATGACTGTGAGTTGTTTATTATCCATACCCCACCGTATGTCATCAGTAACTTTAATTAAGGCAGTAGCCGTACTATGACCAGGACGGAAACCGGATTGTAAAGAATTCAACAATTTGTGCTTATTAAGGTAAAGGGTCAGCTGTTGGCAAATAAGTTTTTAAGGACTTTAGAAAGGAAAGGTAAAATCGAAATGGGACGGAAATCAGTGAGGTTGACAGGATTAGATTTCTTAGGAAGGGGTATAATATTAGCACTCTTCCAGGCTTGAGGAAATTTAGAGGAAGATACACATGCGTTAAGCAAATGAGTGATAATGGGAGTGATAACATCAAGGAGAGGAACGATCATGTTACGGCTAACGCTGTCGCTACCGACAGCATTTGAGGAGATGTATAATATGATTTTCTTAACATCACATACAGTAAATTGAGTAAAAACGAACGGAGAATAATTAGGAGTCGGACTTACAGAAAGAGAACGAAGTGTTTGCAGTTTATGTTCACTATCAAAAGAGTTAGGAGGATTAGAAAAATGTTGATTTAATAGTCCAACATCAACACTGGGAGGTGAAGTATTAAGAGAGGTTCTACCAACTCCAACTGTTTTAAGAAACTTCCACACCCTAGATGAGTCGCCGTTCTCGACTGATGAATGAATATGGCGTCGTTGTGCATCTCTACACAATGTGTTGCAGCGATTCCGGATTTTAGTGTATTTTCTAAGGTTTTCCTCTGTTTTGTTCCTCTTAAGCTTTGACAATGCCGCATTCTTCTTCAAAATTAGCCTTTTCAGATCATCAGAGAGCTATGGAGCAGGTAAGTGCTTGAGTTTAACATGATGCATTGACGCGTGTACGTCATATAGCTGAGTGAGAAGGGAATTGAAAATTTCCACTTTATAGTTAATGCATGGTGCTCTCTCAATCACTGACCAGTCAATATTATGAGCATCTTCACAAAGTTGGTCAATATCCATTCCTCCAAAATTACGTCGCAGAATTAATTTAGGTTTGATTTTAGGAGGGCGTAGTTTATACGAAAGGAAAAGTAAATCGTGATAAGAGAATGCATCAGCAGGACACTGTCCTTGCTTGAAAACTAGGTTTGAAAAAGCTTACGTTCCGCGATCATTACGATCATGTGATATCTAAAAGTACAAAACTTCTTGGCTTTGTATTTAGAACTGTAAAAACTTTTAAAAATCCACGAAGCTTTCTTATTTTGTACTGTTCCCTAGTACGCAGTATTTTAGAGTATAACGTAATTATTTGGTTTCCAAACGTGTTCAAAAGAAATTTTTATCAATCTTCTGCTATAGGTATGGTTTAAATAGAAGTCTGCCCTCCTATGAAGAGAAAATGAAAAAATTTAACATTATATCACTACAAACGCGATGTAAATATCAGAACTTGCCTTTTCAAAATTATTCATTCCCTTGTTGATTCCCCCACGCTCCTTTCATTTGTCAAGATTAATACTAAGCCCCATCGTCGGTATACTTTCCTAAATACTTTCGCTTTGCAAGTTTATATAATGACTTATTGATTAATAATAGTAAAAATATAGACATTTTAAATAACAAATTAAACAATTTCAAAAAATCCGTATTAGATATACTTTGTAAATAAGGCTTAAATTTTAAATTTAAAGATAAATGAACATTATTTTAATAAAGATTTAATTTTTCAAAATTTTCCACAACATAAGTTCATAAGTATAGTATGTTTATAAGTAAGGTTATAATTATTTGTGCTGTAAAATCGTTACTGTTACTTAATATCATGTTGTGTGCACATGTTTTGGAATACCATCCAGATTGTAATTTTGTATTTATTATTTTCAATTGTTCATGTTTTGGTGTTATTCTGTTTTGTGTACCTAAATAAATAAATAAATAAAATTTACCTTACTTAACACTCCTGCACCGCGTGTGAATGTATGTTCTGTTTCTACACAACGATAAAGTTACAGCCTATATACGTCCCACTGCTGGGCACAGGCCTCCCCTCATTTCTGAGAGGGTTTTAGGGCAAGGAAGTGTCCACCGCGCTGCCCCAATGCGTGTTGGCGAACTTCACATGTCTTCGAAATATTTTAAAACATGTATTTTATTTAAATTCCCTTAAACAATAACATACCTCAAATATAATTATATTAAATGACTATTAACTATTAATAGAGGAACATTTGAAATATCTCGTAATTATTTGTTGGCAACATTTTAAAATTTTTCAGTGACAGTATTTACTCTGTGCGATTGTCATCAACATCAGACATGAACATGACAAGAGTATCTTGAAAAGGTTTCACTCCTGCATAAAGTATTACCGGGTATAGTGGATAGCACGTCCAGCATAAGTCCAGCTTTATGTATAAAGAGGAGGAGTATAAGATGTATTGGGTGCAGGGGCCAGCTGTATTGGGCGCTGGGCAGCACCGCCGCGGGCGGCGCTCGGGTGGAGGCGGCGCGCGGGGACGCGAGCGCGCGCCGCACGCTGCTACTGGCGCGCGACCAACCGCTGCTCGCCGCTGTCACCGGTGCGTACACACGCACGTACGCACACATGCACACACGCACACGAGCACACGTACATCACCAAGCTTTCTTCTATAAAAATGAAATAGTCAAAATCTAAATCATATACAGATTGTCTCAGAAGTCGACGTCAAGCCGGAATCGGGTGATAGGTCAAGTCATATTAGTTAACAGAAAAAAAGATTTGCTATGTATTTTAAAAATTACAGGCACTTATAAAAAATGTCACAGGATGTAGTCGTGTGACAGTATTTTACCTCCTATTGCTGTAAATTTCAACTATTTTTTAAATTTTGGACTCACCATGGGTGCTGTAAAGTGCTCGAAACTTCAAAAATATGAAATAATGATTTCTTATATTTACGCGAACACTACACATGATTAAAACTACTTTTACTTTTGCTTTTAATTACTTTTGTTTTTAATTCCCGACGTTTCGGGCGCTTTCCAGCACCCATGGTCACGGGGGACTAAGATGACTGACGTCCCGATGTCATTGTTAAACCCGGAGTACCTTCAGCTTTTTTAATTATTATTTATGGTCCATAAAGCGCCCGAAACGTCGGGAATTAAAAATAAAAGTAATTAAAAGCAAAAATAAACGCGATAAAACCCGTAAAAGTAGTTTTAATCAAATATGAAATAAGTTAATATACTCGATAAAATCCTTAAAAACTAGTTAATTATTTAGATAATTACCGCCGTGTAGTGGCGGTTGAGAATATCCACTACCCCATATCTTCCCGTGGGTGTCGTAAGAGGCGACAGAGGAAGACAGGCAGGAGATGGGCAGCAGCATCTTCCTGATAACAACAATAATATAATAAAAAACTGCGGTTGCCAACCCGCTCGCCAAGCGTGGCAACTATGGCAAATATGAGCAACGACGCAAAATAAATAAACGGCCCCCAGTCCCCGGCGGCCCCGCTGGCCCCGCTATTCCTGGCTACGGTGGCGACCATGATAACGGTAGGACGGGGCGTGCTAAGAATCTCTGGTGGTGGTTCGGTTGCCACCTACGACGACTCGACCTGGCAACGTATAACGCACGCACCCTGAGGACTGACGGGAAGATACTGGAGCTGGAAGAAAAGGTAGACGAGTTGCGCTGGCATATTATTGGATTATCTGAGGTCCGAACAGAGGGGGAGGACACGGTAATCCTCGAGTCCGGCAACTTGTTCTATCACCGGGAGGGCGACCATCTGTCCCAAGGAGGTGTCGGATTTATCGTCCACAAGTCTCTCGTCAACAACGTTGTAAAGATTGGGAGTGTGTCGACGAGGGTCGCGTTCCTGATACTCAGAATCACCAAACGGTATTCGCTGAAGGTCATATAGGTCTACGCACCAACCTCGGCACATCCCGATGAGGAGGTGGAGGAAATGTATGAGGATATTTCTAAAGCCATGCATTCCTCCAAAACCCACTACACAGTGTTGATGGGAGACTTCAACGCAAAACTAGGCACAAGAGAAGGCGGTGAGCTGCAGTTAGGGAAATTTGGAGTAGGGCAACGGAACCGTAGGGGCCAGCAGCTGGCCGACTTTATGGAGAAAGAGGGAATCTTTATGATGAACTCTTTCTTCCAGAAACGGCCCCACAGGAAGTGGGCCTGGTCGAGCCCCGATGGTTCGACAAAAAATGAGATTGACTTCATTATGACGACCAGACGCCAACTGTTCAGTGATGTCTCAGTGATCGCAAGGGTGAAAACCGGCAGCGATCACCGAATGGTTAGAGGCACACTGAACCTAAACGTTAAGTTGGAGAGGTCTCGTCTAATGAAGTCAACGCTCCGTCCCCCTCGTGCTCTGATCCAGAATCCCGAAACCTTTCAGCTCGAGTTACGTAACCGCTTTCAGTGCCTGGAAGATTGCAATGCATTGGACGATATGAATGACAAGCTCGTGGAAACTGTCCATGCGGTCGGAGCTAAGTTTTGCAAGACCCGCCGCAGAAGAACACAAAAACTCTCCGATCACACCTTAATCTCATGGCTGTTAGACGGGAGATAAGGCTGCAATCGTCAACAGATTTGACAGCATACAGGCAACTGAACAGACAGATCTCCAAATGCATGCGGCGAGACTTACGCTACTTTAATACTGCTCGTATTAAAGAAGCGATCAAGTGGAACCAGGGCTCAAAGTCTTTGCCAGAGATCTGTCTGCCAGAAAGAGCCAACTGTCAAAGCTGAAGACTGAGTGTGGCAGCATCGTTTCCGGGACACCTGAGATTTTGACTGAGATTGAGAGGTTCTATGGGCAGCTGTACACATCATCGTTGGAGCCACAGTAACGATCCAAGAGCAAGTCTTACCCGACACTATTCCGATGATATCCCGGACGTCAGTCTGAGCGAGATTAGAATGGCTCTCCAGCACCTTAAAAACGGCAGGGCCCCAGGCGAGGATGGAATTACAGCGGAGCTTCTGAAAGCGGGTGGAATACCGGTACTTGAAGTCCTTCAGAGGCTCTTCAATTCCGTCCTCCATGGTGGCACTACTCAGGAGGCGTGGAGCAGAAGTGCGGTGGTCTTGTTCTTTAAGAAAGGCGACAACGCTCTCTTGAAGAACTACAGACCGATTTCCCTTCCGAGCCGCGTCTACGTGCTGTTTTCGAGAGTCATTACGAATCGCCTAGCACGCAGACTCGACGACTTCCAGCCTCCCGAACAAGCCGGTTTCCGAAAAGGCTTCAGTACCATAGACCATATACATACCCTGCGGCAGATTGTACAGAAGACCGAAGAGTACAATCTGCCACTTTGCCTGGCGTATGTGGACTATGAGAAAGCCTTTGATTCCGTCGAAATTCGGGCGGTGCTACAGTCCCTTCAGCGGTGCCAAGTTGACTGTCGGTACATCGAAGTGCTGAAGTGTTTGTACAGTAGGGCTACGATGGCTATCCGAGTACAGAACCAGAGTTCGAATCCTATCCAACTGCAGAGAGGTGTAAGACAGGATGATGTTATATCCCCGAAACTCTTCACCGCTGCGTTGGAAGACGTTTTCAAGCTACTGGACTGGAAAGGATACGGTATTAACATCAATGGCGAGTACATCACTCACCTTCGATTTGCCGACGATGTAGTCCTTATGGCAGAATCGCTGTAGGACCTTAGCACTATGCTCATCGACCTCAATGGTGTCTCCCAACGGATAGGTCTTAAGATGAACATGGACAAAACAAAGATCATGTTTAATGTCCATGTCACACCTATGCCGGTAGTTGTTGGGAGCACTATGCTCGAAGTTGTTGACGAGTACGTTTACCTGGGACAAGTAGTCCGAATAGGTAAGTCCAACTTCGACCGAGAGGTCAATCGACGGATTCAACTCGGCTGGGCAGTGTTCGGAAAATTACGACACATCTTCTCGTCAGGTATACTTCAATCTCTGAAAACTAAAGTGTACAACCAGTGCGTGTTGCCAGTGATGACTTACGGATCAGACTTACGGACCTTGAGCGTCCTATGGAGAGGGCTATGCTCAGAGTTTTTCTGCGTGATAAACTCAGAAATTAGGATATCCGCAGTAAAACCAGAGTGACCGACATAGCCCAATGGATTAGTAAGCTGAAGTGGCAATGGGCCGGCCATATAGCTCGAAGAACCGATAACCGATGGGGAAGAAAGGTTCTCGAGTGGCAGCCTCGTACCGGTAGGCGTAGTGTAGGGCGACCCCCCACTAGATGGAGTGACGACCTGGTAAGACATGCAGGAAGTCGATGGATGCAGGTGGCTCAGGACCGTGCTTTGTGGCATTACTTGGGGGAGGCCTATATTCAGCAGTGGACTTGTGAAGGGCTGTAATGATGATGATGATGAATTACTACGTTGTTACATATTTTAGTCTAATCCCATCCTTAGCGGGTTTTATTACAAATCAAAAGTGTTTAAGATTTATTTATGAAAAGTCTATCTATGCGCTACTCTCGAGGACTACAGTACACACTATACATACACACTGTACATACTACAGTAAAATATTTTGATTGTCCTGTTCACAGCTATGGTTATGGACGTGGAACACAACCGGCTGTACTGGATCAACTCGGGCACAGCTACGATCCAGTATTACGACGTCGACATGGGAAAACTTTCTACTGTAAGTCTTTTAATGTATCATATTTTACCAGCTTCGTAGATAATACAACAAAATATATGTAGTTCTTCTATACCAAACCAGCTCACATGAAGCTTATACTTGTGTTACTTTGATTACATTAAAAAAAATTATAATGTAGTTGATAGAATTTTATCTTTAGTAACATACGTATTGGTCTTTCTTTTAATAAATAAATTTACGTGTTTCTTTCTTTCTATTCTAGACAATTATTTTGTTACAATGTGCTTAGATCCTAAATTGTGAGTTATATACCTATAAGTCTTCGAAATCGTGATTCTGCAGGCATCGATTATATGTCAAACCTGGTAATGCTATTGTTTTTAGTTCTTGTAGACTTCGAGTATTATAATTTTTGGAACATGACGTGATTATGTAAGAAGAAACCAACCCCTATATGGCCAATTTTTTTTTATTACATAACTAATAACCCATATATTATTAGTTATGTAATACAAAATAATCTTTTGGTCATTACTTTCATATGGATAAAATGATTCCAGTAAGTAACCGTCGATACAAACCAAAATAACAAAAAAATTTATGTTGGTCATTATTATTAAACAATGGATCGTTATGCAACATTAATAGGCAATTAATGGTAGCTCAGATGGTTAGTGCTCACTGTAAATTTCACCGTACGCAAGCGAACCAGGTTCGATCCCCGCCGGCACCAATGAAATTGTTAATTGCAATTTTAAGTACTGATTTACCACGTGCTCGGCGGTGAAGGAAAACATCGTTAGACAACCTGAATGTTTGAGAAATAAGAAAAAAAATATTTCAAAGTAATGTGAAATTCGCCAACACGCATTGGGGCAGCGCGGCGGACAATTCCTTGCCCTAAAACTCGCTCAGAAATGAGCGGAAGCCCCGTGTTTAGTATTGGGACGTATATGTATAGGCTGTAACTTTGAATTTGGACAGTTTTTTGGTCCTTTAATCCTGATGAGTGTGCTATGCGCAGATGTCGCTGAGCCCGGGCGCACGGCCCGTGGCACTGGAGGTGTGGGCGGGGCGCGCGCTGTGGGCCGACGCAGATGGCACGCTGCGCTCCTGTGCTGCGCCTGCCTGCCGCCACCCGCGCGTGCTGCGCAACAACACAGGTACTGCTGCATGTCTGTATACTGTACACAACAACACGGGTACAACTGCATGTGCGCACGAGTGTCTCTGTACTGTACACAACACAGGTACTGATGCATGTGCGCACATCATATTTGCATTTCAGAGCATATCTGTATTTCAGATCACAGTAGTCTTAAATAGAAGGTACACAACAAATAAAATGTGACTCTTAAACATAACAAAATGTGTATAACTACATACTTTATGATTTCTCAAATTTACGCAAACACTACACATTGAATAAAAATCTATTAACGGATTTTATAGCGTTTAATTAAGAGGATAACTTGAAAATTAATCGAAGTTTTGGGGGCGTGGTTTATTCCTTTATCGGTGAAGCTAACGGACGACTGCGGGAGTGTCAAAATGAGAGTGATGCAATGACTTCATACTACGCAAATTATGAGATAGCCATACCGAGCAAGCGCTCGGAAAAACATCTTTAAACTAAGTAAGCGCCAAACAACATTTTTATTTGTTTTAACAAAACTTCGTTATGTATTAAAAAACTGGTTTATGAGAACTTAGATATGATTATTTACTATGCCTTAAAAATAATTCCATTAAATTATTCGTAAGAATATTGTGGTGTCATGGAAAAATGTAAATAATTAGAGCCTACTTAGCAATTTTTTTCTATCGAGAAAATTACATGATATCGTGTTTTCCTTTTATGCAATCCAGGGTCTAACAGTCAAAAATCATACAAAAACGTTTTGGTTTGTAATCTATAGAACTTAGATCAAAGAATTTGTTTTATATACCAAAAACCAGTACCAACATTAGTAAAATAGCATCAGTACACAGAATGTGTGCCCTTCACAATAAAATGCTGAACTACCTCGATATGTCCTTTATCTCCCGCTGGACATTCAAAATTTAATTTAAAATATTATTAAAAATATTGTTAATTAAATATATAATGATTTATTTATTTATTTATATGGATCTCCAACAGTTGTACATATTAAATTACTTCTAACACATGCTTTACATCTATAAATTACTATGTCCTACCAATTATAGGAGAACACATCATTCTAAAACAATAGCAGTGTTTTATATACATAAATATACATAAACACTCACGCCTGTCACCCAGAGGGGTAGGCAGAGACTACAGACTTCCATTTGGCACGATCCTGACACACCTCTCTCGCCTCCTTCACATCCATACACCTCCGCATACATGCTCGTCGGTTAAGGGTACTCCTAATTTGGCCCGTTTTCAATAAATCGCCAATTTGGTCGATAAATTTTCGCCTAGGACGTCCCTTTCCGACTCTGCCATTCACTTCTGCAACATAAATTTTCTTTGTCACTCTTTCCTCATTCATTCTTTCCACATGACCAAACCACCGAAGCATTCCTTTCTTAATCCTGGTCACAACATCATCTTGCAAACCACACTCTTCTCTTATTACACAATTTCTTACCCTGTCATTAAGATTCAGCCCTAACATACTCCTTAACGACCGCATTTCTACTGCGTTCATTCTACTCTCGTGCTTCTTCTGCCACACCCAACTTTCACTACCATATGTTAAAGTAGGGACCAACACAGCATTGTGAATTGCCATACGTGCCTTTTTCGACACATTTTGACTCTTCACAATAGAGTGCAGGGCCCCATTTACTCTATTTCCCGCATTCACTCGTCGTTCTATATCCTTATCATATCTCCCATCCCTGCTAAATACGCAGCCCAAATATACAAACTCGTCTACTTGCTCGATCAACTCCCCTTCTATTCTTATTTCACAAATCGTTTTACTTTCTTCTCTTTCAAAAACTTTTTTTTTGAAAGTGTTTATAATTTGCCTATTTTAATGGTAGTTGGAACAAAATGAAGTTTTACGAACAAAAGAAAGTTAATAGTTTTTATAACATAAATAAAAGTTAAGTTTAGCATAAAGTTAGTGAATAATTAATTTTCTAAACAGTCGTTACATTTTTTCATAAAAAGTGTGAGCCCGTCACAACCAATGTCCAGTGTTGCTATATTTTTTACACATACATTGTATACGCGTGATATACGTGTTATTGGAGAATTCTGTCCTAATTTTGTTCGAGTGCTGTCAGTCCTAAAGAAAGGACATGGGTTGCGAAGAGGTCTCCGAGGTACATTAATATTAGATCTGCTCAACAGCTCATTGTCATCAATCTTACCATTGAAAAGTTTATAAAGAAGTTTCAAATCAAGAAGAGATCTACGAACTGCCAGTTGTTTCATCCTAAAGTAAGCAAGTTTATTTTTGTAGCACTCACTATGACTTGACGCCTTAAAACGGAATATTAGGTGTTTAATGAGTATTTTTTGAACACGTTCGATTCTTTCAATGTGGTGGAACTGGAAACCTTAAAACGAAAGATTGTTTAGTAAGTCCCTTTTGAACATGTTCGATACTTTCATTATGGTTTTTGTAAGCGGGAGACCATACTTGACAACAATATTCAAGTTTGCTACGGACCAAGCTGTTGTACAGTTGAAGTATTGTTGTTACCTTTTTGAAATCTTTAGACTATCTAAGAACAAAGCCGAGCAGCCTAAAAGAAGCAGTCACTATAGAATTAATATGTTTATCGAATCTTAATTTGCTATCAAATATGGTCTCGAATGGAATTGGTTTCCGTCAGGTTTTTACCCAAAACATTGTAAGAACTCATTAATGGATTATTTTTTCTTGTGAATTTAATAAAACTACATTTATCTGGATGCAGCATTCGATTTGTTTCACACCATTTTACAAGTCTATCAAGATTCGCTTGTAGTTCTAATACGTCAGATTCTTGCTTTATAACTTTAGCTATTTTTAAATCGTCTGTAAACAAATAAACCTGACAATTTTTGAATACGCTTACTATATCATTAATGAATAGTACAAAGAATATAGGCCCTAAATTTGATCCCTGTGGAACACCAGAAATAGCATTGAAAGAATCCGAACACTCGCCATCAATTACTACTCTGGCATTACGATTAGAGAAATAGGATTTGCACCAGTTTAAAAATGTACCGGAAATGCCAAAATATGCGAGTTTTTTAACAATATTATGGTCTACCTTATCAAATGCCTTGGCAAAATCAGTGTATATAACATCTACTTGAAGATTTTTGTCAACCGAATCAATAAGATTGGAAACATAGTTGAGCAAATTAGTATTAGTAGACTTCTTAGGCATAAAACCATGTTGGCAGGGATATAAGTGATTTTTAACATGATTGAATATGAATTGGTGAACAAGTGATTCAAAAATCTTTGATACTTTGATATTTTGTATTGTACATTTTACTTTTAAGATTAATGTTTCTTTATATTTAAGTATATACTTGTTACCCTGCTTGTTATGCAGACGATAACGATCTGTTGCATAATATACATACGTATATTCTCTTGAGTTCAGTGAGACAGTTTGAGGGGAACAATTGTAATTATCTTTGTTTATTTTTCTTTGTATTGATTTTTTTTTATAAATCACGACATGACGGCGGCGCCGTCTTACGTCGGTACAGCAAAATTGTAAAGAACACGTGCACCGATAGCGCCGCCCGGCGCGTGGCTCAGTTTCCCCCACCGCCCCACTACTCGGCTTGATTTTCACCAACGGGTATAAAAAGACCGCGCAGCGGCGGAGCAGGCAGTCATGGCCACAGAACACTATTACTCCTATCGGAGAAGAACGACAACTTCATACAAAATTTAGGAAATGCTATATATAACCACTAGCTCCATCTATCGTCAGCCCCTGCACTTCTAGTGTGGCGGGAAAATTTGAACGTGGTCTTTTTTGTTTTTTTTTTATTTGAGGTATTTTTGGGTTACCTATCCTAAATAAAAGAAAAAAAATTACAAAATTTCTATTTATTTATTCAAAATAAAAAAAACATACATAACTTAAGACAAAATTTCTCCAGCAGCTTAGTTCTTTCTATAAAGACATTTGATGGGTTTAAACATGAAAAGAAAATCAATATTGATTACAACATTTCAATTACTTAAGTAAACAATATATATAAGATTTACAATCATGGATGAATTGATAATATGCACAATCACAAATCACAGAATGTCTACAATAACCAAAATATCAATGCAACACACAAGTGCAAAGTGCAACATTCACAAATAATAATTTTGTTTTGATAATATTTGGTTGTCTATCTATTTCCCTGAATTGAAACTAAAATTTTTGTCTCTATATTATATGCAATATATTAAGTATTGAATGCAGCTTATAAATAGAATAATTTTAATTCAAAATTATAAAACATATTAAATATTAGATTACAAAAATATTCGTTATTTCATTTTAAAAATTTTCGTATAGAGTACTTTCTTTTTCAGGTTCAACATTATAATGTTGTCCCTTTTGAAGATCCTGTTTGTGGTTTTGCAGCAATAATTTGCGAGGGACCAGCTTGTGATTCCACAAAATAAAATGGGAATACACTTTCTTAATCTGGAAATAAATAAAAACTGAAATAAATTATAGTATCTTAAAATTATTATATAAAATTAAATTAACATTATATTCATTGACATTACTTTCATAGTAAACCAGTCCCTGCTCATGGCACTACATTACCCTTCTACCAATACAAAATAAATGAATGGATCTTGTTCATCCAACTTGCTCTATATTACACCCACTATTACAATTAATATAACAAAATAAGATAGTAAATACGATAACTATGTGAAAAGAAGTCTTGTGTTTATCTATTGTTTAAGAACCATTTGATGCATATATTTCTACTGTGTTGTACAAGTTGTGCCTTTAACTTAACTGAACTTTCTTAAGGTTTGTTGTTGTTTAAAAAAAATTTGATTGTTAAAAATAATATGCAGTGTGTTGCACTTTTAATAATGTAAGGAAGGGCTTGTGCTAACTTTATAGACTTCAATCCTTTAGATGCTTTGTCCGATCCAATTATTATAAATTAGTTGAAAGCATTAACAGGATTCATAGTACTGTATGTGGTCTGTCCATCCATGTTAGATCCAGATGATGGTCATATGAATATTCATTATCATCTTCATTACAGTTTATCAAAGTCCACTCCTGAAAAAAATCCCCATATAAAATATCTGAGTAATCCTTAAAGAAAACTATATACATACCATATTACCATATACATTATACACTTTACTTACATCACATGGGACTGCAGTTCTCAAGAGCTTTTTCTTGGTTGCATCATTAAATTAACCATCATGAAAATGTTTTTCACACAGCATTCTGGGCTTATTGTGTAGCTTTGTCTGGAAAGCTAAAGTAGTATAGTGCACTTGGGAAGGAATATAATATTTCGCCCACAATTTACAGCTGAAAACAAAAGATATAATTATTAAATACAAATATTATCAAAGTAGGTCCAATGGTTTACAAACCAATAATTTGTTTTTAAATGGTTAAACAGAAACAATAAGTTGGACAAGAGATTACTTTAAGGTTAGAACTTATTAAATAGTGTATATGTATATTGTATAATAATAATAATAATAATAATAAAGCCTTTATTAATCCAAAACAACGGTTACCGTTAGAAAAAAAGTACATTAAGTATAAATATTATAAGCTAAATATGTCATGGCCCCTTTCGGGTATAGGCCTCCTCCAGTTGCCTCCATTTTTTCCTGTCGGTAGCAGTTTCCACCCAGTTTCTTCCTGCTACTTCTGGTATGTCGTCGACCCAGCGAGCTGTTGGTCTGCCCTTTTTTCTTTTTGCTCCAGGACCTCCAGGGCCCTTCCAAATGGTTGCTCGCTTGACCCATCTGTCTGCAGAGGAGCGGGCGATGTGTCCTGCCCATTTCCATTTTAAACGTAGTGCATGTTTCAGTGCGTCTATCACTTGGGTCTTTTGTCTTATTTTTTCACTATTTTCTTTATCTAAAATTTTTATACCGAGGATGCTCCTCTCTATAGCCCGTTGACAAGCGCGTATTTTTGACATATTTTTTTTGTTAAAGATCCAGGTTTGGGCACCGTATGTTAAGCAGGGCAGGAGGCTCGAATCCATCACTTTCTTCTTTAGTCTTATTGGGAGTTTTGATTTTAATATTTCCTTGTTACTCCAGTATTTTTTCCACGTCATGTTAATGCGCCTTTCTATTTCGTCTGAGTGTCTTGTGTTTTGGAATGAAATTTGTTTTCCAAGGTATGTATAGTTCTCTACGTACTCCATTGTTGTTCGGTTTATTATTATGATATCTTTAGTGCCGTTGGTAGTTATCTTTGTCTTTGAGGTGTTAAGTTGTAGCCCAATATTTTCGCTAACAGCGCTTAGTTCTATCAGCATTTCCTGAAGTTGTTTTGATGACTTAGCAAAAAGTACTATGTCGTCGGCGAATCTCAGGTTACTGAGGTTTTTCCCATCTATATTTATTCCTTTTTGATCCCAATCCAGGTCTTTCATTATATTTTGTAAGACAGCAATGAAGATCTTTGGTGATAGCGGGTCTCCCTGTTTCACGCCTCTACGAATATTAAATTCTTGGCCTAGCCTGTCCAGTTTAACCCGACTTGTGCTTTTTCTATATATATCCTTGATAATATTGATGTATGTAGAGTGAAGGTTCTGTTGCTCCAATGCGTCCCAGATACTTTTATGCGAGATAGAGTCGAACGCTTTCGCGTAGTCAACATATGCTATATAGAGTTTTTCCTGGTATTCTACATATTTTTCAATTATTTGATCTAAGGTATGTATATGATCCATTGTTGAGTACCCTTGGCGAAAGCCAGCCTGTTCTACCGGTTGGTTCTTTTCTATAGTTGGCTCTATTCTTTTCTCCAGGCACATAGCAAACAACTTATAAATTGTAGGCAGTAGACTAATAGGTCGGTAGTTATTTATGTCCTCTGGATCTCCCTTTTTGTATATAAGAGTTATCCGTGACCTTGCCCAATTGATCGGTATTCCTTGTTTTTCAAGTATTTTATTAAAGAGAGTAGTGAGCGGACCTAACAATAGATGTCTTCCTAGTATCAAAGCTTCGTTTGGGATATTATCGGCCCCAGGACTTTTATCTTTTTTTCAATTTTTCGATTCTCTTTATTATTTCGGCGCCGTGGAAAGGTTGAATTGTCTGATTTCTATCTCCTGTTTTTGAAGACTTTTCGTAGTTTTTATTATCGGCAGATTTATCATCGTACAGCTCTTCGTAGAAGTTTGAGGCAATTTTTACAAGGTCTTTTCTAGTTTGTTGTTCTTTTGGCTTATTTTTTGTCTTCAAAGTTGGAATCCATTTTTTCCCTGTATTTAATTGTTTATATGCTTTCTTTTGGCTTCCAGTGGAGCGTAAATGTTTTTCAATTATTTCTATCCTGTAATTGTCGTATTCTTTTTTTAAGTAGTTTGTTTGTAATTTTATATAGTTCTGAAAGTTCTTTTTTTTCTTCCTTTGATTTGGAGGATTTATATTGTAGATCGGTACGTTTTTTAATTAGGTTTTTAGTTTCTTCTGATATTATTTCTTTCTTTGTTTTAATAGGATAAGTATTCTTTAAACTTTCTTGTATAGATGACTCTATCTTGAAATAATATGACTCTATGTCATCATTGTCCTCCCAGCTCAGTTGCTCAATTTTTGTTCTTAGGGCATGAAGGAATATTTCTTGCGATTTCTCGTCAGATAAGTTGGTTACTGGGATTGAATAAAAGGTAGCACGGCTTTTCTTTTGTGTATTTAGAGTTATTGTTCGTCTCAAAAGTCTATGATCACTTGGGAAGGAGAGTTTGTTTAGGACTTCTATGTTGGTAAAGAGTTTTGAGTGATTACTCAAAATAAAGTCTATTTGGTTTTTGTTTTGTTTGTCTGGTGTTATCCATGTCCAGAGATTCTTGATTTTTTTCTTAAATATTGTGTTTATTATGGTAAGTTTATTTTTAAGAGCATACTGAACAAGTTTTTTGCCTCTATGATTTCTCTCACCGTAGCAGTATGGGCCTATTATTGTGTTTTCTTCGGGTTTTCTTTTACCTATCTTTGCATTCCAGTCACCCAATAATATTACTTTGCCGGTTGCAAGGCTTCGGGCATTTTCTATTTGGTCATAGAAGGTATCAATCTCTTCCTCAGTTGCGTCCGAGGTGGGTGCGTAAACTTGTATAAGTGAAAGTTTCGTTGTTACAAAGTTCAAGTTCAGCAGACAAACTCTTTCTGATATGCCTATGTAATTTTCAATATTATTTTTGTATTTTTTCTTAATTAAGAATCCGACTCCATGGAGTCCTTTGGACTCCCCAGTGTGACAGAATATATGCTGATCGTCCTCAATGATATTATTTCCATTTCTTCTGACTTCTGCTAGTCCAATAATATCATATTTAATGTTCTCTAAAGAGTATTGTAGCAGTAGCATTCTTTGCGGTGATAATAGGGATTTTACATTGTATGTACAAATGTAAAGGTTATGTTTGTAAAGATCTTGTTGTTGGCATGCTGGAGGGTTATAGTCTAGAGCTCCCGCGGTGACAAGCCGTGTTGGGAGTTCGAGAGGAGGCGGCGTTTTTTGCTATTTTGAATTTTGATTAGGGAGGCTTCTTTGTGAATTGTCTGGTAATGTGAGCGTAGGTTTTCTTATAATATAATTGTTTATGTTATTAGTCTTGTTTATCTTAGCGGGTTGTTTTTGGTTCTGTTTTTCTATGTTCATAAAGTTTGTTATGTTTGTTGCCGTCTCTGGAGATTCTGATAGGTTCCTTTTTTTATTTTGAGTTTTTTTTTTGCCATTCTGGATATTGTTTTTTATTATTTTCAAGTAAAATGATTTTGTCGTATTTTATTATAGCTTTTTTCCCTTGTTCTTTCAGCATCTCTACTTCTCCTTGGAGTTCTTTTCGTTTTTTGAGCACCTCTAGTGGGAAGTCTTCTTTTATGTAGTAGGAAGTTGTTTCCAAATTCTTTTTGTTTTTTAGTATTTCTATTTTCATCCCCATAGTAAGCAGAGTAGTTACAATGGGTCTGATTTTATCGCTTTTTTTTCCAAGTCTTCTTACAGATTCAATGTAATGCTTTTCACATTTGATGTTCAAAATGTTGTTTATGATATCTAAAACTTTTTTCTCCAAATCTTGATAGCTAATTTCTCGCTCTTCAACTCCAAAAAACAGCAGATTTTTTCTTCTATTGAACCTTTCAAAGTTATCGATAGACAATTTTTGTGTTTCCAATTTTTGCTCAAGTTGTAAGTTTTTGTTTTCCAAACTCTTAAATTTCTCATTTATATTATTGTTGATTGTGTTTTTAATGTCTTCTTTCATGGCTACCATGTCTACTTTTTGCTGGCTCATTTCTTCTTGCATTTTTCTTAACATATCTTTGATTTCGTCCATATTGTGTTAAGCGCCCTCTGTTGACGTGTTGCAGTATTAAGTAGGCTCGTAGGATTTCTGCTCGGCTACTATGAGTTATCGATATTGACGATATTAGCGTATTGCCTGGTTTCTATAAATTCCGTCAGATGGCGCTTTTATTTAAAAAGTCGGTGGTACTATTGAGTGGCTTGACCTTACCTTGATTTTTAGGTTATTGCATTTCTAACTTTTTATCGGAACTTAGTTTTCACTAGATCGGCCGTGGTTCTTCTCAGTAGACAGTCACATAGGTCACAGAATGAGTAGCTTGAGACAACTTCTTTTTATCACCATAAAAAATCACTTTGTTGTTATTGTCTATTCTACCACTTTATCGTGTTTTAAAATAATAAACAGTTTATATTTTAACTTTCTTTCACTAATTTTACTAGTCTCTTATACTTTTACACTGGTTTTTCACTATATTTTATAATTTTATGATTTTTATTACAAATTATATACGGAGCTGATGTTTATGCTGGCACAGTAGCGCCCTCTCTCTCATATTGTATACGTACCGCAAAATATACTTTACTGCGGGTTTCGGAAACCTAAATAATTTAATGTTGTCAATGGTTGGTAAGCTGTTGCACTTCGAACACTTTATCTATTTTCTTTATCTGCCATTGCAGCGTAGTTTTTAGTCACTATTTCGTATTTCACTACGAATCATTGACTAACACATTGCACATCATATTAACGAAGGACATTAATCTCAACTCAACGTCGTAAACTTACTTAGAAAAATCTTAGAAAAAGACACAATCAAAACAAACATAACAAACAATCATGAACAACAATAATTTATACGGCGGCGCCATATTATGAGAAATGAGAATTATATACTTATTTAGATATTTTGGTGCTACCAGTACAAAATATAATTTTCTACTCATTGAAAATCAAAACAAAAAAGAAAACATTTATTTTTCTTTTACTGTCAAGGATATGCTAATATAATAACGTAGAAAAATACGACAGGCATAGTTATCTTACTATGGATTATTATTTCTATATTCAAAATTTTTGAGTGTAATTTATCTTTAGCAAAATTTTAGTAATTATGAAACAAGACATTTATCTGACAAATGGCAATAATAAAATTCAGCCCCCGTAGGTATTTCATTGTGTCCATACAGAGTTGACCGGGCCTGGTCATGGCTCTGGCGTGGCGCGGTTCACTTGTAGCGGTGTGTAGTAACGGCTTTCTTGAGTAACGAAACGAAACTATCTGTCGAATATCAATAGCGGCTTCAATAGACTGTTTCACGACGTGTTCACTTGAAAAAAGTTGCGACCGTTGTTACCGTTTCGTATAGAATTAGACATGGTGTTAATGGTTAAATTTATTTATTTGTTAAATCAGTTCACACGGTGTGATAAAAATATCACTTCAAAGTACGCTGGCATTACTTCGAGACATTTTTGATAACTATCACATAAAGTTTTAGTATTATTTTACACTTAGTTACTTACACTAATTACTGTGCAATTATTATTATAACACTAATATATACGATTGTATTTAGTTCTTATTTTACTAAAAATATTATTATTGTTGTACAAAAAGGAAACAAACGCGCCTAAAAAGTAAAAACAAACCGTATCATTAAACTTAAACACAATACTAATTTAAAACGGGCCAAGGCCACTTAAATTATGGAATTTGAACTATTTTTTGTTAAAAGCATGTACACTTACTTTCTCATTTCTAATATCGCATCTATACGAAGAGAATAGAATCATAGGTCAAATGCAAAAGCACCCGCGCTCACTCGACTTTCGACGACCGGTGGTACTTCTACCACAGCGTAAAGAACCGGTTTCTTTACTCATGTGCTTCTACTTCAACAGCCGAAGCCGTCGCCGATGCGTCGCGAAAATAGCCGAATAAACGTTTTGTTACTGATCGCTCGTTCGTGAATCGTGTTACTGAGTAAAACGTCTACTGTAATAGATAGTTTCGTTTTTTTTTTTTTTTTGCGCCCGAAGCAATTAAAGGGCTACCCTGTACGTAGGGAGGCGGAAAATGCATTACGCATACCACGATAGCCGGTCTATCGTGGTTATGGGGGACTCACTGTCCTACCGGGGACCCTAAGTGATACCCCCTAAAAACCGCCTTTAGGGACAGGCAACCGGCTGATTAAGCTCTATTGTGCCCTATCATGAGCGACCCTCTTTTGGGAAAAGAGGGCGCAGGCGGCCAAGTGCCGCTGAGGGAGCGCCTACGAAGGCAAATTAATGTCAGATATTACAATAATTTTATTTAATTAGAGTTGGCCTGAGCTGCCAGGAGACAGTTCAGGTCGTTTGAAAGTTTATTAGGCGGGTCCGAGAGAGAGTTTCTCGGCCTGCGGACACGATAGCGAGAGGGGGGTGGGGCTGCATAAGAAGCTGCCTCACGAATTAAGTGGTTTGGGTGCGACTCTGAGGCTTTGAAGAAGTTCTCAGAGAGTTTTTTAAGAAATTGTTGAATTGTTGGGAGCTCTAAGTCCCGATGAAGGTCGGCATTGCGGACGTACCACGGTGCGTTCGCAGCTCGACGACAGAATACGTTCTGAACTATTTGGAGTTCATTTAAAATGTTAGGGTTTGCGTGGGCAAAGACGGGGCCCGCGTAGGACATGACTGGTCGTATACATACCTTATAGAGTGTACGCTTGTTTCGAAGGGACATTTTACTGTGTCGGCCCAACATACTGTTGAGCCTACTCAGATAAAAACGTGCGTGACGGGTTACTCTTTTGACGTGGGGCTTGAAAGTGAGCCCTGTGTCTAGAGTGACACCTAAATATTTGGCGGACGTATGCCAGGGGACAGGGGTCCCTAGCATACGTATTGGTGGAGTGTTTTTGAGACGGCGTCGTTTATAATCGAAGTGAACGGCGGAGCTCTTCTCCGGGTTCACATCGATGCGCCAAGATAGTTTCGTTGCACTGCAATAACCCGCAACCCGCTATTGTGTGAATAGATAGTTTCAGTAACTAGTTACATTTCGTAACGACCACTCCTATTTACTTGTTGTATCCCACTACTAGCTCATCCTAGACTATTCGGATAACTAGTTCGTGGAAACGAATTAATTATTATTATCAGCTATTAAATTAGTCTCAGTACAATTTATAGTTGATTACCTGTGATCCGTGTATTTTGTGATTGTAAATTAATTCTATTTAACTACCTTCCTACAATATACATTGTTTTTGTTTTATTTCCAATAAAGTAAATAAATTTATATAATATTATGGTATCCCGCTAATGGGTTCGGTTCTAAGATTTTTATTCCTCAATGAGACAGTCGTCACTAATATGAGAACACTAATAGATATACTAAGATAGAGTACATAGTTTGTTCTTATAGAAGGCAACACAAGGTGACAGGCTCGGCGTGCTATATATTTGTTTGTTTCTTTGTTAGAATTGTGAATGGTGTGTGGATTAATGTATGTTTTATTTTGTATATGGATATGCCTGTGTTATATGTATACAACTGAGTAATGTTCAAAAGTTAAGTTTCTTTATATATTGTTTCACATGGTGTCAGAAAGTTAAAGTAATATAAAAATTTTATGATACGGTTTTGTGGCACGTGGTTAGATTTAACATTAGTTTTAAGGGCATTACCCAGGACCTCTACAAGTAAGTGGTTTTAGTAAAGCATCATATAATAGAGTTGGCTTTTATCGGAATACGTCATTTTATTTTGTACAGGTGGCCAAAGAGAGATAAAAGTTTATTATTAATGTGTGTGAAATGTGCATTCAAAGTTAAATTACTGTCGATAATCAGTCCAAGATATTTTTCTTGATTTGTCTGTTTTTGTAATATTTCTCCGTTTATAGTCAAGTTTCGGTTTGGATTATGCAATAAGTACGCAGGCAATACAACAATAGCACTAACTTCTGCCTTTTAGATTATCAATAATCTAAGTTCTGCCAGATAGCTTTCGGATAGGGCATGATACTGACGTGCGTGGTGCGTGCAGAAGGCGTGGTGTCGCTGCGCGTGTGGGACGCGGAGCAGCAGCGCGCGGGGGCGGGGACGGGCGCGTGCGCGCTGCGTGCGGGCGCCGCGCGCTGCCAGCACCTGTGCGTGTCGGTGGCGCGCGACGCCAGCGAGTGCGTCTGCGCTGCCGGGTACGAGCGCCAAGGCTCGCGCTGCACACGTAAGTCTCTACGCTTATTGAGGCAACCAACATTTCAGTTTTTACGTTAAAAGAATTGTTACTCTGTATGTAAAGTGGGCTGTACACAATCGTTTGATCAGTTATAAATATTTTCCAAAGTTCATGCGATCTCGTTTAAGCACGGAATAAATAACAGTTAAAGCCACAAACCAGACTATATAGAAGACGCAAAATTAAAAACATTTGATGAAAATGAAAATCATAAAAAACTATTTTAACAATTACAACCACAATTAGGGTCACCCGAGGCAAGTGTTACAGTGGGGCAAGTGTAACAAATGCAAATTACGCGGCCTAAGCACTGTTTTTGGTTGAATTCCATCTATTTCACAACACAGGAAATTTTACTCTGTTGACTAAACTGACAGATAAGTACATACATAGCTTGAACTATTTTATCAACAGCTTTATTTTTAAAAACTACTCAACTGGCGACAGACAGCGCAATTTTAAGAGGTTAAGTTATTAAGTGTTTCGATATGTCGTTAAGTTATTTTAAAGCAGATACAAGGTGAGTGATAAAGAATAATGTTGGTACTTATAGAGTAATATGTTTCTGCGACCTGAAATTCACTATTCTTTAAAATACGGATACAGTTGCACTCACCTCACCTAATACCTAACATCGGGGTAAGTGTGACAGTATCACGTTTATTATGATTATATTATTATAAATTATTGTTAATGTTGTGAATTAAATTTTATTTTGTACTTGACATTACTTTTATTATACTTACAAAACAACCAGAGCTAGTGTAGTAAATCTGTTTAAAGGCACACCACTATATCGGTTAAAAACAGTCACAATTGCCCCATGTTTGGGAAAATTCATTGTTACACAAATATGGACGTTCAAATCGTTTAATAGATAGATCATAAAATATATCGACGTTAGTATCATTTCATCAATTTTGTTGAAAACCGCAGATAATAATAAAGTAACTACAAAAAGAAGCGTATTGTCACACTTACCCCATTGATGGGTAAGTGTAACAATCTTCCACCTCAATTGGTTTTAATTACCTCAAATTAGAAAATGCTACTTATAGATACTAAAATGCTTGATCAAACATACAACCACTTAATAATTGATGTTATGAAACTGAATTCTCTACATTATATTCTTACAGAGTAGAAGTATTTAAATGTCGATTATATTTTTAATTAAATTATTTCACACTTGCCCCAGGTGACTTTACCGACTTTTCTGCTTCTTCGTCTCAAAAGTTCTGTTTGTTAAAAATATGTAAAAGAAATCACTGTTACAATTACAACACCACCAACTTAAATGTAATGATGTGTAGCGTAGTCCTGCTATCCTTGACTCCGATGTAAAGTTTCTGCCTTGCATGAAAATAAAATTATGTAGTTGAGTTTCTAGTGTCGTTTAGTAAATTTAATCGTTTAAATTGTGCCTTGTTTAGTACATGCCTTACAGAACTAGTAAAGATTAAAATTCGTGAATGAAAATTTCATCATTTCAGCTGTCGATGAAATTTTAATTTATCCTTTGGACTCGGACATACAAGGAATACACTTAAATGCAACCAGTGATAACCTAGAGCCAAATCTGTTGCCGCCTATACCTGGCTTGTCTATGGCTACGGCGATCGATTACTATGCTGGTAAGTAATATTTTTTTTTAACATTTTGTACAAAAGTATTTTTTAACCAAAAAGTTTTCACTCGTCTCCGGTTCAAATATTTGACGGTAACGCTACCATTTGCATTATATTTACTGGTATTATTCTTCTTTTATTACATATGATAAGGATTCTTTAAACCATTATGTATATTCGTATTATGAACCTGGATGCTAAACAATCGGACGAGATTATGGTGGTGTAGAATGCAAGTACGTGTCGATATCATCTAGGGAGTGTAGCCGGGCGGTTTGTGCGCGTAGTGTAGCCTGCACGACTATATAAATTAGTGTTAAGTTGCAATAAGAAGTGATCTAATTAAAGTGTCAGTGATTGAGACGTTTTCGTTGCACGTGATGCGCAGAGGGCGAGTGGGTGTACTGGGTGGACGGCGAGCGAGAGTGCGTGTCGCGGGCGCGGCGCGACGGCAGCGCGGCGCAGCGCGTGGTGGCGGGCGGCGACGCGGACGCGCAGGAGCCGGCGGCAGCATCGCCCGCCGCGCTGGCACTGGACTGGCGCGCGCGCAACCTGTACTGGGCCGACCCGCGCCGCGCGCTGCTGCACGTCGCGCGCCTGGACGGACAGCACCCCTACGTGCTGCTCGACACCGACCCCTTCGCGATCTCAGGTCGGTCAGCAAATTACTTTAATCCACCTAAAGACATCCACTACCTCATTTGGTCCCACAGGTGATGTAAGCGGCGAAAGATGAGCGGCAACATCTTCCTGATACAAACAAAACAAAACAAAACAATAAAAAAACTGCTGTTGCTAGCCCACCCGCCAAGCGTAGAAACTGTGCCAATAAATCTTTACAGGCTGCAATATCTCAAGTGATTACAAATTATTCTTTATGTTAACTTAACGTAAATTCGGTGTACTACATCGAATAACATGTGATTCCATAATGATTTCTTATATTTACGCGAACACCCTATAATTAATAAAATTAAAACTAAACTTATAAGCAAGCATACCACTGCAAGACTTCAAAACACAGTTAGTTCATTCTGCGTGGATCGGACCAAAGACAATAATTAAAAAGCTGAAGGTACTCCGGGTTAACTTTGATATCGGGACGTCAGTCACCTCAGTCCCCCGTGACCATGGGTGCTGGAAAGCAGACAGAGAAACAAGACATTTTATTTTAGTTCTCTAGGATATCAACGCACATAGATTTTCATTCTTAATCGATAATAAATTATTGGTCACCCTAATTCTATAAAAAAAACACGCACAACGTTTATTATATCACTGGTAATGACTACGTATTCAAATCCATTTCAAACGATTGTTTATTCGCTCACAGGTTCCCGCCAAAAAGTTCATTTTATATAATTTACAGTAATTAAAGACTAGACAGTAGCATATCGCCCTTTTAAGACATATAAGAGATTTTAACTGGCGCTTTATTTTTATTTATTTCTTCAACAATAAAAGTGGCAAACGAACGCAGAATCCACCTAATGGTATGTGGATCCAGTTACCCATAGACAACTACATTTACCTTCGATTAAGAATCAAAATGCACTTACGTTGTCATCCCTGAGGACTAAGATGGAATGCCCCGGTTCTAGCAGAAAGGGTCTCCAATTCTCTACACTCACCATACGAAATATAGCAACATTAAGCAGCTATTTTACGCTGGTGTTCTGTGAAAGCGTGATCCTACCCCAGTCGAGCTGACCCATGCGTGTTACAACCATAATTATAACTGTAGCTTTGCTCTACTACGTACCAATTAATTTAAAAATATTTGAAGTGCATTAGATTTTAAAATCCATATTTATTTCGAAAATGACCTTATTTAAAAAATGGTAATTTTATTTTTGTATCGTCTTTATTAAAAAAGCAACGACTCCCGTGTAAATCCCACTAAACCGGCAGTTCAGTACAAAAACTGCGTCACTGATGACGACCGCGCGGGCGCCGGCGAGGGCTTGGCGAATGGCAGGCATTGTAAATATGCCACGCAGAATTATATTTTCATTTATATCATACTTTAATCTGAAATAAACTTCAAATCGCGTTTACTAAATACCCACATAAATAATGACGACTCCGTGGCGTAGTGGCTTAGCAATGAGTGGCTGCGCTGGGGTTCGCGGGTTCGAATCCCGCACGGAACAACTATTTGTATGGCCTATAAATAATCGTTTCGGGTCTGGATGTTTGTCCTTGTGCAATTTATGTTTGGAAACTGCCCCACGATACAGGAGAAAATCCAAGTTGAAGGGGTAACGTTTTAAAAAAAATATTAATTAGAAATAAATGACAGCGTTTTCTTGGTCACATTAAACAAAATCTGTGTTAGATTGTCGAACACGACATTCGCGGTTTACAACACAAAGAACTAGTCTTCCTTTGCTCGCATTCGACCAAATAAGTTACGGAGAATTGAGTGTAATAGATTTTTTTAAAGTTTAAATTAATCCAAGAGCGATAGTGAACCACTATAATTTTTATATATTTTGTTTAAACCGAGTAGTGCCATAGAAAAGCTCAAGAACCCCGTTCACGAAGATAGGGCTCAAAAAGATTAAGAACATTAAATCGTCCCTATACCACTTGTATCAGGTTCACATCAATTAATTCCTTCCCGCTTGGAAGAGGCTCACAATATTTTACAAAATACCCGACACAAGGGTGTGTGGAGTTTATTATATCACATACACACCATACAATACAATACCCTTTATTGACCAACATAAATATAAAACAACATAACAAGAAACAAACAAAGAGAAAAACAAAAGGCGGTCTTATTGCTATGCAGCAATCTCTTCCAGACAACCTAAATAGGAAATAAAAATAATTGAAAAGTTAAGTAATGGGTAGAGTGCACTATAAGTAATATTATAATCTATAAATATAAAAGTAAATTAATAAACATTCCGGAATTTACGTAATTGACAGACGTAGACAGATCATAAAACGACAGGAATAGATAAAAGAAGGAGGGATGATTTAGAAGGATAGATAATGTTTTTTTAACTTGGTTTTAAAGGAATTTATTGTTTGAGCACGTTTTATAGTTGATGGTAAGGAATTCCAAAGCTTCACTCCAAGAACTGAAAAAGATTTACTGTAAAATGTAGAAGAGTGCAAGGGACATAGAAAGGAAAGGTTTTCTAAGGACCGAAGGGAAAGTTTATGAGAGGAGCTAAGAAATTGGAAACGTTCTTTAAGGTAGGGATGACTTGATATATTAAATAAAACGCAGTAGAGAGCAGAAAGGATATGAATATTCCGACGAAGACGGATTGGAAGCCGCTTGAGCTTAGTGCGGTCGAACGAACGAACGAAGTCCAAATATGAACCTTATACATAGATTTTGGAGTCGCTCAAGTTTGTTAAGTTGCTCTTCGGTAATGTCTAGATAGCTTATGTCAGCATAATTGAGGATGGGGAGCAGTAAAGATTGTGCAAGCATAATTTTGGTGGAGATGGGTAAGAAGTTATTCATTCTTCGGAGTGAACCATAAGCTGCAAACATTTTACGGGACACTGCGTTGATTTGAGGAGACCAAGAAAGGCTAGACTATATCAAAATTCCCAAGTTTTTCACTACATCCTTATAAGAAATTTGAACACATTTGTTATGGGGTTTAACTGAGTTTTATTTAATTTGGAGATTATTCTTGAACTACCAATGATAATAGCTTGGTATATTAGCGGATTAACAGTTAACCCATAAGATCGACTCCAGTCAAGAATACACGCTAGGTCCTTGTTTATATCACAAAATGCTTTTGGCAGATCCTCTACGGTTGTTTGTAGATATATCTGGAGATCATCAGCATACAATTGGTAGAGAGAAGAGAAGATATACACACACCATATTCAGATTACAGTCATAGCCTTCAGCAACTGTAACCCCCCCCCCCCCCACAAATTTTATTGTATATAAATGGCCGTCTGTTAAACTATTAAATAGGGTGAGATGTACGGAGCAGTGTGCGGTGAGCGTCAACCACCGCAAAATAAACAGTCCACAGCAAAATAACTGGCGAACCAGTAAAAAAGGGATTGGCCCCTTGGTAGTGTGTAAGCACAAACTTCGACCGGTCGCGCATGGCAATGCGTGTAAAACGCCCTACGACGCCAGACGTTGAGTATATGTATTTTTCGATAATGTTTGTCTTATCCATCAACAAGTTGCTTTCAATCATTCAAAGGTAATCAAGGAAAATCATTCAAATTTACAGGGACGTTTTATTATTTTAAAAATTGTTTACACCTGGTGCATTTAAATATTCAAGGTGTGATAGGCAAAGAGCTAGAAATTGAATTGTTCTTAAATAGCAACAATATTCATATTTGATGTATTACTGAACATTGTTTAAGTTAGGTAGTAAGGTAGGAAGGAAGTAGTAAGGTAGTGCCCGTCTAGTAGTATATTATATAGATTTCTTTGTAAAATAGCCAATAATTTTAAACTTGGTAAATTATTAAATGTTGCCAATGAAGCGTGTGTGAGTCGGATGGAGTTAAAAGCACCAATTACTGAGTAGAGGTTTGTTCGCAGCGCTGGCGATCGACCCGGACCGCGGCTGGCTGTTCATGAGCGGCGGAGGCTGGGTGCAGCGCGCGCGGCCCGACGGCTCGCAGCGCGCGCTCCTCTACAACGGCAGCGCCGTCGCCGACATCGCGCTCGACCTGCAGGTCACCGTCCAACGCTACATGCAACACTGCACACCCGCACATCGTCCTTCACACATATACATTTTGAACTTTGTTTACTTAGTGGAGGCTAATAATCTTACGATCAACAGATGTCGTTAGGTGGTGTTTTGTTACACAGTGTCGTCATCATCGAAAAGTTGCATTTTAAATTAAAGTTCTTCGGTTACTTTTATTTATTTATTCTTTATTGCATTCTTTATTATAAAAGGTTACAAAGGGCGGACATACACTACCCAATTAAGATGTGCATATAGAATTAAAACAAAATAAAAATGATAGTTAACTACGTAATATATACATTTTACGTATATGCACAAAACAATGCCTCTGTGCAGTGTTCTTTAATTTTTTTTACATTTTAATCTTTTTTTAATTCTTCTATTTTTTACAGTTTAAGAACTCTTTTTCTCTCATTAAGAATTAACAATAATTCGCGAATATGTATCTCTATCTTAAATTTGAGAAACTAAATCTAACAAAATATACTTACTTTTAGGAAAATCTATATTGGTATATACCATCTATAATCTAATTACATAATACTTTTTTTAAATTAACTTGTCCCGCTATGAAATTTCTTAAATATAACACTTCATTTCAAAGTAGCGCCGCCCTGGTGACTAAAAAGTCGTGTATGCCCTCATTGCCCCCACCATTGAAGTAATGTGTAATATATACTACGCACTGGAACCTGCACCACGAACAGAACCTGTGGGCGGTGTGAGTCGCGTGGGCGGGGTACAGAATACTTTTTATGGAATAGACTGATTAAGTTTGAACCCGCGGGATCTATTGCCTTTTGCAAACTGATTCGTAAGACATATTACTTCGATGTTACACACTTTTAGAACGGCTATATCGATTAATACGACAGCGGATCATAAAATAAAAATAATAACATACGAATTTTAATAAAGGAGATAAATATATATCCAAGCATACCAGTGCAAGATTTCAAAATACTGTAAGCTCGTTTTGTGTATATTGGCATAAAAATTAATATTCAATAGCTGAAGGTAGCCGGGCCATTTCCGACATCGGGACGGCAACACCCCGGTCTTCTCAGTGACCACGGGTACTGTTGAGCACCCGAAATATCGGGGATTAAAATGTTAAAATTAAACGCGATGAAATCCGTAAAGTTAGTGTCAATTATTGTGTAGTAGTCGAGTAAATATAAGACATCGATATGATTGCGCATCATGTTAACATTTTTAGTGGCATTCGATAGATAGCCGAATACGTTACAATTACAAAACATATTTTTTTAAAGCATTTAGCTGTAACACTGTACTCCGCATATTCAATTCCCGCAATCTTAATGTACTAATTATAGTGCATAGATTATGAGAATGAGAGAACATAGTGCACCTATTTGCGCATACACTCGGGCGCGCGATGGTTGGTCTTCGTTATGACGGGCTCCCGTGACCGAAATTCGTTGTGGAGGACATTATTATTATTATTAGTATAAAGGCGAAATGTTGTGTTACAGGAGGCGTACGTGTACTGGGCGGCGGAGCCGTGGGCGGGTGAGGAAGCGGGCGTGTGGCGCATGACATACGCGGGGGAGCGCCGTGCGCGCCTGCCCGCCTCGCGCCGCGCAGCCGCGCTGGCGCTGCACCACGCGCGCCTGTACTGGCTCGACACGTGCGTACACCACTCGCCACCACACCGCCAAAACACCACACAACTCCGAATAAACCTATTGGGTCAGTTGTAGCGGGGTGGAACCCGGGAACTGGAGACCCTTTTTACTGGGAACAATCCATTGCATTTTAGTTCTTAGGGGTGACAACGCATCGAAATTTTGTTTCTTAATTGAGGATAGATGTAGACCTCTATGGATCACAGCATCCACTTACCATCAGGTGGACTTTGTGGTCGTTTGCCATCCTTATTCTATAAAAAACACCACCACGTAACTCCGAACACAAACGTACCAGTAACCTCTGTACGTGGTAGAGTTACGCTACTGGCTCGACACGTCAGTACGCCACCCATACATACTACGTAATAACAGAGACTCCGAGACTCGCTCGTGTGCAGCACGCACTGGAGCCCAGGAACTAAAACTTAATTAGACTTTGTCATGAGTTGGTCAGTGCAGCTCGTCGCACAAATATTATTCGCGGCGTGTGTTCTTACTAGAACACGTCGTACATATTAGTTGAATGCCCGCCACCCATCATCCACCACACAAAACTACTAACGTACCAGTTACCTTTTTTCAATTATACGTGGTAAAGCTACGCTACCAGTATACTATAACTGTAGCAGGAATGGAGCTCGAAAGATCACTCTTACACATAAGTAATATTAGCTTAAACCAGTAGCATAATGCTACTGGTTTCTAACGTTAATGTCAAAAAGTGGTGTTCCTTTTTTTAGTGAAAACAAAGCATTTTATTTTAATCCCCATGACAACACATCTGTATTTTAATTCCTAATAAAGGATAAACCTAGGTATTTCTGGACCATAACAACTACTTATGATCGGTTGAACCGTGTGCGTGTCCCCTTACTTCTATATAAAAAATATTACAGTCTAGTTTCTATTTACTGCGATGTCAGCGCTTGTCAGCCGGTTGGCGTGTAGCGTCGTTGGAACTGTTATTGGGACTACAAACGAGCAAACAGTCAACCTTTGAGCAAGTGTAACCAATGTAAGTAAAGAAAGTTACGGACGAATTTTCTGCACAAAAAATTTAAATTAAATGTCTTTTATTGTACCACTTACTACACTTATTGTTAATCTCTCCAATAATATTTTCAAAATCAATTTTTGTCATCGTTTCTCACATAAATGCTTATGTGTGAACAAATGATTAATTTGAAGTCATTTTGTAATAGTTTTACCCTTTTTTTTTCTTTTTTTTTACATGGGGAAATGCCTACGCATACCCGCCTCGCGGGGGCAAGGACGGGTTATGTCGGACTCGCACCGACTAAAACCCCATGGTGTTCCACCTTCGTCGCATATTGGCAGGGCTACGGGAACGCTTTCGCACACATCCGCGGCCCCACCAGCGACTACCGCCCCATGGCAGCACCTCATCGGGAGAGGAATATTCCTCCCCGTTCTCCTTTCCAAGTAAGGCGCACCAGAACACATGGCACGTCTTCCTCCACGGCCTCCAATTACATCTGCGCAACAGACGCTCCCGCGTCCGCCAAGGCCATGGGGCCAGGAAAAACGAGCACTTAGAAGTACTAGCCTTCCCGACCCCAGCGGCGGATCTGGTCTATGGCTCCGCCGCCAACCAAGATTCGGCTGCGGAGGATAGGGAGAGCGGCGCCTCGCAATACCGACAATCCTCTCCCCCCGCAGCCCCATCACCAACGCATCAACGGTGCGGCCTCGTTTGAGTCGCGGAGGATAGGGCGAGTGGCGTATCGCCATACCAACACTCCTCTTCCTCCGCGACTCCACCTCGGCTGCAGCGGTAGGTGGGGAGGACACACCTCTCACCGCAGTCCACCAATACACATCCGATCGGAGTGGCCACCTCGGGCCGGCCCTCCACCTCGGACCAGCCATATGGGTTCCTCTTTGTTTCGCCGTGGGTGACCAAGCCACGGCTTCTAAAGCCCCCCGCCACGATAAGGCGGGAACCCGTTCGGGGGGGGAATAGTTTTACCCTATGGTCCTATTTTTGTTTTCCAAGTTAAAATAACAAAAAAAAAACTGATTCTTAATACCTACTTCAAATTAGATCACAAAAATAGGTACATTCAACACGGAATAAGCAGAAGAAATAAATAAAAGGAGCTTTTTAAACAGATTTTTAGGCAGATGACACATATCACCTAGTGCAGATTGTATTTCCCTAAATCTAATATTGATTTATTACTCTCGACGTCACAGGAGCCTGGAGCGCGGTAGCGTGGTGACAGCGCCGCTCAGCAACCTGAGCGACTACCGTATCATGCGACACAATGTTATATATCATCGTACAGACTTGATGGTAAGCCATAAATCGTATATCGTTTTAAAATCATAGAGCACGTCTGTGAACTATTTAACATAGGAAGAAAGAAAGAATAACCATTTATTTGATACACATATTTAAAGCAAAATCTAAAAAAATATGTGATCCTTTGCGTGTACATGTTGCACACAGGCAATAAAAAACACGCAATAAAAAGAGAAAAAGAAAAAAAAGAGAGTAGAAATATTAATAAAAAAAAAGTGATATTAAATAGGTCTTAACATGATGTATGTATGCTGCAAAGGTTTAGCGCTGGTTGTCAGCTGGGATCTTGTGAATTTAAGTCGGTGTGTGATCCTCAGATTGTTCTCGTTTACTATTTTAAGAGAGCAGTGTTTTTAAAACCTAATTAACGTTATACTATAATATACCACCACATTTGTTTAAATTATTTTTATCCGTAACTTTAAATAATACCAAAAGGAATTAGGTAATATTAAATCTTTCGTTGCTGATGATGATTTCGTTGATGATGACTTGGTTCTAACAACCAAACGGCTTGCTACATCGTTCGTCAAGCGTACAGTGTGCCAGTGACTGTTTTTCCATTGGACTACAGTATGGGTATCTTCAAGGCAAGAGTGAATAGACTTTTGTTTAGTCAGTGCGCTTCACCATCTTAGGCTACATCACCACTTACCCTCGGGTGAGATTGTAGTTAAGCGCTGGCTTAGAATTGTAAAAAGAATACTGTAATTAGAAAGTCAGTGCTGCACGTACTACACAACCCGTCCAGGTACCCAAACACTTGTGTATTCAAAAATCATTCGAACTTTTAATAATCATTCATTTATTTAACTGCCTCGTTGGTTTAGTGGTTCTAGGGTTGGGATTCCGAGTCGGGCTAAATAATCTATTATTAAGTTTCCGTCAAGACATTCTCAGTAGTTGCCCAGAGTCAGGAAGTAGGCGGTGTCTCGCCCCCGTGCCTTGGAAAGCACGTAAAGCCGTTGGTCCTGCGCCTGATCTCTCTCCGGTCGTGTCGGTTTACCGTCCCATCGGATTATGAGAGTGATAGAATAGAGAGTGCACCTGTGCTTGCGCATACACTTGGGCACTATAGTCCTGTCCTGCGCCGATGGTTAGCCTCCGTTGAGGCTGGCCAAGTGGCCGAAATTCGGTCTGGAGGATTATTAATCATTAATATATAAGATTAACACCGTGGACGCTCCTGGCAGACGCTGCTCTGGGATATATTTGCATCAGGAATAAGCGAAACGATACAAATATGTTCTCGTTTACTTTAAATATATATTTTGCGTGTATTCACAGATGTCTGTAATATATTGATGGTGATAACATAAAGTTAAAGCCGAAATATTTTTATTCAAAATTGAGTTTTTTTGAAAGTCTAAAGCTACTTCATCTCTTTAATTTTGACGGCTCCGTGTGTAGTGGCTTGGCGATAAGTTACAGTGCTAAGGGCCGCGGGTTCGAATCCCGCACGGAGCAAGTATTTGTATGGCCTACAAATAATTGTTCCGGGTCTGGATGTTTGTCCTTGTGCAATTTATGTATATAAACTGCCTCACGATACAGAAAAAAAATCCTAGTGTGGAGTAACGTTTCAAAAAAAAAATAGGTTTCTCCTTTAAAAGATTTCGTAAGAAGAAGCGACAGTAAATTTACAAGTAGAAGATTACTTTTCTCCCAACCGTTAAAATATAATTTATCTTATGAGGTATATAATATATTGTTTATAAGTCCTTGTTAATACCTTCTATTTAAAAATAAATTAACGTACGATAGCTTTCCTTACGTGTGTATATAAATATACACACGTGTGTGTTTGAAAAAAAATATATATATATATATATAAAAAAAAAAAAAAAAATGTGTGTGTGTGTGTGTTTATGAATATATAACTCTGTAGGTAATGCACATAGTTAATTTCGATACAGTTATTTTGTCGAAATTCTACCAAGTCTTGACGTTTGACCTTGTGGAATGTATGTAGGTAAACTGTCTCCACTATACATGAGAAAGTTATGGTGTAAACGTAAAAAGGAACATAAAAATGATGTAGTGCTCTCCGCTGGACATATTTGTAGAACGAAATTGAATTTACATAAATAAATAAGTATGCGGTTTGTTTTTGTGTGGAGGTGTGGTCACGCGCGCGGCAGTCGGGCCCCAGTCCGAACCCGTGCGCGGGGCAGGCGGCGGGCTGCGCCGCGCTGTGCCTGTGGGACGGGCGCCGCGCGCGCTGCGTCTGCCCGCACGGACTTCTCGCGCCCGACGCCAAGAACTGCCTGCGTAAGTACTCTCATCTTATTTCTCGCAAACGTGGAGATGTCTATGGGCCACAACATCCACTTACAATCAGGTGAACTTATTCTGTAAAAAGAAAATGAATAGTGCCTGCACAAGATATGCCTTGTACTTCGACGTCTCACTCACGGTCCTTTTTCCAGCCACCATTACAGATTATGAAAGCCCACCGCTGAGCAGAGCCAGCCGCCGGCGCGCGCGGCTCGCAGCCACAGTCTTTACTTGCTACTTGTTATTAGGAACACGCTGCTGCCTTTTTTGCCTCTGGATGTTTCCCCCTCTGTCACCTCTTACGACACCCAGAGGGTGATTTGGGGTATGGATATTCTTCTAACGAACGAACTTCACCATATTAAAATATTTTATAGTTTTAAAAATACAGTTTTAGTTTTATTTGGCGCTGAGTATAACTTAAATCAGTACGACAGATTATATACTGACTCATTAACCTTTACTGACACCACGTGCTCTATTATTTTCTTTTTCCCTTACCTTGGTGAGTGTAGTGAACCGTAGACCCTTTTTTACTGGAAACGAGGCTTTCCACCTAAGTCCTCACGGGTGACAACGCATCTGCATTTTGATTCGTAATCGAGGATAGATGTAGATGTCTACGGGCCACAGCAACCACTTACCAACAGGTGGACTGTGTGCTCGTTTGTTATCCTTTCTTATTAAAAAAAAAAAACTTTCAAAATTAAGAGAAAACATGAATGAGATGATACCGATTTTATAATTAACATACTTGTAGAAATGATATTTAGCCCAAATGCACATTTAAGGTAATTTCAGTATCTACCATACAAAGTTAAAACTTTTCCATTCCTTAAATCAAACACTTGAATATTGGTATATCATAGATTCAGCATAAACTAACGCATATCTATGTTAATTGTTACTAACAACACATTACTAATGAGATTATCAGATTTGGGAAAATAAGATCAAAACAAATACACGCATAAAAAATCTTCAATTTAATTGAAATAAATTAACTAATTTAATTATATTTTATGGTAGCTTATTTTAACAAATAATTAAGAATCATTATTCTAGCGTATAACTTCACATTACTTGGTTGTAAATCACACATTCCCTAATATTTTTGCAGCACATAAGGCGTTCATAATGTACTCGAGGGTGACGAAGATTGACAGCATCCATTTGGACAACGGCACCGATCTCAACTCGCCTTACCCGCCCATAGAAGACAAGTGAGTTAATCTGTTGTCTGCTTTTTTTGTTATTTCTATATTATTAAAGATGTTAAAAATAAACGGTCACTTAGCGGTGAGCCACCGCAGTGTCCACTTTACCTGAAGATGCATTATTTAAAGGCGACACATTGCTTTTTCGACGGTGGCGTGTGTCTCCTTGTTTTGTTGGGAGTAATGGAGCTAGGACTCGTAGTCACGGGGATAGTGCACACCATTAAGGGAGGGCGGGAGATGCTTTTTAAACTAGGTAAAACATTATTTTATTACGTAGATGTAAGTTATTTAATTTTTAACATCTTTAATATAATGGATTTTCATAAAGTAACGCTTGATTCTATTATCATATCTACAATAATTTAAAATTTTAAAATCAGTCTCAAAAAGTCTTTTGTATTCTAATACATTGATGTAAATATTAAAGATAATAACTTAACACTCTCTGCATTTTATTATCCATAAAATTGAAGTGACCAAGGAACTTACAGCCTACCCCGTGAACACAGATCTATAAGCGACTTCCAACGAAGAAGACTACAGTAGTGTTGTCACCGCTTAGGATTAAATACCATCATACCCTTAGCCTGTAATTATACTGGACACTGTAAGTATATTGTCTCCCTGGATATCGGAGACATTTACAAACCAGAAAGAACAAACGCTAGTAACTTTTTTGAGATATTTACACAATAATTTTTTTTTTGATTTACTCAAAAACGGATGCCTAATTGAAGACTACAAAAGTAAAATAAACGAAAATGGATTTACAATATTAAATAAAATAAATACAACGTATTGTACACGCGAAACATCTACCACTAGACCATATTAGACCATATCAGCTCTAACCTAAAAGAACACGACTATCAATAATAGAATCCGCATTATCAGATCATAAACAATTGATTAAAACTACTTTTACGTATTTTATCGCGTTTTATTTATATTAATTTTAATACCCGACGTTTCGGGTGCTTTCCAGCACCCATGGTCACGGGGGACTGAGGTGACTGACGTCCCGATATCAAAGTTAACCCGGAGTACCTTCAGCTTTTTAATTATTGTCTTTGGTCCGATCCACGCAGAATGAACTAATTAGTGCACCCGAAACGTCGGGTATTAAAATTAAAACGCGATAAAATCCGTAAAAGTAGTTTTAATCAATGTATAGTGTTCGCGTAAATATAAGAAATCATTAGATCGTAAACAAATATATTTTAAGTAAAACAATACAAGCCCAAATCTACAAAAAAAATTAGCTATAAATTACCAAAACCTCTACTGTGACATGATGAATATGAAATACATCAATGATCAATATATTAAAAAACACTTAAAAAGTCTATCCAAGTTGCTTTAAAAAGTAACAAAGTAATAAAAATCAAAATATTGAAGCCTCCTCGAAAAGACTGGATAAATAAAGATGTATTAAAAAGAATTGATAGACGAAATGAGCTATGGAAGAGTTTTAAGCAAAATCCGGGAAACTTAGAAATTGAAAAAAGATTCAAGATGGAAAGAAATGAAACGTTCGAGTTCATTCAAACAACAAAAAATTAATATTACAATAAAGCTTTTAAAATTGTGTCGGTAAGTCTTCCAAAACGTGGCAACTCATAAATAACATATCAAACAACAAAACCAAAGACAATTTTGCACTCACTGATGTATTAATATTTTATATTAATAGATCAGTGAGTGCAAAATTGATTATTACTATTAATTATTAATATTTACGAAAGATTTTATGAATATTTCGTAAATATGGGTATTGTTGTGGCAAAGCAATTTATATCTCAGTATCATAAGAAATATTTACATACAATGCAAAATAGACCAACTAAATTTATTAATAAACCTGACCAATTTGAATTAGCTACTGTTGAGGGAGTTAAAAAAACCATAGACTGAAATCTTAAATTAAATATTAGTACAGGTGTTGACGGGATCAGGTCTAAAACTATTAAAACCGTAAGAGACCCTATATCTGTTTGCTCAACAAAATGCATTAATAGAAGTATCCAGTAAGCTATTTCCCTGACTCATTGAAGCTTGCTAAAGTCACTGCAATATATAAAACAGGATCTAAGAATGAGCCGGGTAACTACAGGCCAATCTCAGTACTTCCTACTATATCAAAATTTTTGAGAAATGTTTGCATAAGCGCTTTAGTGACTACTTAACCTTAACTAACACCTCTCTGAGCATCATGTATAGCTTTAAGTCTAAATCATACACCCTTTCAGCATCAATCGATCTTACTAAAAACTCAAAACCAGTATAGATCAAAAAAATATAGCCCTTGGTGTTTTTATTGATCTGAAGAAGGCATTAGAAGTAAGTCATAAAATTCTGTTATGTAAGCTTTTTGCAATCAGCATAACTGGATTGGCACAAGAAATGATAAAGCTGTATCTCACAAACCGTTTTCAAGTAGTTAAAATAGATAAACATGTTAGCAGCCCCAAGCCTGTTCAATACGGTGTTCCTCAGGGTCAATTTTAGGACCTTTTCTATTTCTAATATATATAAACGATATAAACAACATAGGCTCAAAGGAAATATTTTCTTGTACGCGGATGATACCTGCCTATTTTATTTCGGACACAGCATCAATTCAATCTTAGAGGAGGCTCAGAAAGACCTTAACCTCTTGCAAGAAACGTTCTCATGCAATTTGTTAACTGTTAATGCGGCAAAAACTAACTATGTCATTTTTTCTGCAAAAAACAAAAAGATTCCAGACTTCGCCTCTCACAATAAATGGTACACATATAAATAAAGCAAATAAGGAAAAATACCTAGGAATTATATTAGATAACAGGTTGTCGTGGAAGCCACACATTAAATTCAACAAAATAAATTCTAAATTGTCTTCTTCTTTAGAAAGTGTGCGAAATATAGTAGGATGTCTTCCACTGAATGTTCGATATATTTTATATAATATACTTGTCAAACCACATATTTAATGGAGGTATGGGGATCAGCACACAAAAAAAAATTACGTAGACTGCAAACTACCCAAAACTAATTAATCAAGGTACTAACTATTTCATTATAAATATTTGACATCATCTAATATTATATATAAAGAAACAAAATTATTAAATATATTCCAAATATATCAATATAACACTTGCATATTAATACTTAAAATACTTAAAAACGACATTCATCACAAATATTGTTCAAAAAAATATAGATTTTCACAATCGTAACCTTAGACGAGCCCATGACATATTACATACACATAAAAAGTTAGAACAGATAAAAAAATGACGGTGCAAAATTTATAACTTTTTACCTAAAAATATAAAAGAATCAACACATTATCTTTATTTAAAAACACTAAAATTAAATCTAAATTAGTTTGTACGCACCCTTATTTCTGTTTCGATTGCATTAATTGTTCGGTAATTACAATTTGTGCGCGATGCTCAAACCTATGTTTAATGTTCTTTTAATTGTTTACGTTTTAACCACATCTATAGCTAATATTCTGTATGCTCGTAATGAATTCCTTTATTATTGTTTGTAAATTTTTAATTTCTGGTAAGCGATTTGTAATCTTTTGAGAAATAAATAATGTCTTAAACCTAAACCTATATTGTCTCGCCCTATACTAAACTACGTCGACGTATTTAGCAGGTAATTAATAAAGAGATAACGACATCTGTACTAACCAGCATCATTTTAAATACAAATTGATTCCAGGGAACTGATGCGTAACGTGATCGCCCTCGCCTACGAGTACAACAGCTCGCGGCTGTTCTACTCGGACATCCAGCGTGGTTCCATCAACACCGTGCACTTTAACGGCACTGGACACGAGGTGCTGCTAGAGCGTGAGTCCGATACGCTTACTTCTACGATGAGTCTTACAAACTTTGACGTGTACCTTAATATTTTGCTACCTTGCTATTTTAAGTAAATCCGGATTTAAGTATTTAGCTTTGTGGTATTCCTTAGGGGAGGCCTATGTTCAGCAGTGGATTGTGAAGGACTGTAATGATGATGATGATGATGACTATGATGATGAAATATAATAATATACAATTAAAATTATGCATAGGTTATTGACAAAAATTAAAATGACTAGGTACAAGCCCTGGGGCACTGCAGAGTATAATTATTCAGTTGCAGATTTGAAACTTCAGATAATGGTTTCTACGAAGTTATTGAAGACTGCGATAACATATTTTTTTTTTGTATTAAAAGCATTTTTTGACTTTACCTGATAAAATAAATTCCACATAATTTTCGTACGCGTTCTAGCCACCACCAATGCGAAGCTTAATAGGGAAATTATGATTTTCTTACTAAATAAAATATTTTATAGCATTGTTTCTGTGTTACGATAAGTATTTTTGATATATAATAAAGGTTACAAACGGACGCACAGTCCACCTGATCGTAAGTGGGTGCTGTGGTCCATAGACATCTACATTTACCGTCAATTTTGAGATCATATTAACAATCGAAATGCACGATGTGTCGTCACTCCAGATGACTAATATGGAATGCCTCGTTTTAGTAAAATGGTATCTGATTCTCTACTCTCATCATACGAAAAAGCAGCATTGGGCTGCTATTTTAAGCTAGTATTCTGTGAGAGCAAGGTCCTTTCCCGTTGGTGCCAACCCACTCTTGCTACAACCATAATATAGCTGCAGCATATCTCTACTTCGTAAAAAATCCGTCTCGAAGGACCATATGCAATTAATTCACTGTGGCATTGCTAAGTGGGTGTGCACCATGTAAATGCTGTCTTGGTTGAATATCATTGTGCATGGAGCGTGTGCATCGGTACAGAGGTGGGCGCGGTGGAGGGGATGGTATTCGCGGCGGTGCGCGGCGTGCTGTACTGGACGAGTGCTGGAGGTGGGGGTGGGGTGGGAGGTGAGGGGGGTGAGGTGGGGATTTGTGGCGTCAACGTGGCGGCGGCGCGAGCGACGCCGCTCCGGCATCGCACCGAGCTCGTGCATCACGTGCTGCGTCTGCCCGCTGGTGAGCGCCCGCGCGGACTCGACTTCGAACCCTGCGAAGAGTGAGCGCTGTTCTCTATATTACTTTACCCGCAAATTGACAAGGCAAATTGTTTTTGTTATGTGTTTGTTACAAAACTAGAGATAATTTCAACAAAAGTGTTGTTTTTATTTTATTTTCTGTCTTAAAAAATTACTGAGATAATGAAGACTAAAGTGCGTTTTCCCGCGCGATGTTTTCGTCAACATTTCGGCTGGCCGGACAAAGCGCGGTAACGTCATCTCTCGCATCTCGCCGCGCACTATAAAACAATTTAATATTTCGCTCGCAATCTCGAGTGGGCGACTCTTAAACTCTTCGTAGAGTCCCAAGTTCTAATGAGGTAATAGTGGCACAGGTATCATAAAATAAATTAATTTGTGTTTTTAAGTTGAAAATGACAGGGTATGTCTATGTGAAGTTTAAGCGAGTACGAGGACTGCTGAAACTTAAGAAAGGCGAAACCTGACAAGTTTGCTTGTCAAAACTGTTATATGAAAACGTGTACGGTCCGTTGTAAAAAAAAACGTAAAAAGCAGTAATTATTGAGAAGATTCTTAGTTTTTTTTAATAGGATAGGGGGATAAACGAGCACACAGTCCACCTGATGGTAAGTGGTTGCTGTGGCCCATACACCTACATGTACCCTCGATTACGAATCAAAATGCAGATGCGTTGTCCACCGTGAGGACTAAAATGAAATGCTTCATTTGCACTAAAGGTCTCCAGTAAAAGGGTCTCCGGTTCTCTACACTCACCATACTGTTGCGCGGCTAAGTTGACATCTGGCACTAGCGCCATCTAGTGTCGGGTAACGGAGCGATGGGAGAGCTTTCCAGAAAATGACATCACTAATCTTTCAACCGACAGCGCCATCTGTTGTCGAAACGAAGAACTAAGCTTCTGGAAGCTGACCCTCGAACTTTCGACACTTTGTCGATTGGTGCGCGTATTTACTTGAATGTTCTGGATGATTCGGTACCAATGTGTATTTATAGGCGCTGCAAGGTGCGATCGGGGAAGTATTGAATTTGGCGAGACAAGCGAAGCTTCGGAGCGGAATAAAGTGAATTAGTGTGCTTAATTATTGGTGTTTTAAGTTTTAATTTGTGTAAAGAAAATTAAAGTGTTAATTTAGGTAATCCTATCGGCACTTTTTATTGTCACGAATCTCAAGCTCGTAACAATACGAAACACCGCACTATTAATCTACTATTGCGCTAGTGTAAAAACTACTATATTACGTGTTAAAATGTAAGTGGAAATGTTGCGTCTACTTCACATAAGTTTAGTTCTTACTAAACTTTTTTACTGAGCTCTGTTGCAACAGCCCTGATTTAGGTTCGACATAATATGTAAAATTCCTAACGAACCTTCTGTAGGCACTTCACAGATAAGGTATTGCTTAATTTGCTGCCATCGTCACTATTTTTAATAAATATTGAACTTATGCTAACTCAAACTATTCACTTTAGGTAAATTTTCAGAATAACTTTCATTCCATGTTAAATTAGCCCCCAACAACAACCCTTACAAATTTTATAATGTGGCAAAAAAATTGCTGAAAAACAAGCGTGTCTACCGTTGCATACGTAGGTTAAATGGCGGGGCAGTGAGGTACGCAAGAGATGACGTCACACCACGCGCGCGCGACACCCAACCGCTCCCAACTTCTCGTAGTAATAACTTTCGCACCTTTTACGTGAAACAAAAACCTATACATACATATACATGCTATGCTCATCATTCACTGTCGAGTATAAAGCACAGCTGGATTCATGAGCAAAGTTCAAGGTTATTCAATATTGATTTTTACATAATACCTATTGAAAGTATTTTTTTATTTATCGTTGGTCCGGAATATACCTCTGTCCTGGGAAGAACCAGCAAGAATCCCAGCGATATTTTTTAAACATATATAATTTTACGTTAATTACGTTAATTAATTTTGTACAACTTTTATATGAATTTTAATAGAACCAGCTATCGTAGGCCATGAGATCTTTAACGAATAAAAGCATCTAAAAATACTCACGGAGTAATTGGATATTAATTTATACCGTCATTCATCACCATATGCATACTTTTTAAAATTCTTCTCATGTAATAAGTTAAAATTCTACATTTTTTTTTAATTTAATCGTATTAAAATAGGTATAGTTTTATTATAATTTATAATAATATAATATTACTTATTTAATCATAATTTTTATTTTACTTTTTTTTATAAATATTTAATATTTTTTAAATAGGTGTGTATATTGTTGGTCCTTTTGGATTCTTAGTAAAATAATTTTTTTTATAAATAAATAAAATGAAGTAAATTAAAATTGACTACAACTCTTTTCGAAGGCGGCTGTACTGGACCAACTGGAATCAGACGCACCCGTGCATCCAGCGCGCGCTAGTGGGCGGGCTGGGGCTGCAGACCATCATCAGCACCGACATCCTAATGCCCAACGGTCTTGCGCTGGACCACTCCACGCGCCGTCTCTACTGGGCTGATGCACGCCTCGACAAGATCGAGCGCGCCCACTACGACGGCTCCCATCGCCATGTACGTCACACTTTTCTTATTCAGCGACAATTTTGACGTGGCGACCACTCCACGTGCCGTCTTTACATTTGCATTCTTAGTAGGATGCAATTCATAAAACTGATGATAATATTATAATCGGGGGATACAGTTTGGTACTGTAGCTACATATCTATCATCACTCGATAGCTAAATTGTCAAAAGATTCGTTACTATGTTAAAAAAATGTTTAAAAATATATAAAAAAGAATGGATTATATTAAACAAATGGAAAAATCTGACAATAAAAATAAAACGATGTGGAAAATTATTAATAATGAAACCGATAAAAATAAAATAAACTTATCTCAAAATATAATTTTAAAAGAAAATTATACATTAATTTCTTCACCCCCACATCGTTACAAATATGTTTGACGAGTACTTTTCCACTGTAGGCAATGTTCTGACTCCAATAATATAGTAAATAGACATCACGTTATAAATCCACCAACAAAGTCTTTCTTTTTGACCCTCGTCAATCCAAGAGAATATCGAAAATTATTAAAAAAAACTTAAAAACAAACATAGCTGTGGTATTTATGATATACCACCGATTCTGGTAAAGAAATGTGCAGAAATATTAGCTATCCCTTTAGCTTCACTTCTAAACTAAAGTTTTGAATATTCTCAGTTTCCGGATATACTAAAGATTTCATTATTAAAACAGGTATTTAAAAAAAGCCCTAGCGCTCAGTAACTATCGATCCATAGCCTTGCTAAAATATTTGAGAAAGTCATGTGTTACCGATTCTATCATTATTTAGAAAAATATAATAGATGAATCACAGAACGGTTTTAGAAAAAGTAGATCAACAGGTCTGGTGGTATATAAATATGTATATCCAAACGGCTGTGCAACATATTGATAATAAAAGAGTCACCATAGGCCTTTTGGATATGACGAAAGCATACGATAAAGTTCAATTTAATATACTTTTAAATAAATTACAAGTTTCGGGAATTCGTGGAACGGCCTACAAATGGTTCCAATCATATCTGACAAACAGGAAGCAGATAGTTCAAATCGAACACCGCAACGATGAAAAACGGGAAATCATTGTAAGTCTCAACCCCCCCCTCAGGCAGTGTCTTAGGATGTCTTCTGTTTTTAATATACATAAACAATTTACCTAAGATAATAAATAACGAAAACACATTAAGCGTACTCTTTGCCGACGATGTGTCAGTGTTAGTGAACTGCGATACAAACAAAAATTATAACTCTATTGTCTACAACACTCTACAAACTATAACAAATTGGCTCGAAGATCACAACTTAGAAATTAACTTTAAAAAGACTAAAATTATGCAATTTAAAACATACAAAAGCGGCCTATTAACTTTAAACGTAAATTTTTAATAATATACAGCTTGAAAAAGGCAATACTTTTAATCTTTTAGGTTTGAAAGGCGATTGAAACATCAATTAGAAAACACACATTAATTATATAAAGTCTTAAATATCAAAATTCATGTATGCTTTATTTCAAATCAAATACACCACTGAAACGGCACTGTCGGCTTACTATGCTTATGTTCATTCGTGGCTTAAGTACGGAGTTATGTTGTGGGGAAGTAGCGTCAATGTGCAGCAGCTATGTATTGCCCAGAAGTGCGTAAGAATACCAGCCCAGGTCACTGACCTCTGTATATACACTTGTATATACTATGTATAGAGGTCGGTGGCCTCGATAGATAACAATACTAGCTGAACACCGTATTTAAAAAAAACTAAATATTCTACCTCACCCTGTATGTACATTTATGATCTATGTGTCTGTCCACAAAAATAATATTTTCAAGATGATTAAAAATACACATGACATAAATACACGTAACAAAAATAAATTAACAGCTTTGGTCCACTCGACTTAAAAAGGTGACCGTTTAGATCCGTCTAACTACAGGCCTATCGCCATCACCTCTTTGTTCTCCAAAATAATGGAATCCATTATAAACTGCCAGCTTGTTGGTACCTCGAAGATCAGCAGCTGATTAGTGAACGCCAATACGGTTTTCGTCCGGGTCGATCTTCTGGTTTATCTTACACCTAAATGGACGGCGACATTAGAATCCAAGGGGGAGGCCTTGGCCGTTAGTTTGAACATAGCAAAGGTCAGGAACAAAGCGCTTCTTTCGAGGCTTCCTTCCCATGGGACATCAACGTCGTAGTAGACGGTGCATGGTCCGATTACAAGCCTATTAACACTGGTGTTCAACAAGGTTGCGTGCTATAACCAACGCTGTTTCTTCTGCATATCAACGTGGTAACATTCATTGCTATGCGGACGATAGCACTGGTGATGCTTTGTACACCAGCCGTAATAATATTTCTTGGGGAAACGTCACCGAGTACCGGAACAAACTTGTGTCTGAAGTCGAGACTTTGTTGAACATGCTCAGACTAAAGGCGACTAAATTTATTCTGGTTCAATCCCCAGAAGACAAGTTTGTTTGTTTTGGAATACCACCCAAATTGTAACTTCGCATTTATTATGTTCAACTGTTCACGTTTTGGTGTTATTCTGTTGTGTATACCTTAATAAATAAAAGAACCCCTTTGTCGTATCTCCTCAGTTTCAAGGCACTCCCCTTGTTGCCTCAGCCAGTATCGGAATCCTCGGCGTCGACATATCGAATGACGTGCAGTTTCGTGGTCACTTGAAAGAGAAGGTCAAATTTGCCTCTAAAAGGCTTGGCGTACCCAGCAGGAAGGGACAGTATTTCATGCCGGCACACCGCCTTCAACTTCACAAGACACAGGTTCGGCCTCACATGGAATAATGTTTATATCACTGGGCCAGGGCTCACTGTGCCAGCTCCTTTCATTTAATCGCATCCAGTGCAAACCTATACGAATCATCGGCGACTGAGTTCTTTCTGATCGGCTTGACTCACTGGGACTTTAAAGAGATTTTGCATGTCTTTACGTATTTTATCGCATCTACCACGGAAATTACTCTGAGAAATTGATCGTTGTATTAATTCCAACCGCTCAATTTCACCATCACAAATTGCGACAAACAGCGACAAATCTCGCGATACCATCCGTATCATCTGGATAATTGGCGGTCCACTACGGTGCAATTAAAAAGAAGTTTTTACCTCGGTACAACTTCCTTGTGAAATTGACTACCACCAGCGATTTTTCCGGACTGATACAGTTTAGGAACCTTCAAGAAAAGAATCTACTCTTTTTTAAATTGCCGGAAACACACCTGCAATTTCCTCGGTGTTGTATTCATGCGATACTTACCATCAGGTGAGCCGCATGCTCGTCGTTTGTTGCCAATTCTATTAAAAAAAATATTTTGTGTAGTGTCCAAGTGGAAATGTTGTGTGGGTTATGCAGGTGGTGACGCGGTCAGGGGCAAAGCATCCGTTCGCGGTGGCGGTTGGCGGCGGCTGGGTACTATGGACGGACTGGGTGGCGCGCGCCGTGCTGCGAGCTGACACCCGCGCTGGTCATGCCGCGCCGCTGCGCACGCACCTGCCCAGACCTATGGGGCTCATCATCGTGCAGCCGCAGCACCAGATCTGTGAGCACAACACGCATACATACTCAATTACATGCGCGCACCTGCCCAGACCCATGGAGCTCGTTGTCGTGCAGCCGCAGCACCAGATCTGTGAGCACAACACACACACACACACACACACACACACACACACGCCACACACACACACACACACACACACACACACACACACACACACACACACACACACACACACACACACACACACAATTACACGCGTGCACCTGCTTTTTTTTGTCTTACATTGAGTGGTGTTGTTTTGTTTTTATTAATAACGAACGTATATTTACCAGGTGAAAAGGATCCATGCTCGATATTGAACGGTGGGTGTGCGGAGCTGTGCTCTTTGCGCACGGACGGGCACGTGACATGCGCGTGCGGCGCGGGCCGCGTGTTGGCGCGCGACGGACTCTCGTGTGCGCCGCCCGCCCCCGCGCCCGCCCTCGCCTGCCCGCCCACTGACTTTGCGTGTGCGGAGGGCGGCTGCGTGCCTTTCGAACTCGTATGCGATGGCGTGCCGCACTGCAGCGATGGACCCGACGCCAGCGACGAGGATCTTTATTACTGCAGTTAGTTTTACTACTCTTATTTCGTGCAAATGGCTCGGTAGCGCAATTACTGAGCGTGTGGCAGAGGCGCCTATGGTGGTACTGGCGGAACCGACTGATAACATTTCGTGTATTTTGAAGTTAAAGGCTAATGAAGTGTTAAGTTATTGCATCTATAGTAGATACAATAGCATATTATCTAGCCACTATTTGTAACACAAGCGTTGAATCTCGTGTGTATTCTGATTTAATGAAACATACCTTAATTTAAACTTGGTAGTACATTAGACCCCGCTAATTTTAGACCAATTTCAGTACTACCAACCTTAAGTAAAAATTTTGAAAAGGTTATATTAGATCATATATTAAGCACCGGAGTAGTATCAACGCAGTAGAAATGCGGTCGTTAAGGAGTATGTTAGGGCTGAATCGGAACGACAGGGTAAGAAATTGTGTAATAAGAGAAGAGTGTGGTTTGCAAGATGATGTTGTGACCAGGATTAAGAAAGGAATGCTTCGGTGGTTTGGTCATGTGGAAAGAATGAATGAGGAAAGAGTGACAAAGAAAATTTATGTTGCAGAAGTGAATGGCAGAGTCGGAAAGGGACGTCCTAGGCGAAAATTTATCGACCAAATTGGCGATTTATTGAAAATGGGCCAAATTAGGAGTACCCTTAACCGACGAGCATGCATAGGTGCATACACCTATCCATCCATCATACCATCCATACACCTATGCATGTATGCATAGGTGTATGGATGTGAAGGAGGCGAGAGTGGTGTGTCAGGATCGTGCCAAATGGAAGTCTGTAGTCTCTGCCTACCCCTCTGGGTGACAGGCGTGAGTGTTTATGTTATATTAATTTTTTTAATATAAATAAATTGCTTCATAAAAATCAATTTGGTTTTACAAAGGGTCGCTCGACCACCAGCGCCGGAGGTGAGCTCATAAAACATAATTTTGTACATAGATTCAGAGGATGGTTTGGATGTATTTTGTGACCTTTCCAAAGCCTCGAAGGCTTTATTCACCATGAGATATTAATTAGGAAAACACAGTACTATGGCTTCAAGAACTCTGCACTTAAATTTGTTATTTTATATTTAAGTATATAGAACGTAGAAAGTTATTATCAATGCTAAAAGTTCTTCCAAGTCACCAATAGTAATGGGCGCCCCTCAAGGCTCTATTCTTGACCCATTCCTATTTTTAGTGTATATTAATGACTTACCTTCCTTTGTAAGGGATAATCATGATATAGTCTTATTTGATGATGATACTTCCTTGTTTTTTAAATTTTAACGTCAAATATTTAAATGAGATGAAGTGAATAATACTATATCAACATTAGTGCATTGGTTTAACATTAATACTCTAAATTTAAATGGCAATAAAACTAAATGTATTAAATATACAACAACAAATGTTAAAAATCTTAATATCAATGTATCTTAAATGACTAAGAACTGAGCTCTGTTGAATCTTATGTTATTTTTTTGGTATCACTATCAACGCAAAGCTTCAGTGGGGACCCGATATAAACCAAACTAGCTAGCAGACTAAGCTCTGCAGATTATGCTGTAGAAAAAAATTATTCTGTTTTATTCTATTATGTTCTAATCTCTCCTTTTTTTATTATATAACTGCTGGACACAAGTCGCCTCTCATTGACTAATTGTACATAATAAAGTTACATAACGCCTTTTTAGTTCCATTCCATTACACTATTCTGTTATGTTCTTTCTTTCTTTCTTTTGGTTCAACGTTACCTCCACACTAGGATTTTACTAAATATCTAATGAGCTAACTCGAAGGAAGTTTTCATCTGGTGTATGTGTGTACAGCATCTCGAACGTGCCCCGTGGACTGGCTGGCTTGCGGCACTGGCGGGCGCTGCGTGTCCTCTTCGGTCCGCTGCGATGGCCGCCCCGACTGCGACGACGGCGCCGACGAGCTGAACTGTGACTGCCCGCCCACACACATCAAGTACTGCCACCTCACTTGCACTCTTTATACATAAGGCAACTTTCTCTCAATCGCACTATTTCTATATATGGCGACTATATGGTCTAGTGATCTATAGTATTTTTGCATATTATCGTACCATTTTCCTCTGCGGTAGAAAGATATTATATAATTTTTATACTGACTTAGTAAGGCGCGATTCATTAAAGTTATTTGTACGGATTTAATTGCGTTTAATTGAACATGTTTTTAACTTAACTGATATTTCGAGTGCTTTGTGGTATAGTCTCGGGGGGAACTGACGTGTTTGACGTTATAATAATGTAGTTATTCTGAAGTAGCTTTTAATTAATAATTTGGTTTGATTTACGCAAAGTAAGCTTACTGTATTTTTAAGTCATGCCGTGGTATGTTTGGGTTCAGGGTTCAACTCAGCGGGCATTTCCTTGCTCTCAAATCTTTTCAGAAGTAATAGGAGGCCTATGCCCAGCTGTGAGACGTATATAGGCTGTAATTTTTACAGGATCTGGAGCATTGTTATTGAAATTAAGACTTTCTATTAACATTTCATAAGCCTTACGAATCATCCATGTTAGGATCGAGTTTTTCAGCAAAGATTTGTGGTCTATTAAAACTGATTAATAACAGGAGTCTTCTAGGATATGACGAACTGCTTGCTTCCCCAAACATCTGTCTGCAGTCTGCCAATGCGAAATCGCATTATCTTTCCAAATTTGTGGTTGTAACTTAATTCTCTTATTTGACTGAAATTGAAGCTTGTTATTGTCCTCGCCTATCGTCGTAACTCACTTCCTCTCCCTCTCCTTGTTACTTTTCCTTGCTCCTCCCGTTATCGTACACCGATGTTATAATTTGTCAATTAGATGCGATCCATAGTAAATCAATGTTTAGAGTTGGCGAGGTGGTGAAGGACAAGGGAATAGAGAGTGTTGTGTGTGCAGGTGCGACGACGGCATGTGCGTGCCGCTGACGGCGCGCTGTGATGGCGCGCTGCAGTGCGCGGACGGGTCGGACGAGCGTGGCTGCGCGCACGCCTCCTGCGCTGCGCTGGGCTCGCTGGCGCTGCGCTGCGGGGCCGCGGACGCTTGCTACCTGCCTGCCTGGCGCTGCGACTCAGTCCCGGACTGTCCCGACGGCACCGACGAGATGCACTGCCATGCTGGTATGCTACCATTATTCACTAATGTCATTCCTAATAAAATAATGCATCACTGCGCAAATCCATTATATTAAAGATACAAAAAATTAATTACCTAAGATCTTCGAAACAAAATAAAATTATGCATCTTACCTAGTTTGAAGAGTACCTCCATCCCTCCCTCAATTACGTACACAATCCACACCACAAGTCCCAGCACCATTACACTAAGAAAATCACCATCGGATAATACAACATGTGTTTTGCCTTTAATCGAAGCATCATCGAGTAAAATAGAGTTTGATGCTGCTGACCGCTGAAATCGGTGCGCCTTGCCTTGTATAGTGGTATTGGGACTAGCGGCGACGCGGACAGCGCACGCGATCGAAGCGAGGCAGAGGATTCTGCAAACAAGGGTAAGACATCATTTTATTTTATCACGCGGATCTTAGCTAATTAATTGTGAACAGAAATGAAAACCTAAACATAACGTACAAATAAAATAATAGGAAAATTGTATGTAAACCAAACTAATCGCACTAGCTGGAATATGCTGCTTCCGATAATAAGTAATTGGAACTTAACTGAATCTTTTAATTATCACTTTGGCCAGATTTTTATCATTACAGTCTCTCTTAAGTAGGTATTTGTTTTTTAAACGTTACCTCAACTTTTTTTCTGTATCGTGGAGACAGTTTACATACATAAATTTCACAAGGTTTGTCCTCGCAATCCCGGAACAATTACTTGTAGGCCATATAAATATTTGCTCCTTGCGGAATTCAAACCAGCGGCACTTAGCGCTGCAATTCATTGCTAAGCCACTGCGCCAAGAGCCGCGTAAATGAGGAATATATTGTTTTAGTAATGTAATTCATACTTTTCTGTTTCATAGACACAACGGAAATGAGCCAAAACGCGGAAGCGACGGTAGATGAAACGGCAGTGGGCGAGTGCTTACCAGACCAGTTCAAGTGCTCGAGCTCGGCGACCGGCGTGGACTGCATCCCGCTCGCCTGGCGCTGCGACGGACGCCCGGACTGCTCCGACGGCTCTGATGAGACGCTACACTGTGGTATGGATAGTTTTCTGTAATTTTTTTATAGAAGAGGGGGCAAACGAGCATGCGGCTCACCTGATGTTAAGTGACTACCGCCGCCCATGATCAACCGCAACACCAGGGGAATTGCAGGTGCCTTGCCGACCCTTTAGAAAGGAGTAAGCTCTTTTGTTGAAGATCCCTCGGTCATATCGGTCCGGAAAAATCGCCGGTGGTAAACTATTCCACAGAGAGGTCGTACGCGGAAGAAAACTCCTTTTGAAACGTACAGTGGTGGACCGCCAGGCATACAGATGGTGTGGATGGTATCGGGACGTTTGCCGCGTAGTGCGTTCACGAAATTTGGCGGCTGGGATTTATCCGAACAATTTCTCATAGCACTCTCCATGGTATATGCGAAAGAAAATGCAAAGAGATGCAACATCTCTTCGCAGCGCCAGTGAGTCGAGCCGATCGGAAAGCACTCGGTCTTCGATGATTAGAGCCGCTCTGCGCTGGATGTGGTCAAGTGGAAGGAGCTGGTACTAGGGAGCCCCAGCCCAGAGATGGGAACAGTATTCCATGTGCGGCCGAACCTGCGCCTTGTAAAGTTGCAGGCGGTGTGAAATACTGTCCCGCTCTGCTGAGCACGCCAAGCTTTTTAGAGGCCAATTTGGCCTTCTCTTCCAAGTGACCACGAAACTGCACGTCACTCGATATGTCGACGCCGAGGATTCCGATACTGGCTGAGGTAACAAGGGGAGTGCCTTGAAACTGAGGAGATACGACAAAGGGGTTCTTTTCTAACAAAAGAGTTCTTCTGTTCATAGGGGGCTATGTCCGTTACTCTAGTTCTACTTCGGATATCCTCGTTTTTAAGTCTATCACGTAGATAAACTCCGAGAAAAGCGCTCTCCATAGCTCGCTGAGCGACTTTGAGCTTCCTCATACGGTCAGCGGTGAAGGAATACGTCTCCGATCCTGAAGTCATCACTGCCAACACGCACGGGTTGTACAATCCAGGTATGTCTGACGAGAATATGTGTCGTAATGCCTACCCGAGTTGAATCCGTCAATTGACGTCTGTGTTCGGAAATCGGAGAGTTTTTGTGTTCTTTTGCAACGGGTCTTACAAAACTTAGCTCCGACCGACATGGACAGTTTTCTCAAGCTTGTCATTCATATCATCCACTTCATTCCAGTCTTCTAGGCACTGAAAACGGTTTTGTAACTTGCGCTGAAAGTTTTCGGGGCTTTGGGTTAGAGCACGAGGAGGACGGAACGTTGACTTCGTTTGACGTGACCTCTTCAACTTCACGTTAAGGTTCAGTGTGCCTCTCACCATTCGGTGATCGCTGAGTTTTCCCCCTACCGGTTCAGAGACATCACTGAACAGTTGTTCAGTGATGTCTCTGGTGGTCTTAATGAAGTCAATCTAATTTTTTATCGAATCGTCGGGACTCGACCAGGTCTCCTTTCTGTGAGGCCGCTTCTGGAAGAAAGACATCTTAAAGTCTCTCTTTCTCCATAAAGTCGGCCTGCTGCTGGCCCCTTGGGTTCCATTGCACTATCCAGAATTTCCCTACTTTCAGCTCACTATTCACTCTTGTGCCTAGTTTTATTGAAATCTCCCGTTAACTCGTTTTTACCGTATAGTGGGTTTTGGAGGAATGCATGGCTTTAGAGATATCCTTATACATTTCCTCCACCTCCTCATCGGGATATACCGAGGTTGGTGCGTAAACTTGCATGACCTTCAGCGGATAACGTTTAGGGATTCTGAGTATAAGGTACGCAACCCTCGTCGACACACTCCCAATCTTTGCAACGTTGTTAACGGAGACTTGTAGACGATAAATCCAATACCTCCTTGGGATAGATGGTCGCCCTACCGGTGATAGAAATAGTTGCCGGATTCGAGGGTTACTGTGTTCTCTTCGGGCTTAAGATTATCCTAAAATACCCAGCTGATATGTTTGTGAATGCAATGAAACGACCGCTGTCTTGTAACACTCGTTTATTACTGGTTGGATGACCGTACTCCACACGTATATGTCATTCCTCCCCACTTAATTTTGGAACCTGGTAACAAGGTTTCTTAATTAAATACAGTAAAAATTTTTGTCTACATAAACTTAACAACTAATAATAACTATTAACAATAATTAGCGAACTTGATCTCTGCGTAACTATAATTAACAATCGCTACTTAAAAATACTTTTTATAATCCACCCTTGGTCTTGTACGTTTCGGGCGTGTGGCTAAAAGTGGCAATGTTGGCGGTACATGGGAATCGCCAATTGTGGACGGCACAGCCTCCGTTTCTGCCATAGGCCTTTCTACGGGGGCAATGTTGTCCTTTTCATACTCCCTAGTCTCACAGTCACTTACTTCTTCTGCCTCACCGTGGTCAGATGAACCAAGATTCGGCGCTCCAGTATTCGAGGGCGATTGCAGCTCAGCCGTCTGCATATTCGTAGCCTGTTCCATACTTTGCTCCGTATTACTTATAGCCGGAAACATAGGCTGTTGCGCGGGAGGGTGTGCATTTACAGTAGCCGGCGATGTGGAGGGGCAACGAGTCTCCTCAGCAGCGACAATATCGTCGCGACTACTGTCTGAACCCGTATATCTAATAATTTGATCCACATGTCTAATACACCAAACCTCCATGTCCCTAATATGAATTTTATACATTTTATTTCCTATTTTTTCCTTTATTCTACCTAACTGCCAAGATTCTTTTCGTGCACTGTACCATCGGGTCCAAACGATATCGCCGATTTCAAAAGATCTTTTCCCGGCTGCCGTAAGTGAATTAGAATTATGATTTTTTAAGGGTAAAATCAAATCGAGACGCGACCGCAAATTTCTGCCGAACATTAACTTTGCCGGCGTTTCACCCGTGGTACAATGCACGGTATTTCTATAGTTAAATAGGTACCCTTATAACATGTCGTGAACTTTGTGCAAAGGTAAATTGTCAATTAATAAACATTTTAACATTTTTTTACATGTTCTTACTGAATTCTCAGCTTGACCGTTACTTGGCGGATGGTAAATGGGTGACGTCATGTATTTTATGTCATTCGATGAACAAAATGTCTGAAACTCGAGTGAATTAATTTTTACATCGTTGTCGGACACTAAAACATTTGGTATTCCAAAATTAGAGAAAACGCCTTTTAATTTTGTTATTAAAGCATTAGATGAGGTTCCGTTATGCATGTATAGACATTCTATCCATTTACTGTAGGAGTCGACGATTACCAGATATACCCTCTGTCCTACAGTCATGTAATCAATGTGCACTCGTTGCCATGGCGCGGTGGAGGGAGGCCAGGGCGCGGGGGGTCGCGCGGCGGGGCGGCCCGCACGCTTGCGCACGTCGCACATGATCCGATCCAGCGTTCGATGTCCCGGTCAATACCGGGCCACCACATTCTACTTCTAGCGTTACATTTAGTTTTGGTTATTCCTAAATGAGAATCATGAAGCTCGCGTAACATTCTATCTCTCAACCCGAGTGGTATAACAATCCTATGTCCCCTAAAAAGACAACCATTCTCATATTGTAAATCGGACTTGCAATGAAAATAAGGTAAAATAGATTTACATTTTAATTTACGCGGCCACCCGTGTTGCATGTACCTAAGCACGGTTTTAATCGTCCTATCTCGCTCCGTCGTCTGCGCAACGTCGCGGGCCGAAATGGCCGGCGATGACGCATCGAGAAACCTAACTGCATAATGCGTGTCTATATCGTTTGTATCTATATCGTTCAACGACTCGTTGACGCATTTTACAGGAGCGCGTGAGAAGTAATCGGCCACAATATTATTTCCGCTAGATACATATTGTACGACATAGTTATAAGCGGACAATATAACTGAGTATCGCTGCAGTCTTAGCGCAGTAGTAACAGGAATACCTGTTTTAGGATTAAAAATTGATACCAATGGTCTGTGGTCGGTTTTCAGGATAAAAGGATCTTCGCGACCGTACAAATATTGATGAAAGCGTCGGACCCCGAAGATAATGGCCGTCGCTTCCTTCTGTATCTGGCTATAGTTTCTTTCACTGCTCGTAAGTGAGCGAGATGCATACGCTAGCGGGCGTTCGATGCCGTCCTCCGCCCTTTGTGAGAGTACGGCGCCGAGACCGGTCGGGCCGGCGTCCACCGCCAGCACTAGCTGCGCCGCTGGCTCGAAATGAGCCAACACGCGTTCTGACGCCAGTTCGCGCCGTATCGCTGCGACGCTTTGTCGCTGCCGTTTTCCCCATTCCCATTTTGCATCTTTACGTAATAGCTCATGTAGGGGACTCAGTACAGAAGAGGCGTTTGGAATAAAATTTCTATAGTAGTTGACTACTCCTAGAAATCTTTTAACTTCGGTGACGTTATTTGGTTCCGGTGCACTAAGAATGGCTTGTACTTTATCCGGACAAGTCCTTAATCCCGTTTTACTAATCACGTAACCCAAATACCTGACGCTTTCTCTGAAAAATTGACATTTGTCTTTTTTGTAAACGTAGGCCTGCCTTACATAGTCTATCTAGGACTTTACTTAGCCGCTGCATGTGGGAATTTCTATCGGGGCCCGTGACACAAATGTCATCAAGCCATATGCTTACCCCGTCTATTCCTGATAAGAGTGTCTCCATGCTCCTTTGAAAAATGGCTGGACCACTAGAAAGGCCGTACACTAACCTAGTGTATTTAAAAAGTCCTTTATGCGTATTAATTGCCGTGAGCTCCTGAGACGCGTCATCTAGGACGAACTGGTTGTAAGCGTTTTTTAAATCAATTTTACTATAGTGCTCACCCCCTCCAATTTTGGCAAAAACCTCTTCAATTCGAGGCAGGGGATATTTTTCTATTATGAGATCCTTATTTAATGTAATAGAAAAATCACCTGCGATTTTAACTTGGCCATTATCTTTTAAAACTGGCACAATGGGGGTGGCGTATTGAGAATAATTAATAGGAACAAGGATACCCAAGTGCATTAATCGGTTTAGCTCTTGTTCGACT